GGCGATCCGGACTACGACCCCACCACTGTATACATACCTCCTATGGCGTGGAACAAGTTCTCTCCTTTCGAGAAGCAGTATTGGGAGATTAAACAAAAGTTGTGGGACACCGTCGTCTTCTTCAAGAAGGGCAAATTCTATGAACTCTACGAGAATGACGCCACAATCGGTCATCAGCTCTTTGACCTGAAGCTTACAGACCGTGTCAATATGCGCATGGTTGGCGTCCCAGAGAGCTCTCTCGACATGTGGGTCAACCAGTTCGTCGCCAAAGGCTACAAAGTCGCCCGAGTTGACCAGATGGAGTCCGCTCTTGGCAAAGAAATGAGAGAGAGGGACGACGCTTCGGCCAAGAACAAGAAAGTCGACAAAATCATCCGCCGAGAGCTAGCTTGCATCTTGACCGGCGGTACCCTCGTTGATGGAAGCATGTTGCAGGACGATCTGGCCACATACTGTGCCTCTATAAAGGAGTCCATCATCGACGACAAGCCTGCATTTGGCATAACATTTGTGGATTGTGCAACTGGTCAATTTTTCATCTCGGAATTTGAGGACGATGTTGATCTGACCAAATTCGAGACGTTTGTCGCCCAAATCAGCCCGAGAGAGCTTATCCTGGAAAAGTCCCGGATTTCGACAAAGGCTCTTCGGATACTGAAGAACAATACATCGCCCATGACCATTTGGAACTACCTCAAATCAAGCAGTGAGTTCTGGGACGCCGATACTACTCGCCGGGAGCTAGACAGCGGCGACTACTTTGCCACGGAAGATGGCCGTGACGAGACTTGGCCTGAGACGCTGGCCCAAGCCAGGGACAAGGATCTGCTCATGTCTGCGTTTGGTTCCTTGGTTCAATACCTCCGAGTATTGAAACTGGAGGGTGATCTGCTTTCGCAGGGCAACTTTGAGTGGTACACCCCCATTCAGCGTAACGGTACTCTCATCCTCGACGGCCAGACTCTCATCAACTTGGAGGTTTTCTCCAACACAGTGAATGGGGGACCCGAAGGCACCCTCTTTACTCTTCTCAACCGTTGTGTCACCCCATTCGGCAAACGGCTGTTTCGCCAGTGGGTATGCCATCCTCTATGCGACATCAAGAAGATCAACGAGCGGCTGGATGCCGTCGATATGCTCAACTCCGACAGAGGCGTGCGAGAGCAGTTCACCTCTCAAATGACGAAGATGCCGGACTTGGAGCGTCTCATATCCAGAATACATGCCGCTTCGTGCAAGCCGGAGGACTTCGTACGCGTCCTGGAGGGTTTTGAACAAATCGAGTACACCATGGGTCTTCTGGGTTCGTTTGGTGGCGGCAATGGTCTTGTTGACCGGCTTCTCGCTTCCATGCCTAATCTTAGCGAACCTTTGTCCTACTGGAAGACCGCGTTCGATCGGAAGAAGGCCAGGGACGAAAGAATTTTTATCCCTGAACGAAGCATTGAGCAAGACTTTGATAACAGCCAAGATCGCATCGAAGATATCAAACAAGAGTTGCAGGAGCTTCTTGGGAAGAAACAATCGGAACTGAAGTGCAAGAAACTGAAGTTCACCGACATAGGCAAGGAGATCTACCAGATCGAGGCCCCCAAGGCCGTGAAGGTGCCAAGCAACTGGCGTCAAATGTCAGCAACTTCAAGTGTCAAGCGGTACTACTTCGAAGAGCTCACAGAACTGGTGCGCCAGCTGCAGGAGGCGGAGGAAACTCATTCCCAGATCGTGAAGGAGGTTGCCGAGCGGTTCTTCCGGCGCTTTGATGCAGACTATGAGACGTGGTCGCAGTCGATAAGAATCATTTCACAGCTTGACTGTCTTATTAGTCTTGCAAAGGCGTCGTCCTCGCTGGGTGAACCGAGCTGCCGGCCGCAATTCATCGACCAGGAACGCAGTGTTGTCGAGTTCGAGGAGCTGCGTCATCCATGCATGCTGAATGCTGTGGCTGATTTCATCCCTAACGATATCCAGCTTGGCGGCGGCTCTGCAAAGATCAACCTTTTGACAGGTGCGAATGCCGCCGGCAAGTCGACTGTATTACGAATGGTCAGTTGAATCATGCCATTGCTCCCCAGGCTCATTGCTAACCAGAACAGTCCTGTATTGCCGTCATTATGGCACAAATTGGGTGCTACGTACCCGCAACTTCCGCCCTATTGACACCTGTCGACCGAATAATGTCACGGTTAGGAGCCAACGACAACATTTTTGCTTCTCAGTCGACCTTCTTTGTGGAGTTGTCGGAAACAAAGAAGATTCTATCAGAGGCCACGCCTCGGTCGTTGGTCATCCTGGACGAGCTAGGGCGTGGAACCAGTTCCTACGATGGTGTAGCGGTTGCGCAGGCAGTCTTGCATCATGTAGCGACACATGTGGGCTGTGTGGGCTTCTTTGCGACTCACTACCATTCACTCGCTGCAGAGTTTGAGAATCACCCCGAGATTCGCCCGCGCCGGATGCAAATCCACGTAGACGAGGAGCAACGTCGTGTTACGTTCCTCTATAAGCTGGAAGATGGTGTTGCCCAGGGCAGTTTCGGAATGCACTGTGCAGCCATGTGCGGCATCTCCGGCCGTGTAATTGAGCGTGCTGAGGTAGCAGCCAGGGAATGGGAACATACCAGCAGGCTTAAGGAGAGCCTGGAGAAGGCCAAATCAGGCTGCTACATTCCCCTTGGCGTCCTAAGCGACGTATCGTCCCTGCTTAAAGGCGGCGAGGATGTGGCAAAGCGCGGCGTTGAAGTTTTGCTCAGGGCTGTTGAGGCACTTTAGAGCCTCCAGATGTTGAAGTAGGTGTATGGTTATAGCATATCCTTGATTATTTATGTGTACAGTCAGTCTGTTGCGCTGGGAGCGTCGAAAAGTTACTTTTTAGACCGTACGTCAGAAACACTACCAGAATGTTACCCTAACTATCCGTACTATAAGATTGAAGTGTCGTAATAAGAATGCCACCATAAGCAATCAAACAAGGATCATCACAGCCGTACACGTAACTTGAACATTATTAGTCTAATTTACTAGTAAAAGCAAGGCCATTTTATTCCCCTTTCCCTATAACTTCACTAGCTATTCGAATTTCAACACAGTTCAACAAGTAAAGGGCAAGACCAAGGAGGTCAGAAACATGTGCTTTTGGTAGTATGGTAGGTATCAAGGGTGCAGCTACTGCCGCGTCGACTGCCATATCCAGTCCTCATCCGAGCAGCCTGCGTCCCCTGTATATCTTCTCTTCTCTTTCCCCCACTTTTTGGTTTTTGGTTTTTTCATCTTGTTACAATCTGCGGAGAATGTCCTCGACAACCTCGTCAGTCTTGGCAGTACCGCCCAGGTCGGGGCTGAGGAACTTGCCCTCCTCAAGGTTGGCGTCGACGGCGGCGTAAATCTTGGCGGCGGCGGTCTCCTCGTTGAGGAACTCGAGCATAAGGGCGGCGCTGCGCAGGGTGGCGATGGGGTTGGCGATGTTCTTGCCTTGGATGTCGGGGGCGCTGCCGTGGCAGGGCTCGCCGATGGCGAAACCCTCGCCGACGTTGGCGCTGGGGACGAGGCCAAGGGACCCGACGAGGGCGGCGGCGCCGTCGGAGAGGATGTCGCCGTACAGGTTGGGGGCGACGATGACGTCGTAGTCCTCGGGCTGGCGGAAGAGCTTGTAGACCATGGAGTCGACGATCTGCTCCTCGACGGCGACGGAGGCGAAGCGCGGGTCGGAGAGGGCGAGCTTGGAGGTGGCGCGGAAGAGGCCGTCGGTCTGGGAGAGGACGTTGGACTTGTGGGTGATTGTGACGAGGGGCGACTTGTGGATGCTGGCGGCGCCGGCGTCGCGGATCTTTTGGCGGCGGAGGGCGATGTCGCCGGCCATGGCGGCGATGCGGTGGGAGGCGTGCTCGCTGATGCGCTTGATGGCCTCGGCGACCTTGCCGTTGGGGCCGTCGTAGGTCTTCTCCTCCTTGACGTAGAGGTCCTCGGTGTTCTCGCGGACAATGACCATGTCGATGGGCTTGGCGGCGGTCAGGACGGTCTTGACGGGGCGGACGTTGGCGTAGAGGTCGAGCTTCTTGCGGAGGGCGACGATGGGGGAGGAGTAGCCCTTGACGGCGTTGGTCGGGGAGGAGACGGCGCCGAAGAGGGCGCCATCGCACTCCTTCTTCAGGACCTCGACGGTCTTGTCGGGGAGAGCGGCACCAGTCTGCTCGAACGTCTCGAAGCCAGCCTTGAGGTCGGTGAACTCGAACTTGAGGCCGAGGTACGAGGGGAGGGCCTCGAGGACGCGGCGGCCGGCGGGGATGACCTCCTTGCCGATGCCGTCACCGGGGATGAGGCCTGAGTGGTGTTAGACGGTGTTGTGGGGAGGAGCGCATTGGATGACGGAATTGTCAATTGGGGTTACTAAAGGTGATCCTACCGATTCGCAGAGTTCTGACAGACATGGTGAGCGTCAATTGGCGTCCGGAGTTGGAGCTGAGGGCTGATTTGGTGGATGGGTTAACGGACAGAGTTCAAACCTGAGGAACGGAACCGGAAGTAGAAAAAAATCCCCACGGCGATATCGGACGTCGGGCCAGCCACACCGAGGGCAGGCGGCGACCGACGGGCGCAGCATTAACGCCTCTACATACAGCCACAGAACAGAACCTAAAGTGCTTTTCCCCCCTACGCGTCATATATACACATACATATATAAATATAACTAGATAACTAAAATAGTTGCTTTCCAAGTATTGGAATGGGGTAATATAGAAATGAACGTGAAGACAGACAGTAGATAGCAGTCTCAGGCCACCAACCTTTTTCCTTTGTATTTTGGCAACAGCAGCAAACTTATCATTATCATCATGGCAGCGAATTTAACTATCTCTTGCACGCACTATCACTTTTACTTTGCCTCTGCCACCGCGACTTTTTCTTCGTCGTTTTCGAAGTCTATATAATATCCCGTTTCGTAACTTTTGTCTAGTAGCTCCTATGGCCTGTTTACCCAGTTTGACATCGAACAGCTGCTAGCTAGGATAGCTGTCTCACTGAGAATGTAGTACCTGGTTATGTTAGCCTTTACATTCTCTTATCATTAAGAGCATTATGGGTTATACTTACTGTAGCAAACCGACTCTTTCTACGGATCTGTTCACCATAAAACACAAGTGTCCATGGAATAATGGACAACACAGCGGCAATGCTGCCTAATAACGCACCCGCGCGTTCTTCCCCTAGATTCCGAAACAAGGCGCCTGTAACGAGCGGGAATACACCACCCAGGATGTTCCTGCAGCATGACTGTGCAGCGAGTGCCGAGGACGCATATTGGTTGTAGATATCGGCGAAATAGTTGAAAGTGGCCAGGTATACCGAGTAAATGCCCCAGGTCGCTAGACCAATGCCAAAGGCGGGAGCTATCCAATGAAACTCTTGCTTCGAGGTGAAGCCAAAGAGGAAGAGACCGGCAGGTAGCAGTGTAGCCGAAATGCAGGTAAAGTACAAGCGCGATTCGGGGGCCTCGGCGGGAAAACGGCGTCGCATGAAGCGCCAGAACCGCGAAGGCTCGTCTATAGGGCCGTCGGCCCGCCACTGAGGCAACTGGAGCAGCTTATCTTGGAAGACACCGACGATTGTCGCCACTACAGACCCAACTATCATGGCACTGAAGAAGTAGCCTGACTGTTCGATATCTAGGTGTCTCGTACGTGAAAGGACCAACGGGATGCTCCCAAATGTGCAATAAAGGACGGCCCAGGCAAAAGCACACCAAAGGGAGAAGAAGAACACGACTGGCTCTGTGAAAAGCAGATGGAATGGGCGCGAGATGGAAACGGACACGAGCTTAGCCAGAGATGCTCGTTCCTCGTCTTCTTTGACCAGCCACCGCAATCTCAGGGGCTCCAACTGGGCCGAGTAAGGTCGACCCGAGCGGCAAGTCGGACATGCCTTTTCCGGTCGAGTAGTACAAGAGCTATGCCGGGTATCGTTCGAGTCTGAAGTCGCGTCTGTATCTCCGTTGCTGGTCGCGGTGCCTTGGGACCACACGTCGTAATAGCCCAACTCTTCCCTGGCCTGGTACCAATCATTCAATGCTTTGGCTTTCCTCGAAAGGACCACTGACCCTCGACTCTCCTCGAAGAGAACTGCGAGAGCAACAACAACCACGGTGCCGATGATGACTTGGTGCCAGAATATCCACTTCCAAGCCCTCGTCGCATCCTCAGCACCCATCCGCTTCACCATGACGGATGCAACCAAAGGACCAGCCCCCGTGCCAGCGAGCACCGCGCCACTGAAGAGGGCCATAGGCATGTTCCTTTGGTCCTTTACCCACATATCTGCGATGACACCGCCAATGACGGAGCTGAAGACAGAGCCACCGACACCAACAAGAAGTCTCGCGATGAGCATGGCAGCTAGGTTCGGCGCAACAGAGCAAACGGCCTGGAAAACGACATAAATCACTCCAGAAATGACGAAAACTGGGTAGCGGCCGTAGATCTCTGAGAGGGGTGCCAGTGCCATGGGTGAGAGCGCAAACCCGATGCAGAAGGTTGTTATCCCCACCAAAACCTTGAGCTGCGAAGTGTCGAGGTCATCGGCCATAATAGACGAGGGCGGGGAGTATGAGCCGGCGGCGTAGGCCGTGAGAAAGGTGGCAATAGACGAAAGCGCCAGCATCAGGTATTTACGTGCTTGAGGCCATTCTAGAGGAGACGTATACCGGGTCAGGTCAGGACCCGCCGGTTTTGATTGTGACTCGATTGACTGATGAGAAGAAATGTCCGCCAGCTCGGGAAGGAGCGTATCGAAAGTCAGATATCGATAAATGATGGGGCTGTTGTCGTCAAGACGAGGCGAGTTCCCGGCCGTCCCACAGCCACCATGTGGAATCGGTAACGTGTCGGTTGCCCTCGAACCTCCGGTAGCCTTTTCATTATCTTGGTTTCTGTTTCCGTTGATCATGACTGAGATATCAAGCGGGATGACCGTAAGTGTCGATGACGTTTATGACCTCAAAGGGAACGAACCTGCGGGCCGAGTTCTTATAAGAGCCTACGCAGAACCCATGACCTTAGGCCCACGAATGCGCAAAGAACGATAAAGCTGGGTTGGTGACGGGGGGGTTGAAAAGTCGGCATTGAGGGAGTTGCGGGATGTCATTGTATTGGTGACCAGGAGAGTATGTATTGTTTGTTTGTATGGGCCAGGCATTCCCGTACAATGGCCGGTGATGATGTGGACTTCAAAGCGATGTAGGCTCTAGGCCCCATGGGGTCGCATTTACTCCGATTGCTGGGTGGCCCTGATGCCCCGGGCCAAGCCCGGGGATTGGGACGAAGAGAGGTGGAACTTGAGTGCGGTGCGATCCGACTCAGTACACAGGGTACTCGGCAAGCTCGTTATTGGACAGACGGAAGGAGACTACTGGTTTTATCTCTCATGCCCTCGTCTAGGTGGTTGGATGTCTACGCGTTATCCGGGACCTGCAAGGTCCAGAAATCGCTATCGATATTTTTCCTGCTCCTTGGACCTGTCAGACAGTTCCGTTTTATGCTGTCTGTTTTGCCGTTCGTGAATGGGTCTTGGCGTCCTCCTCTGGGAAATACGGAGCATGATTCTGATTCTGAAGATGATCGTAGGTAGAAACCCCCAAGATTCCGTGAAGTCTCTGAATCCTTGACCGCCCGGGCTGTCCACCCCGCAACAATACTAGGCCTCGTAGGACACACCCACCCTGCTGGAAACCGTCAGCTCCCTCGCTTTGTGACGCCCCTTGCTGATAGGAGGAGACATCGGTGTAGTGTCAGGGCTACCCACATACCCCATACACTAACTACCTAGTGTCGAGTGCCCAGCTGGGGCGAGTCTGTAGTCAAGGCGACCATTGGGGGGGGATACCTGACCTGACCTGACCTGAGCTGGGGCAGCATACCCGTGTGCGTCTTTTTCTCTTTCCCCATTCTATTCCCGGAGGACCTCCAAAACCCGCCGATATGTGAATGGTACCCAGAGGTCAGTCTACCAGAGAGTTGCGTGTGTGACCCAAGACAACGCGTGTTGCTCAGAAACTTAGCACCGGAAGACAGAAACCGTACGCCAACACCAGGACGTCTGTTTGGTGCGGAATCTCCGCAAGTCCCTGTAAAAATCACGATGGCCAATCGAGGGACGCAGAATGCATCTGTACATTGTGGAGTAGCGGTGGGCCAGTGTGACATCAATTTCATTACCGTTCAATTCCCGCTGGGAGACCTCGTTGGGACGGTCATCTAAACAATTCTCTTCGAGCCTTTATTTGACCGCCATTCAAGTCTTTCCATCCTCCCCTGTGCAACCCACGTGGATTGCCATGGTCTAATCGCAACCCACCATACATCTCAAAAGCCGATAACGGCCCAAACCGGGTGTGAGTTGAGGGCGCTTGATTGGTCTCAAATGCTATCCGAGTACGGATATCCCAGCATACCCAGGCTTGTCACGAGTCAACGGTATAGCCAAACGCAGTGATTCAAATGAGCCTGGGAAATTGTTAATGTCTCTTCTCTGTTCAGACCCCAGCCTGGTTACTTTGTCGACAATATCTCATCTGCCCCTTCCAGCTCAAGTCATCCTCGATGATCATGTTGCGAGTGTCCGGCGTGGGACGCAGCGGGAAGCTCGGCAATGATCTGTTTTGGATGTAAGTCATGCGCAGCTGGCCAGGTTTGAACATAGGCATCGGGGACAACGCAAGCCGTCTGGTACGGCTGAGCTATGTTGAGCTCCGAATGCGCACTCGATGAGGGTTGTGGGATGCCGATGTTGCCGTCGTTGACGCGTTGTTGCTGCCGTCCGCCGGGAGTACTTCCCTTCTCGAGAGTGGTGCTGGCGCGGCCGGGACTCTCGGCCTCTTGGTGGATGATATGTCTTCGGCGCGCGAAGGCCTGAGCGACAGCAATACAGAAGACAAGAAAAAGGATGCCACCAATCGTGCCGCCGATGATGGCAATAAGGGTAGTGACCGGAACCGATACCTGGGACGCCGCCGGAGTGGAATCAGTCGATGTGGGCTGGGGTGTGATCTCTGCGGCTGACGTAGCTGTCGCCGTCGTAGCGATGGACGTTGGGGTGGCGGAAAGCATGGATGAGGCGGATGAGGCGGTGGCAGTGGGGGTATCCTTGGTCGACACCGGCACCGACGAGTCGCTGTTCATGACTGTTGTCTGGCTTGTGTCGGTGGCGGCGATGGTCACTAAGGTGTCACGTCAGTGACTTCCCAGCTGGACGGTAAAGGTTAAGGGGAAGAAGCAGACTCACCAGTGGCAGTCTTGACACGGGAGACACGAGAGATCACTGGGCCTCCGGTCTGGAAAGACCCGCCAGACTGGGTGAGGCGGAAGACCGCGTTCGACATGAGGTGTGCGGTATCTTTATCGTATTGAACCGCGTGCCACTTCATCTTATGAGCAGCAGAAGGAACAGTATCGAAGGAGGAATGCCGGAGAAGAAGCGAGAGGATGGAGTAGATGTGAGAAATCCTTATTGATATTGGCAGATTTCGACTTGCGTTATGGCGACGAAGAAGCGCAGCCCAGTCCCTATACTCGACGATAACTAAAGCCGAGACGAAGGACAGAACAAGAGTAAGAGTTGTGGTGATGATGGTGATGATGATGATCAACCAACGCGTTGGCAGGAGGGCTGGGTCCATCGACGGGTGAAAATTGAAAACAAAACAAGCCACGAGCGAGCTTACCGGGCAGGATACCAAAAATCAAGAAGAGGAAGGCACCATCACATCACCTACCTATCTGGTACGCCAGGGACGTTGGTTTTGAATGGAAGGGGCAGGGTCGTAAGTGAGGTACCTAGTCACGGACACCATTGGAAGGAGGTCGGCAGACGCACCTACTTATGTAGATAGGTTCCTGCTTACCTTCCTGCTTCTCTTTCGATGCTGCAGTGTTTTCTTCTAGGACATGCCGGCTTCGTATATGCATACATATGTGTGTGCGCGCATCGACCGTGTGCATGTTTCCTCCATCAACAATTATCCGAGTAAGGTACGTCCTTCTCGATCAAAAAAGGGCAACAACATCCACCTACTCCAGGAATCCCTATGCGCTTGAAGTATCTCAAGCTGGATCCCCTTCCTCTAGTGTCTTTTTTCCTTCTCGTGGGGTTCTCGCTTTTACTTTACCGCCTCAGTTCTCGTACCCTATTTGAGAGACACGCCTCGACTGACTGTATTTACCTTGGGCAGACACGAGCAATGGCCGGCCTGTTCTTCCGTGAGATCTTGGCAGCGATGAACTAGGGTTTATCTTCTCCCGAAGACACGCAACTGGTGTGGCCACAAGCAATTGGTCCCCGTCAATCTCAAAGAAACAGAGTGGCAACCCGTGCTATGGGTATTCTTTCCCTTTATACGTCGACTCTCCGGGCTCTGCCTTTGACGACCAGATATCTCTTTGGCAGGGCTATGCAAGGAGGGCCCGGCTGTCCCTGGCAAATATGGCCGAGGAGCATTAAACCTCGCTTGCTATTCTAGACGGCGTGGCTTCCTTTGAATCCTACGCCATGACTTTCGACTCAAAGGAACCGGTCAACCCCGACCTTTGGTCTGACTGCCCTTCAATGTATTTGACTACCCTCCCTCACATTACAAACGGCCTTAGCACAATATGCTGCTGATCCGAGTATCACCTTCAATAGCGACAGCTAAACCGGGACTTTAGGCCTTGAAAAGACTCGCCCAACCCTTCCAGCCTTGTTGGGTATCGCCGGTCCAGCCGAGTGCGTTGCGTTCTGTCTTTTTGCGACAACAAACACCATCGTTCTGTACTCGGCGTTGCCTCAAACCACTTCTCCTACACACACTTGCTCAAGAACTTCAGAAACATTATATTCTAAAACTTAACACCAGAGCACTCCCGATAAACCGTCTGCAGCTGCGTCCAATTTTGCTCACCCTTGAACTTTTCGTCATCATGGGTCAACCTCAAGAGCACACTCAAGACCCAGCGTCACAATGGAAACCCTCCTGGGCGTATCTCTTTACATTCTGCAATCGTCAACACCTCCCGATCATAGGAATCGGAATTGTCGCAGCTTTTATCTGTGCTGCATTTCGTACAGCTCTCGCAGTGGTTCTCGGTCGAATGTTCCAAGTCATTTCGGACTATGGCGCTGGATTGTCGGGCACACCAGACACCATCCTTCAAACCTCACGACTGGGTATCATAATCTGCTGCCTCGGACTAGGGGCTTTTTTCGGCAACACAATTCTCTTAACGAGCTGGGTGGCCTTTGGTGAACTTCAGGCAAAAGTTGCGCGAGAGAGGATATTTGGGAGGCTGCTTGCCCGAGACATGAGCTGGTACGATAAGCAGGCGGACGGCATACCCGGCCTCCTCGTCAGAATCGAAACGTGAGTCATGCCAGTCCCTGCATGTTGAATCATCCTTTCTGACATCCGTCAGACAAATCCGAGAACTACAGACTGCGACGTCCCAAGTCCTTGGGTTTCTTTCCACTGAGGCCGTTACCTCGATTGCATCCTTTGCCCTCGCCTTGGGCTTCTCCTGGAAGCTAACACTCGTGCTTATTGCTACCGTACCATTGGCAGTTATTTCTCTGGCTTTGATTAACCGGAGACTTCAGTCTGCAATTGCTCAGCAAAATCTGCATCTCGCCGATGCTTCCAAACAACTTCACGCCTGCGTCGCCGCAATAGACCTAGTCAAGGTATTCAACGGGTGCAGCCAAGAGATCCGGGCGTACAGTAAGATCATGGATGCTTCTGTAGACCAGTATTTGGTGCAAGCCCGCTGCAACGCTCTTCAGATATCTGTCACAGGGGCCTGGGTCTCTTTGCTCTTCGTTGGCGGCTTCTGGTTTGGTCTTTGGCTTGTGACGAAAGAGGAGAACTCCGCGACGATCATCACAACATTCTACGCTACCCTAACAGCACTAGGGGGCATCTTCAACGTGCTTCCCCAGTACGTTGTGCTTGCCAGGGGCATATGTGCAGCTCAGAATCTCAGGCAGATAATACGAGGACCATTGGCAGAGGGCCCACAAGGAAAGCCTGCTGCCGTTCTAAGTCCCAATTTTTGTGTTGGCGAAGTGCAAGTGAAGCAAGTGAGTAGTTCTCAACGCTGAGCTATCATGATTTGATCAGCTGATATCCTCAGGTGAGCTTTGCATATCCATCTCAACCACTCAAAATGGTTTTGGATAGGTCTTCTTTCTATTTCCCCGCCGGTGAAACCCGATTCATACTGGGGAGTAGCGGCTCTGGGAAGAGCACGTTGGGTAGCCTCCTGGTCAACTTATACGAGACTCTCCCGGGCAAGATATTCATCGACGGACGACCACTCGAGACACTGGACAAGGAATGGGTGCGGAAGAACGTTACCCTGGTTCAGCAAGGCAGCCAACTTTTTGACAACACATTCCTCTGGAACGTTGCCTTGGACCAGTCGGTAACAGCAGACTCCGTCAGAGCGGCATGCGACATGTCTCTTCTGCAGTCCACTCTCTTGTCTCTGCCCTGTGGAGTCTACACGAAGATTGGCCCATCTGGGCATAGGCTCAGTGGTGGGCAGACCCAAAGACTTGCACTGGCACGAGCTAGACTTAGAGATTCGCCGGTTCTCATATTAGACGAAGTCACTAGCGGTTTGGACCGGGGAAGCACGCTCTTGGTCATGGAGGCAACCCGAGCTTGGAGAAGAGGTAAAACGACAATCATCATCACACATGATATCTCTCAGATTGAACAAGATGACTATGTATACGTCATGGACCGTGGCCGTGTCGTCGAGGAAGGCATCCGTGGCATCTTATCCCGGGATCCCCACGGCCGATTTGCGACTTTTATCACTCACTCAAGTGAGAAACTCGATCATCAAGAAGAAGACACAGGGACTGGACGCAACTTCTCTTACGGCTGCTCGATTTCCCCTCTTGTTGGTCAACCAGTCCATGAAATGACTCAACAGGCTGACGTGGATGAAGGACATCGATGGTTGTTGCGGAGAACACTTTTCGGAGCAGCTTCATTTTCGACTGTTGTCTGGAAGGGGGACAAAAGGCATACCGCAATTGATCACAGACTCGATAGCCCGATCTACCATCATAAAAGCCAAGGTCCGCTGAAGCCCCCCATCCATACACCAGAATGGGGCATGATTCCAACTGATTCTACTGCACATCGGTGGCGGCCAAGCATCGAAACTGTGCAGACTGCGGGGAAAATTGTGCAGAGTGCCCGGCAAAATAGCACTGCACGCCGTCGGTGGAAGCCCTGTGAGCTCGATTGCGGCATGGACGAGGAAGTGCATTCGTGCAACCTAGAGCATAAGAGGACACCAGGTGAACCGCCAGGCTGCGAGATCAAGTCCATCTGGACAGTCATCTTAACAATATTGCCCAACTTGACTTGCAAAAACAAGCTCAGGCTCATTGTGGGCTTGGTGTTTTGCTCCGTCGCTGCAGGTTGTACGCCGGTGTTCTCCTTTTGCTTTTCTCAACTTCTTGCGACATTCTGGGCTGCTGAAAACCAAGTGACCGCTGGCCGAGAATGGGCCATCTGTCTAATCATGGTTGCCATCATAAGCGGGGTGTCTATATTTCTAGGACGGTACCTTATGGAACACGTTGGTCAGGCTTGGGCAAATGCTCTTCGTCTGGAAGCCATGAAGGGTGTTTTTCGACAACCAAAGTCATGGTTCGATGATTCCAAAAACTCGGCAAGCGACATTGGCGAATGCTTGGACAGACATGCAGAAGAGATGAGAAACCTGGTTTCGCGCTTCATACCTGTCGTTGCTATGGTCGTAGTGATGGCTACCATATCGATCACATGGGCACTGTCGATCTCGTGGAAGCTCACAATGGTGGCCCTGTCCAGTTTGCCTGTCCTTATAACTGCTTCCATGGGCCTGTCTATTGTCGGAACTAAGTGGGAAGCAGTTTGCAACGAGGCGGCAACAGAGGCGGCGTCGGTCATGCATGAAACGATCACCAACATCAATTGTGTCCGGGCTCTCACCCTGGAAAGGCACTTTAGCGAGAGGCATGCCCAGTTAGTCAAATCGACATATAGACTCGGGCTACAGAGAGGGCTGTACTTGGGACCGCTCTTCGGTCTTATTCAATCCACCGACTTCTTCGTTGTTGCACTCGTAGGCTGGTACGGGATGTATCTGACGGCCCAAGAAGCCGAAATGTCACCAAACAGCCTCCAGCAGGTGGCAAACCTTCTTCTTTTCTGCATTGGCCAGGCGACCGCCTTGATGCAGATGATGCCTCAAGTATCAGCATCGCAAGCCGCGGCGGCTCGTGTGCTCTTTCTCGCGACGCTCCCAGACCCAAGCTGCCCGTCAAAGGGTGACCCCGGTCAGCCAGCATCGTTGTTCCCCATCATAATGCGTAATGTTGATTTTGCCTATCTTTCGCAGCCCTCGCACCAAATCCTGCGGAGTGTCAACTTGGACATTGGCAATGGGAAGTGTGTGGCGATAGTGGGACCAAGCGGGTGCGGCAAGAGTACCGTCATGTCTCTTCTCATGAGGTTGTATGAACCCTATCGGCTGCATTCAACAGACGGGATCGATTCGGGCCAGCTTACGTATGGAGGTGTGGCGTCGGACCAGATATACGGGGAGCAGTTCTACTCGCACATCTCTTATGTGCCACAGACGCCATATCTCTTCCCTGCGACGGTAGCGGATAACATTGCATACGGCTTGGCCGAAGCCTCACCATTGCGCCATAGGAGCAATGTGAGAAGGGCTGCGCGGGAGGCGGGGATCCATAACCTTATCGTCTCCCTTCCCCGGGGTTATGACACCGTCATCGGCGACGGCGGTCAGGGCCTCTCTGGAGGGCAGTCACAGCGAGTCTGCATAGCCAGGGCGCTGGCACGACGGCCGCGGCTCATGATCATGGACGAGCCGACGAGCGCCCTGGATAGCTTGTCAGCAGAAAGGATTCGAGAGACCATCGCTGGTATCTTGGCAGGCGCGGAGGATGGTGGAATGAGCATTGTGGTTGCAACCCATAGCAGGGAAATGATGCGTATAGCTCAACATATCATCGTGATGGAAGCTGGCCGCGTGGTAGATGAGGGCAGCTTTGATGAGCTGCAGCTCCGCAGCAAGGTCTTTTCAACTCTCATTCACCACTCATGACCTGTAGGAAGGCCCAAAAGACACCGTGCGTTGGCAATGTTTCTCTCATGAATTGTGGTTAAAGTAGGCAGGCTCTGTATATTGGTGCTGGAGGTGACTTTTAATAAGAGTGGCGGAGAAAACTTGCTATCCAAGCACGAACTGTCTCACTCAGTCTCTGCCACATCCTAGTAGCCTAGAAGAGTACTGTGTGCACGGCAAGACCAGAGGGCCGTAACACGCGGTCGGCAAAACGACCTCGCCCGAAAGAAGACCCCATCCGATCGAACCCCTGGCTCGGAAGCGCGAGCCATTCTACTCGTCGATCAAGAGTCGGCCCTGTCTACTGCGTGGTCCATCGACCTCGGGCGAAGCACTTTCTAACCGAGGTTTGCGGAGTGCACGTCAAGCATGTCAATGGCATCGTGGTCGGTATTTGTTTAGGTCATTGTTTACACAACCGAAAGGAACGGATGAAACTGGAACCGTTTAGCTGGAGGCCTTGGCCGCCTGTGCCTTCTCGTAGATCCAGTCGTTCAGGCCCTTGCGGTTTCTGGCAATCTCAACGGCGTAGAACTGCATGCGAGGCACTGGACAAAAGGTTCAGTCAGTTGACGTAATCCTACGAGGCCGAGAATGACAAGACTCACCAAAGATGACCTCGTTCTGCCCGTACTCGAACTTGGGATTGGCGCGGACCATGGTGCCGAAGTTGTAGTCGTCGACTTTCTTCTCGTAGGCCATCATGAACTTTCGCCAGCGCTCCTTGCCGTCCTTGCTTTTCATCTCGTCCTCGTTGATCGTGGCGGATGGGTCGAATTCGGGAAAGTCCTTCTGCAGATGCTCGTAGATCTCGTCGTCAATCTTGGTCAGGCGCAGCGAAGAGCCCTTGACTTTCTCCAATATGTTCCAGTAGGTCTCCATGTGCTGGACGACTGCGGAGCAGAAAAGGTTGATTAGCTCCTGTTTGCGATATGGGATGCGCACTTGGCGGACGGCAGCGTGGTATTACGCACCCTTGACTGCGAACTGCTTCTCGATCTAGACGCAACATGGATCAGCGCAATGCGTTCTGTTCGGCGGCGTATAGCGAGAAAACGAAAAAGAAAAAAAAAAGAAATCCGGGCAAGGGGTGGGTGGTACTTACATCCTCGAGGTTATCCGCATCCTGGGCGTTGAAGTTGGTGGGAACGGGGGCCGCCATTTTGACCAATTCTCGAAAGTTGAGATCAGAAATGACAAGAATAGAGCGGTTCGACCACTTTTGTACTCGTAATTTTGGTCGTGTTGGACGTGACGTGTGAGCGACGCGGGGTTAAGTGAGTGAAGCTTTCAGGAATTCATGGCGGGGCAGAGCGACACCTGAGCCAGCACCGTGCGACAGGGCATCATCGCGGGGTTTATGTTTTTTCCCCCCATTCCATTTTCTTCTTTGCCTGCCGTAAAGTGATGTCGAAAACGCTGCGCCTCATCCACACAGTGCGCTAATGATATGCACCATCCTTTTCACTGTCAAAGCGTCTAGGTACATACCCAGCTGCATAATTATTACACATATATGCGTTTATCGGGATACACTACAGCTCGACGAACAGTCGTTGTTCAAATATGGATGAACGTGGAATGGAACCTACCCGCTTTCTAGGGTCAACAACTAGGGAAAGATAGGATGAAAGACTTTGCCGTACAGTTTCTGGAAGATTACAGACGCCGTACTCTTTGCGTAATACAACGTGTCGCGCCTGTCATGTCCAAAGACCAATATTTTCTCTGAGTGGCTTCTCCAAACCCTTCCAACAGCCTCCACCATCGAAACACACGGCGTTCACCACATGCTTCCCCTCTTTGTCCGCAAAGCTCATCATGCATCATCCGTTTCAGGCCGGGCTAAGACATCCTGACGCGGTAGCGAAGACGTCGAAAGAAGCTGGGTTTGAGTTACTGTCCTGTTGTTGTTCCCATCATCGGCTATTCAGCACACGTCCCCTTCTGTGCCGTGCCGAGCTTGCTCCTTTCCATCATGCACTTTGCTTGTTACAGGAGCCTATTCATTGCCGGAACATGTCTCCTCTTATCACAGCTTCGTACGTGAGAGGGGAGTAAGCCCATCCACCACATGTAGGAGAGGTGTTGGCAAGGTAAAGTCAACTTTATTCATGTGCGCAAATCATACTCATGTCCCAGGGCAAAGGGCCCATCATCGTCTATCACGGTTTAACTAGGTACTTTGGTATCTCCCACACGCCGGCGGGCAGCCTCATTTTCTTTTCCCATTCATCAACGGCGAGTCAATCACAATGTTCCAATGCCGAGGTGCTCAGGATCGGCCTTGACAATACGCAGGGTGTTGGTGTTACCCATGCCGCCCTTCCAGCCCTGGACGACGACCAGGGTATCGCCCTTGCTAACAACGTTGAGCTCCAAAGCGTGCTCAACACCCCGCTTGATGCGACGGTCAACATCCTCCTGCCAGTTGACCTTGGAAAAGTCAGGCTTGGCCTCGGGGAACAGGAAGGGGTACACTCCGCGGTACAAGTGAGCATAGCGGGATGCTGCAGCGTTTCTTGTGACCATGAAGATGGGGCAGACGGGGCGGTACTTGGACAGCAGGCGGGCAGACTCTCCAGAGGTGGAGAGGACAATGATACCACCAGCGTTGAGGTCGAGGGAAGCTCTGACGGCGGCCATGGCGCAGGACTCGACGACGCTGACGGGGCGCTTGACGAGGGTGCACATCTCCTCGAAGTGGGAGACATAGGGGATGGTGTTCTCAGCCTTGAGGCAGGCCTCGTGCATCTCGGAAACGGCCTCGTTGGGGTAGCTGCCCTTGGCTGTCTCGCCAGACAACATGACACAGTCGGCGCCGTCGGTGATGGCGTTGCCAACGTCGCTGATCTCGGCGCGGGTAGGGCGGGGGTTCTTGATCATGGACTCGAGCATCTGGGTGGCGCAGATGACGGGCTTGCCGGCTCTGTTGCACAGGGCAATCATCTTCTTCTGGGCAGCGAAGACCTCGGCCGCGGGAATCTCGATACCGAGATCACCGCGAGCAACCATGACACCGTCAGTCTCGGCAAGAATCTCCTCAAAGTTGTTGAGACCCTGACGGTTCTCGATCTTGGCAATGACCTGGATGTGCTTGCCCTCCTCGCCAAGGATAGCGCGGATGTCCTTGATGTCCTGACCACGGCGGATGAACGAAGCAAAGACCATGTCGACGTTGTTCTTAACGCCGAAACGAAGGTCGTTCTTGTCCTTCTCGGAGAGGGCAGGCAGGTCAACATCAGTGTTGGGCAGGTTAACACCCTTCTTGGAGGAGATGAAGCCGTTGTTGCGGGCGCGGACCTCGACGGTCTGTTCATCCTTGACCTTGAGGACGTCGAAGGCAAGGACACCGTCGTCGACGTAGATGATGCGACCGGGCTCAATGACCTTGGTGATGTTCTTGTAATCGACATACCTGCGAACGAGGGCGAGTAAGCAAACTGAGGAGCAAACAATAAGGAGGAGGGATAATTACATGTTGTCGGTGTCGCAAGCCGTGGCGTACTTCTCGTCGGTGGTGAAGTTCAGGACCTTGCCGGCGGAGATGGGGAGATCCTCATCGTTCTTTGTGTTTCCGGTACGGATCTCGGGGCCCTTGGTGTCGAGGGCAATGGCAATCTGACGGCCAGGCTGGGCCTTCTCGGCGGCGCGGGCATTGTCGATGACGGACTGGTGGTACTCATAGCTGCCGTGCTGTGGGAAGGAAGAAAAGTCAGCCGGGTGAGGGATTTTGGGAGGGGATCCGGTCCGGGACAACAGGACGGGCCTTACCGAGAAGTTCATGCGCACGACGTTGAGACCAGCCTTGCGCAGCTTGTTGATGGCCTCAACAGAATTGGTCTTGGGGCCAATGGTGCAGATAATGGAAGAACGGCGGTAGTTCTTCTCGGGTTGGTAGGCGGTGTCGAGGCTAGAGAGCCAGGCGATCTTGCCGCCGACATCGAGGTGGTCCTTGGCGGTGGCAGCCATCGTGAGTGTATGGGATGTGTTGGTACTGTGGTTTTGGAGGTGTTGGTGAGGAGGAGAGTGAATGAAAAGGGTATCGCCGGGAGAGAAGATGTGAAGCTGGGGGGGGTTTTCTTTTCTTAGCTGCTGGAGACGGGCGAGACTAGACGAGACGATGAGGGAGGGGTCCGCTGCAGCTGTTAAATCTTGCCAGGAGTGGGGTGGCCGAGACCAGATGGAGTGAGGGATGGATGGCAAGGTTGTTTAAGCTAGGTGCTGGGTAGTAACCTATAGAGATGGAAGAGAGAGGAGGCACACGAATAGATACGAGAAAGGGAGAGACGGACGGGATTGTCGGACGTCTCAAGGTTACAATTGCAGGATTCATGCAGCAACACAGCAAGCCTCAGGTAGGTATTTGTTGAAGACCAAGACAGGAGAGACAAGAGAGACACGAGGGGAGAGGGCGAGCAACAATTTGCTCCTGGTCCAAACGACTGAAGCTGTGCTGTCTGGCCTGGTGGTCTGGCACTTGCCAGTTCTCGGAGGTGATGTCGGTGCTTCTCTTTTTTTTTTTCCTTTTTTTTTTACCCTTTTCCTTTTTCTTCTTCTGGCCTCCTCTTCTGGTGGCCGCCGCCACGCTTGCCCCTCGTTGAACTTCACCCCTCCCCCCTGCTGTGGTGGGTGGGAAGCTGCTGAGGGGAAGGGCCGACGTGGTTGCCCCTCAATTCAACGCAGTGGTCCGTGCATCTAGCTAGGTGAGAGCCCCCACAATGGATGGGTTGATTGAGTTCCCAATCCCAGTCTGTGGCAGGTCACCCCCCACCAACATGAGGTGAGCATGGTGAGGTGCCTGCCTTTTCTGACGGGGACTCTTCCGTACTCTTTCCTCTACCTACTCATCTCATACCTCGCCTCACACCTGCCAACGGCGAGAAGGAGGAGGGAGAGAGGCATGGGGTTGCCCCAGCTGGAACGGATGGATGGCCAGTGACGCAGGGTACGGCTGCAAATATACGGGGCCCGAACAAGGTGTACCCGAATAGAACAAGGCGAATAAATATACGATGTATATATAGCGTAAACCAAGACGGCCCAGGGTCTGGTGAAGCAGTACTTCGTACACTAAGAGAGGTGAAGTTTGGGCAGAATGGGCGAGATAAGGGGTCCGACCGGGCTACCAGGGCACAGCTACCTATGGAATAAATAGAAGCTGTCAAGGAAACAGAAACAGCAACGGAAACATCAAGGGGCAAACATAACGCAACGAAGGCAGCCGAACGGAACGCAACCTGACAATGATGTTGATCCACTCGCCTGAGCCAAGCTATTTGTTGGTTTCTTCAATGCTCGAGCGTGTCGGCGAGGCGTGTGTGTGTGTGTGTGTGTGTGTGTCGACAACGGCCAAGATGGAAGAGATTTGGACCGGACAGAGTAGCATCATGAGGGGTTGGTTTTCGTCGGCCAATCAATGAATCAATCCATCAATCGATCGCTGACCCTGACACGGAGCTCCGGGCCTGGTGCCAGTGTTTCTTGGGGGTTTAAAGCCTCAAACACTCAACAAACCAGACACCGGGCTTGGGACACACACAGCCTTTACCCATTTTTTTTGTGGTCCGTCTTCAACGCGAGTACTGTAAGAGGGCAACACCGGCCCGGACAGTCGATCCCTTGGAAATGGCAAATGGCAACAATGCATTTGCCCATGCCTTCCGTCCTCATCTGGCATGGTTGTCACACAAATATAGCGAGCAAATTCGTCCTCAGTTACAAAGACTGAGCAGCTCAGTCCCTAGCCAAGCATAAGTCACGCCCTATAATGCAAGATTTATGCCTGCTACATTGAACACCTAATTATGCATGTCATAAGTCCAGAGTCTTTGCATGATTGCATCACGCCTCAGATATGCTAATAACCAGCCATGCACTTAGCGTAGGGTTTTATTGCAATTCCCTTTTGAGCTAGATATCCACATCATTCCTGTCTGTTAACCGGATTCTGGTCCAGGCCGGAACCCTTTCGCTTCCCGGGGTGTCAAGATTAACATCCAAGCCCTAGGAGAGAGGCTATAGAGCCCTCTCATAGGAAACAGCGGCTTTCCAATCATTGGTATACTTTTAGCTCCTCAATAGTGCTTTACGCCAACTCGACGCGGCGCAGCACTAAACCTTACCAGGCGGTGATAACTTAACCGGGTATTGGTCTTATCGGTAACAAGGCGATCACGACGCCGATAATCCATGGCTTCGTGTTTGTAACCATATAGATAGAAGCTTTACTTTATTGTGTTGAGTGGGCAAAATGCATACTTGTACTGTATTTTTCCAACTGCGTGGTCATCGTTGGGGTTCGCGTACCTCAGTTAGGGAATGTTTCTCGATGATTAAAGGAATGGCGATGTCGGCTGTCGCGGCGCACCAAAAATCCCGACGCCGCGTGTACGAATGCTGCCAGCAAACGAGCCCTACGAACACCACGAACCCTGAACCGTGTAATGTGAGTCGATCTTGGGTCGCCGCGGCGCCGTGGACGGACACAGACACCCGCGGGCCCGGGCAAGCTGCTTCTGGTCCGGTGGCTGAGTCCATCATCCCCAAAACGGGTAGAGTTGATATATTGGAGGCTCTCGGCATTATGAATATAGCTGCCTGTTATTCTTAAAGGCCTGAACAAGCAATTTTTAAAACCATGCCCTTTACATCGGTCACAGAGAAGACATCCCGCTCAATGTGCGTTAGCGCGGAAGACCTTTGAGCCTTTCAACAATGGACTGGCTCAGCTCAGCGTCCCATAGTCTCCTTTTGCCAGGGGCCGAAGAGACCAGTCTTCCAGAGTCCGAAGAGACCAGTCTTCCAGAGTCCGAAGAGACCGATCTTCCATATCGGTCATCATGCCGCTCCCTTCGTTATTGCTGCCAGACACTATGCTTTGTCGGCAACCTGTTCGACTTGGTCTATGACGGCTCCCAAACCGCCATGAGACTTGTGTCCCTCGTTAGCTCTGTTCAACACTGTTCTCCGAAAAGCAATGAGACCGGAACGGGGAAGAAATATCATCTCATACACGAGCATCTACCAACTGACACATACCACACACTTTGAGGTTGGCTACATAGGAACTGTCCAGATGGCTGGGCCATGTTGTGCCAGTGTCCTGCCTGAAAGTACCACCCTCCCCCCGGTTTTTTAGACAAAAGCCAAAGACCTGGTTCATATCCATCCTGCCTATAACACTTGGACCACTCGTTATTCGCCCCTGATAGCCTTCAGCCAGGCACCGATCAGGATGCGGCGAATGCGAGATTCGCCCGGGTCGTCTCTGATTGTAACCACACGAACTCGTTTTCCCGTTCCGGCTCGCAGTCGATCAACCGGGGTCCGCTTCATGCTCGTTTTCATATCGAGAAACTCGAAAACGACCAGTGACTCGTAGTCTAAAAGACCAACGTAAGGCGCTCCTTCAGCAAGAGCGTAAGCGGTAGTCTGTTGAAGTAATTTCTCGACATCGACTGCGAAGACACAGGGGTACGTTTTGCCCAATGTGGATTCGATTCGGCTGGTGTTGGGTATGCGGCGGTGTCGATAATGTTTAGCTATGCGCGTGAAACTTTTTTTCATTGGTTTCGCCTTGCGCATGAGAAATCCTTGCTGGAGCTTGTCCTCTTCGTCATCGGAGAGCTCCTCCTCAGTGCACTCTTCAAGAATTTTGTTCACGCGAGCCAAACCCCTGTCCTTATACTCCAAGACGAGAGTCGACTTGATCGTGCGGTTGTCGGGGCCTTGCCACTCACATCTGGCAATCCAATCCGGGATTGTGACGATATGCGGAGGCTCACACGGTTGGGGGTTGGTGATCTGGGTGAATCTCGCCGCTTGGGATGTTGAATACATTTTGAAGTTGCTCCCATCATGGCCTTTGATCAGAATATTTGACACCTCTCTGTTGATTGAATGCTCTATTGATCTGGTGACGTCGGATTCGTTGCTGTGACAATGTATGGATTGATCGGATGTTGCGAGGTGTTGGCTGGACAGGCATCCGAACGAGTTTTGATCCAACAACTCATCTGCCACGTCACTATATCGGGACGAATTGGTCTCGATCAGAACCGTGGGCAAAGCCACTTGCTTGGCTGATTTGCTCGTCGCATGCAACTCTTTTGGCTTTCATCGGGTTCGTCTGGGGATTTGAGGAAGCGGTGCGTCCTTCCGGATGGCCTCGATAATGGATGGCTCATCCTTGCTACTTGCAGAAGTGTCCATGGGGTCTGACATCGGGGATAATCTGTTTTGTATATGTTAGTACAGACGAACCCTTGAACGAGACGAGAGTTGGGACGAGTTGAAGACTGACGAGAAAAGGCGACTTGCTAGGCTGCTGTTAGGAGAAAAGACTTGATAGAATTCTGTAGGCAAGAGAAACCAAGTAGTAGTAAACGAACACCGGACGCGGTTTCTTTCCTTCGGTTTTTTTCTTTTCTTGTTTGACCAAATTTGGAAGGAAGGAACTGATGTCAAAGTGGGAAGGAAAGAACTGAGGTCAAAATGGGAAGGAAAGAACTGAGGTCAAAGTGGGAAGGAAGTAGTAGTGGTGCCACTCACACCGCCCAAAAGCATTAATTACAGACTCTGCCTCGCCGTCGTACAGATCAAAATCTCAATAACCGCAGCCTCCGCCTTAGTCACCGTCCTCGACTTCCAGGCTCGCGAGCATGTCATTGAGCTCCGACTCCATATCGCCTGCCTCAGGGTGAGTGTCCAGGTCCTGTCCACCCGAAATTCCAGCCAACGGTTGCGACTGTGTCATGGGGTCGCCCGAAGACTCAGCTCCAGATCCCTCATCTTTCTCGTTCTCAGCTTCCACCGAGGTTAGGAGCGTGGATGGAGCTTGCTTTCCCCAAAAGTCGTCCGAGACAGTCGCAGAGTCTGAGGAAATGCCGCCCTAGGGCTCTTCCTTCATCTCGGCGCCAGTGTTCCCGGACGCAGTGCTTGTTTCCTCAGGCATGGCAACAGCACGCGGCTTCCTGCGGGTAAAGGCTGCATAATCAGGGTTGGTTCGCTTTATAGTGCCGAATGTTGTAACAAACCAGTAATCTAGATCTGGAGTGTCGTCCGGGTCGTCTTCAGGGGGTTTCCACTTGGCAGGAATCCATCCTTCAAAGTCTTCCAAAATCTCCCACGAGAATCGTGTGATTGGGTGAAGTTTCTTGTCGAATTCCGCCCACGCCTGGGCGGGCTCTGTCCGTAATTTGTCAAGGATTGCCTGTCTATAGCCAACAAGAACTGCCCGTGGTTTTGACAGATATTTGTCCAAGCTTTTCATCGTGATGATGACCTTCTCTGGGTGGAGCTCGGCACCATCAAGACCGAGGTACTCCTGTGAGACAATGCCATTCAAAAGCTGAGCAACAATCTGCATGCGCTGATCTTGGTTGGTGTGAAAGCTTCTCGTCGGTGGTTTGTCTTGATAGAGCGTGACTGTTCGCTGCGAAGGGCCAGAAGCCTTGAACAGATATGCCAGAGAGACGCCGTCAACATACTCGAGTGCAAGAATAGCAACTTGTCGGGATTTCTTTGAGAATTCGTCACTCAGACTCGTAACACTGGTTTTCCACCCTCCATAGAACCGCGAAGCGATAGCGGCGTATCCAGTGCGTCTGTGGTCGAATCCAGTAAGCCCTTTTTGGTGGAGAAAGTGATAAACTCCAAACTCGTCACTAAAGGCCGAGTCGGCAAGGATTGTAACTTTGATGTTACGCTCAGTGATTTCAAGGTGCTTGTGCCAGAACAAGGCATCGTAAACCTTTAGGAAAAGGTACTGCCCTGTGGATGGCATCTCCTGCTCTTGCTTGCTTGGGGAGGTAGATGGTGCTTTACTGACGCGGCACAAGAGCTTCTGAGAACCAGGGCGGTAGCCGGGACCCGGGCTACCGACAATCATGTCTACAATAGTAACCTCCATTTCGGCATCCTTGTCATGCCGATAGTTCTTACTTTTCCGAGGCGCATTTCTGCGGTCGAAAACCTGTTGGCGTAGCGAGTACGTCTCCTCCTCCCGAGGCAACATCATGTCTTCCTCTGTCATCCCTTCTGGGATCGGGTACAGGTTTGAGCCGTAAGGGCGAAGCGGCTTGTGAGGGCTGAGAATGAGGCGGGTGCCTCGAGCATAAATGTGCTTGTGGTCCAGCAAGATAGTTTTATCCTCGGTTGGATCCATCTTTGAAGAATAGCGTCCAACGAGTTGTCTCCTGCTGCAGGGTCAGATTTTAGATGAGCAGAGAGATGAGCAGTGGTACGAACAGTGGGACTAACAGAGGAGAGTTGCAGATGAAAAGGAGGATGTGACTTGCTTGTAAAGATTTTCAGTTCAGTCCGCAGACAGCCGGTTCTTCTTATATAGACAGGCATGAGGTAGGCAGGGTATCTGAGAAAGATAACAAGGCAGCAAGTTGCGAGTGTAGCTGGGTAGGTTGAAAATTCGAGGCAGCCCCAAGGTAGGTAGGTAGTAGGACTAAGGGGGTAGGTCACGTGGTTATACTTTTTCCTTGTCATCTTGGTAAATGCTAAGGAGATTTCACGGCTCTTCAATGGATGTTTAAACCATAATTCACACTTTCCAGGTCCTTCAAGAACCTTGGGCAGTTGTTTCCTGTGGCATGGCGTCTGCTATCAGCCGACGGACTCGAACTCCTCGACACCCTGCGGAACCTCCGTCATGCCCTCGACGTCGAACCCCATGTCCTTTTCGCCAAAGAGCCAAATATGCTCCTCCGTCACCCTGAACGACTGACCCTCTGCAGCCTGTAGTCCGGCCGCCACCGAGTCCGCCCTCTCAGATGCTGTTCGTCGTCGCACTCGAACGCCCTTCCCTCGACCGTAAGATTTTGTCACGCGCACCTATACTTTTTGTGTACTGCTACCTATTGCTAGTCTATCTATGCCTGCCTTATACTTACTCTAAAATCTCACCTGACGCAGAGGGCACTCTAATATCCTCCTATACACACAGTTAAAACATTTAGTATATATGGCATAATGTATATGCATAGTGAGCTGCGCATCAACGCCGTAGTATTCACTTCAACACATGCTTGCTTCAGTCTTATAGTGGCAACAGCTTAGGTCAGTCACCCAAAAGGGATAGTAGGGGTTGATGTGACTAATGTGGTTGTGGATGGATATATCGATGAAGCGGAAGTGGATCATCGCCGGTAGACCGTTGGACCTTTCTAGCTCCCACATGTGCCGCGGAGGAGCAAAGTTTGTGAGCTACCGCCCCTTCAGCGAGGGCGCTATTGTAAGCCAATTCGATAATTGTCGGCGACCCGGATTGAACCATCTCCATATCTCAGGGTTAGAGTCGCGCGGGGAAAATCAGGTAATGTTGAAAGGCAGTCACTGATTACTCAGATTCATACAACGATGACTTTGATATGAAAAAAGAGAGGAAAAACAGAGGAGGGGAAAGAGAGAAGACCCTCCCCTCCGATCAACGAGAAAAATGAAATAAAAATAAAAATAAGAAAAGAGAAGCAGGGAAGAAAGAAGGGAGCTTGAAGCCTGCATTAGCTAGGCTAACAAATCTCCCTCTCCACTTGGATTCGGAGTTTCGTGGATGGTTGATGATTGATGATTGACGACACAACCAGAAGCTTAGCTTCCTGCTCTCCCAGTGAAACAGACAGACTGGTACTCCAGGTATGGCGGGCAGGTGAGGAGGGAGGTACTTCAGCCACTGAGAGAGGTACAACCCACGCGCCTCAGTCCTTTATCGCCCTTCCTTATCGGAAAGACCCACACAGTCTTTGTCTCGCGGCCCGGCAGCTGCCTGAGGCGGGCACACTTGCCTACTAACGCTTACAGTCAGCCATGGCCCGTGGGGTCTCCAACCTTCAGTGCCCACCTCCCGTGTCCACCTAGGCATAGGCAGGCTATCCCATGACAATCACCCGACCGACATCTTCTGACCGTACGTAGCCTTATCCCGCGAGACCAACAGCCTCTTCAACACTGCCAAATCGAAACGCTCAACGAAAAATCGCGTCCCCTCCCCTTACCAAACGACGAACAGAAACCAGAAACAAAACAGACCTTTTCTCTTACGACTTCCACAATGGTTGGTTCAGCCTCCTCTCGTCTGGCTGTTGGCGGGCCCGCCCTCGTGCTTCGCTCGCCTGCTGCCTAGCTTCGATGTTGCTTTGCGCAGTCTTAACCTCCTACTAGCTCCTCAACTTGCTGACTCTGGGCCTGTGGTCGAAGATTGGACGTTTGACACACTACGCATTTGATGCGGTGCTCTGTTGGTTTACCCTCGACATCTCCCTCCCCTATTGTGTTTTGTTGTGTCGGGTACACATCGATCCGTAGGCTAACACTCGGCACACTCTCTCCAGTGTCTGCCTTCCTCGCTGGCATGAAGCGATCGACCGGCCTGACGTGAGTTTGAGTACCCCTCCATGCGAATATTGGCCTCGGGCACACAAGACAGACGGGCCCTTGGCAGCTAACATGTGCCCATTCTGGGAATCGCCAGACCCAGTTTCAAGACAGACAGAGCTGCCGGCGAGAACAAGGACGTTTCGAAGTGGATCGACAAGTACCTCGGTGTTGGTGAGTGGGTGATGGATCAGTCGGTTGCTATCGCTGGCTCCAGTGGCTGGTTCGAGCGCACGCGGTAAATCGGCATCGGCATCGACATGGATATCGGCAGACCTCTGCCCTTGGGTGACGGGTTTTATCTGCCTCTTCACGACGACTTGCCGGAGTCAGGCTTTGCCTCGCCTGGCCCCCGAGACAGCAACCTCGTTCTCTCTCTTTCTCTCGCTTCAGCACGATGCTGAAATGCTCGCCGGCTGCTTGGAAGAATGTGATATGGGGGTGCCGCTCGGTGGTGTGAAGGGGATGGGGTACGTCGGCAGGCTGATCCGTTGATGCAATTTTCTCGGTTCATTACCTCAGCATATCTGTCCACATGGGTGCCACAGGCAAATTCCAGGCTTTCTGTAGCTGCACTCGGGAGAGGAGAAAGGAGCCAGATGCCTCAGCCGGCGAGCTCTTGGTTTTATTGTTATAAGCAGCCCTTTTGGGCACAGGCTACTACTGCGGTCTCCCCCGTGTCCCTTGTCCTTACAACCGGGCTCCCGGACCCCGCTTTCGGGATCGTCCTCGTTGGCGAGACGTAGACACAGCCGAGGTTACCGACCAATCCAATGCGCCACAATTTCAGTTCCCTTTACACGCCTTGCATGCATATACTGGTATGGTAGCTTTGCTTTCCTTGTGACGATGAGGGCCACCGCATCGTGGGGAAACCAACATGCTGTGGAGGAGTCTGTCTAAATGGTGGGTCTGTTAACCGTTCCGATTAACGCTACCATGTTGAATCATAATCTGCGGGGTATCCTAAATCTGTGCCTGCGCCTTTCCCATCCCTTCGTCCATCCGTTACCCTTCATTCTCGAACTCATGGGAGTTCACGCAGAACTGCCCGTGTCCACCCGCAACACCCTAGATGCACTGATCCTAAAACTCCTTACTATCGCCATGCCCATGGTTTCCTGGGGAAAAGCCTCAAAATTGCATGTGCCCAGATAGCACAAGTATGCGCTGTACTGATCAATTCATGTTCCCATCATGCTCATTGTCGTGCTCCGCCAGGAACTCTGGCGGCACCTCGTTCTCGCTGCCCCGTCGCGATGATGACGTTTGCAGGGATCCGATAAGGGAATGTCCATCATCATGCTCCTCCAACCGTGATACCAGCAAGTCGGGCGGGACCTCGTTGTCACTCTCTTCGTGGTGACTCCGTGCTGTACATGCCTCGCCGGGGTCCGCTTGCGTCGACTGATGTGGTAAACCGTCATCGTTGGGCCAGGGTTCCTGAACATCTGCAACTCGAGGAGCCGCCTGGGACTGTGGTAGACTAGCTCGAAGCAGGCCCTCGGCTTCTCGAAAAGCTTCAAGCTCGGCGCCAATGGCACAGATCAAGAGGTTCCAGCTGTTGCGCTCGGCGGTCCTCACGTGTTCCTCCAGCTCCAAGATGACCTTTCCCATTCTCGGCAGTAGTGCCTCCACGCCTTCGAGGCCTGCTCGCTGAGGCTGCTTACCCTTGACCGTGGCACTGCTGCCGTCACTCAACGACTGGCGTAAGTCCGCCTCGAAGCTGGTGACTAGCTTTATCGTTTCCTGCCACAGCTCCGTGCCTTGCTCGAGCGCATCGCGATCTTTAGCAACCTGCATCTTGCGCTTCAGTAATAAGTCTGTTTCGCTTTCCCACCAATCCTTTGCCATGCTCAAAGTACGCCGCGCCGGTATCATACGGAAGAAATCGGCTCCTCCGGGCGGGTCCTGGGGGTTGATGGCATTTCCAGGCTCGTTGCGTGTTGTGGCTTCGACAACTTCCAAATCCAGAGGCTCGATAGGAGGCCGGCGCAGGAGGGACGCGACCTCTCCCTCTACCTCTTTTAGGGCACCCCTGTAGCCGCTGAGGCCAGCCTCTCGGCGGTTACGAACATCTTCCATCTTGCGCTCCAGCCATCTTTGTCGGTTTCGCATACCAATGAGCTTTTCCTCCAGTTGGCGAATCTCCTGTCCGAGGGATCCATGCTGCTCCCCAAGGCCTCGGAGCTCCTTTGCCAGGGGCTCCTCTTCGTCGTCTGCCAAACTGTGCAGTTCGGCTGAGATGCTGGTCCTGCGCGCATCCAAGTTGCCCAGGTACTCAAGGGCCTTTTTCCGCTGGGAGAGCGACGACTCGATGTAATCGTTCTCCTCGGCTTTGAGTTCGGTCAGAGCCGCCAACACCCGTCGGAGCCCGTTGCGTGCGGCCCGAAGGCCTTGTGGACCCGAGGACTTGGGCTGCCGGACTGGTATGATGTCGCCTCGGGGAGTGGCGCGCACCGGAGGATCCAGGGACGCCATCATACGTGATTTGGAGGTAGCGGTAGAGTAAAACGTGCCTGTTGGGGTGCTGCTCCCAGAGTCGCTCCATGTTTCGGGGCCTCCTGCGTTGGGTTCGAGAGATTCACTGCCAGAGACTAGTCCAGTGGCTTGCATATCAAGCAAGCGCTGTACCTCCTTCTGAAGGGACCGCTCTCGGTGCTGCAAATTACGCCAAACCGAGTCTACACGAGATATGCTTTGGTCGCGGGAGTCGTGGTCGAAAAAAATGCTTCCAAACATCACCTGGCTAGCCGTTATTCCCTTGGTCCTTTTCTCCGTATCCACCGTTCCATCCCGAGAAGTACGACTAGTCTGTGAGGCAGGCGGCTGTAGCAGCACAGAGGTAGCTATGGGAGGGGGTGGCCCGGCAAACATAGCCTTGGGCTTCATCTTGGAGACTGAGCCGGCTGGACTCGGGGTATGGTCGTCCCACGGATCTGCGGGGGACGGAGAGCGCCTTCTGGACATGGTGATGGGCGATCGCGGCAACTCTGGCAACAGCGCTTCATCGAGTCTCGGGGACAGGTCGTCAAGATCGTAGTCGTTAGAGCGTCTCGCGTGGGACGTGTATAACGGTAAAATGGGAGATTTCTGTCGTGTCGGCGAGAGGCGATCGAGAAATCTAGGTGAGCCGGGTGCCATCGAGTGGCATGGGTGCTGCTGCTGTAGCAGGCGAATATGAACAGGTAGTTATGGAAGGTTGACAATGATGTTTGGCTAAGTCGACGTTCTAAGTCGTAGGGGTCAGAGAGGACACGATATGGGTGAAGCTGAAGAGCGTCAACGAGGAGACGACATAGGCATGAGTAGTGAGCTTGAGGATTCGTAACGCGGCGAGATGCTATGAACGACGATCGGGATTTTCCTGCATTTAGCTGGGGGATGCAACGCGCCTAAGCAAACATGGTAATATGCAAAACATGAAGAGTCAAACCGAGTGAGTAAAGTAGGTACATATGTAGACGCCTAGACACCTAGCTCGATATGCTCACGAGCTTTGAGCATGTGCCACGGTCGGCCGGTACCAAGGTAAGGTAGGGGGGTCTCACAGCTGGGGGGCTGGGGGCCTCTGGAACCTCCACACTGTGAACAGCAGTACACGAGGCAGACGTCACCAGGCGGGTCGAAAGCTACAGGGAGCTACCTAATTGCGTATCGAGTCATGCCGATAAGCTGTTAACCTATTACCCGCATATACTCCGTACACACCCCCACAAGCATCAAGTAGTGTATATGTACATATTCTCCTGTCATCCATTGCGTGCTATAATACACCCGATACTACTCTGTACCTATACGACAATGCCCTCCGTTGGGTCAACATCCATACCAACGCAGCCTGGTCTACATGACATGGCCGCCCGGCTTCGTGCTGCCGCTCTAGCTTGCGGCGCAATGAATCGATTACTGATTCGGGTAGCGGCAACCCGTGCCGTCAACAGGGGAAATACTAGTGTATACACTTACTTATACAGTGTTGGTGTAGTGTAGTAGTATATCGTTCATCGTGTGTCGAGGACGATGCCGGACTATTTGCCGTAAGAGAACAGGGACAGGTGGCGGCCAGAAATACATACCGAGAAGATAGGTACAATGAGCTGGTTAAGCACTTTGTGAGAGCGGCTGTCCCAATTCCTTCTTTCTTGCGAATACTCGGTACATTTTCCATCTCTCCTTCCATGCCTCGTCCCCCGGCCGCGTTTACATCCGCGCTTCCGTCTCGGTCCATGCCCAGATCCATGCCCAACGTGTCCGAACTCCCCTCGCGCAGTACGGGCTGGCCACAGTCCCATTCCCACCTCAATCGACTGGTTGGCAGTCTCTTAGTCAGGGCTATGTCGTAGAGACCCCCACCCTGCTGTGACAACAGCAACGTAGACCATAGACCATAGACCATAGACCATAGACCATAGACAACATACCGAGAGACCATACGAGAGCCCGGGAGAGAGGCAGACAGAGAAAAAGAGAGAAAAGCCAAGATTCAAAGCATACACAATCCTCCTTGTTTCTCTTATGTATCATTTGTCTGCCATACTGGAGAGAGGCAGCGAGTGACGCGACGGCGACGTCCGCTCTTTCTCGGCGGCACTGCTGCTCGTTCTTTTCCCTTGGCCTCTCTCTCTCTCTCTTTCTCTCTCTCTTTCTTGGTGGGACGGTGAAGATCAGGAGCCGTCGTCTCCAACGTCCCGTTCTCTTGTCTCTTCTCGTTTACGTCTTGATTTTCATTGCTCTATCTCTATCTCTCCCCCTCCCCCTACCTCTCTCCTCCTCTCTCTTTGTGATTCGTTTCCAGACTTGGACGTCGCCTCATTGAACTAGTTGGCTGTACCTGCCTGCCTGTATACCTACCTAGGTACCGACCGCGAAGAACTGCTCTGCTAGCTCGTCGTCTCACGCCTTGTTGCGGCCATTACAGCAGCTCATCGAGCATGATGCACTTCCTAGGCCATCGGCGGTCGGCCTCTCAGCAGAGCATTGACCCAGAGACACTGCAGCAGCCACAGCAGCAATGGCGGCCGCATCACCAGCACCGGCTAAGCGCGTCGTCGGCACTATACCAGGCGGCACGGGCACTGGGCTCCATTGGCGTTCCTACCGCTGCCGCCACTACCACTGACAGCATTGCCTCTGCCAACACCGCCAACGCTAACAATCACCGCCCGCCGCTACCCACCCACCATCACTCTCAGCGGCCGTCGGTATCGTCCCAGTACTCGTCTTACGGGCAGCCCTCGCTGTGTTCTCCCCAGCATCAGCAGCAGGAGCAGCAGCAGCAGCAGGGCCAGTCTGGGTACTTCCTACCCAACCACCACCATCAGCCTCTCGCCGCGTCCGGCCCCGCCTTGTCTCCTCCCACCTCGTCTCTTCAATACACTCCAGGAGCCGCAAGCGCGACAACACCCGCCAGTGGGCCACCGCTGCCCAAAGAACCCCCCGTCGCCAACTTCCGCTGGGACGACGAGTACTATACTTCCGAGAACGACGACGGCACCACCACCACCACCACCACCACCACCACCACACCCAACGCCAGCAACAACCGAGGCGGCCACACGGCCACATTCACGCCTGCCGCCACGGCCGACGACTCCGCTTGCGCCCGCCCCCTCCAGCCTCACCATTCCAGTTCCCAGTCGCACTCGTACTCCCCCTCATTCTCTTCCTCCTCCAACAATAACAACCCGCACACTCACTCTCTCTCTCGGTCACACTCACAGCAGCAACAGCAGCGTGCTTCCATCCCCGCCGCTCTGCTTCCGGCCCAGGGCCTGCAGCCGCACCGAGACTCAACCTGCTCGCTGCGAGCCCACTCCACTGCGACTGAGACATCAGGGCCGCCGGGCCTTAACCCCTCCATCGCCTTGTTCTCCGATCCCTCTTCCTCACCCTCCTCTTCCTCTGTACCTGCCATGAACCAGCAGCAACAAAAGCAGCAGCAGCCGCAGCCGCAGCCGCAGCCGCAGTCGCCGCCGCAATTCCAGTCCGGCACCCCGCGACGCACCGGCACCTACAGCTCCCAGCACGAAGAATTGCACATGCCAGCGGGCATGATGCAGCACGGCCAGTTGTCGCCTCGCGAATACTCATCTTCGTCCGCCGCCCCAGCCACCCCTCATATCAAACTGGATCAAGCATCGCCAAACGCCCCCCAGTACCAAAACACCTCATCGGTGCCCAACGTCTTGCAGCCTGGTGGCCCCGGTAACCGCCCATCCGCCGTCACCGCCAACACGGCGCCTGCTCTGTCCACGATGCAGCCCCAGCAGTCGCAAGATTATCAGACGCCCTCAAAGCCCGCGAATCTGAGCTTGTCCCACAGCTACTCCCGTTCCTCCCCGGCTGCTGGCTACGAAGGTGCCTCGACCTTTGCGCCCTACACCCCAACCACCCCGAGCGGCTCAGGATCGCAATTCATGTCTCCTCCGGAGCAAAAGTACAATGCTCCCGGTTCGCAGCGAAACATCTCCAACACACCATTGGGCCTAGCCGATATCCGTCCCCGCGCCGATTCGAGCATGTCTGATGGTGTCCCGGGGAGTGTAGCCTACGAGCTGGCCAATGCCCAGCCTGGTACCAGCAACTACCTCGCCCCTTGGGCCCTCTACGCCTTTGACTGGTGCAAATGGCCTCCCCAGGGCAACGGTGCAGGGAAACTCGCTGTCGGTAGCTATCTGGAGGATGGTCACAACTATGTAAGAATACATCTTCGTCCCACTGCCCGCCAATCCGCACTAACCCGTTTGCCCTCAGATCCAAATCCTCGATACCCAGATGGTGCCGACGCCCAATGACGTCTACCAACCAGGCACGCCCAAGTTCAACCTCGAATTTTCAAAGGTTGCCGAAGCCACACACTCCTATCCCGTGACGCGTCTGCTCTGGGAACCACCGTCGTCCCAGAAACAGTCAACCGATCTTCTTGCGACGTCCGGCGACCATCTCCGTCTGTGGTCTCTTCCCTCCGAGAATCCTGTATCGCAGAGCAACTCCATCACCCGGCAGGCAAGGGACCCCGCCATTACGAAATTAACGCCTCTTGCGCTGCTTTCCAACTCAAAGACCCCCGACCATACCGCGCCGCTGACTTCGCTGGACTGGAACACTGTCTCCCCAAGCTTAATAATCACATCCAGTATCGACACCACCTGCACGATTTGGGATATTCCGTCTTTGACGGCCAAGACGCAACTTATTGCCCACGATAAAGAGGTATACGATGTGCGCTTTTGTGCCAACAGTGTCGACGTGTTCGTGAGCTGTGGGCAAGACGGGAGCGTTCGTATGTTTGACTTGCGCAGTCTCGAACATAGTACCATCATTTACGAACCTACTGGCAAGGATGATAGAGGTATGCCCCGCTGAATGTTTCTATATATTGGTTTGTGAGACTGAACGATTATCAGATGCCAATGGTGGCCGCATCAGCCCTACCCTTGCGCAGCAAACCATGTCGAACCCCCCACCTCTGCTCAGACTAGCAACCTCACCTCACGACACTCATTTGCTGGCCACGTTTGCTCAGGACTCCAACGTTATTCGCATCCTTGACGTAAGGCATCCCGGACAGGCCCTTCTCGAGCTGCGGGGCCATGGAGGTTCCCTTAACTCCATCGAGTGGTCACCTACGAGGCGGGGAGTCTTGGCATCGGGAGCAGACGACTGTCAGGTGTTGCTTTGGGACGTTTACAACAACCATTCCCTCAGCGGTGGACCTCCTGCCAACGGTGCCGCTCAACCAGATAACACGCGAAGCCCATATGCCAGCTGGCAGTGCGACTACGAGGTTGGCAATCTTGCGTGGGTTCCACACCTCTCGACCAACGATCAAGGGGAGTGGCTGGGAGTGAGTGCTGGCAGAGGCCTCTGGGGGGTCAAGACGTGTGGACGAGCCGGTGCCTGAAGAGGGCTGAGGACAACGAGCAGCATATTCATCTGACCGTCTTGCTGCCCTGTTCATAGATCTGGCTGGTCACTTGTGAAATATGCATCGCGAAGCCTGGCGTTTAGGAATGGGCTATCGAGCCGGCTGTAGGAGACAACCGTGCGTGATGTTCCAAAGGATTCCATCGGGATAGTTGAGGTGGGGATGATCAAACGACGCCCTCCGTGACTCACAATGGCTGCAGTGTCGGCGATGGAGAACAAAAATGGATGGCTATATACCGACGGGAGTAGTTAGGGGGGAGAAGAGTAACGGAATGTCATGATCAACGCGCGGTACTCGTCCCGCAGCCAATCAGTCCAACAGGTCATTTCCCATCGTCCCTTACAAGCTGTATGCACTATGTTCCATTGCGGCAATGCTGTCCTGGATTCCGGCCGGAGACGCTGCCATTGAGCGCGACGACTTTGCCCCATAACTTTTGGTCCGTCATATCTTTCGAGCGCCCGAGGGACTTGTTCGAGCCCATTGTATTCAATCCCGCACACAGTAGGCTGTATCGTGTTATCCACTATGGGTGATTGCAACCCATCCCCTTTTTCCCTTTTTCGTCATACTATTGTCGTAAACTCTCTTTGTACCACTGTGGGACGCAAACCGGTCAATCGAAAGAAAGGGTCTGACAAAGTATGAAATTCAGCAAGGTGACAACTCATATAGCCGACCAGTAAGATTTGCTTCAGAAACACTATGTTCATGGCGATATATTCCATCCCATCTGGAAACTCATATGTATAACAACCAGGATGAGAGATATGAGATATAGGGGTAATCCTGGAGGGTTGGAGATCCGTGATTGTTCGCTGGTGTGGTTGACTTTAGCTGGATCGGGGATTTACGTTGACGAATATGGTTATGCCGGCTCGGCTTTTACGTCGAGACGGCATTCTCAAAATCGTGGTTCAGTTAATGATGCAGCTGCAACAATCCGAGACAGTTGCCGTTAGGCCATCGGACCTACATTTGTACCTGCAACTGGAAAACACCAAACTAGAGGATTCCTTACTGCAATGATTTCCGCCAAGTCCAAAAACCAACGGCGTACGTCTGCTCCGCTGATGGCAGTCCCCTCAAGCCAGTATCTCTATTGGAACGTCAGTAACATCAGGAGCAGTCCATCTTAACAAGTCTGCGTTCTCTCTTCTCACTCTTCAAAACCAGGCGAGAAAGGTTGAACTGTAGAACGCGTCAAAAGCCTCTTCCTCTCGAAATTTGTTACTTCGACCGGAGGAGTTGGTGTATGATACGAATATGATTCTAGTGTATTCACCGAAAGAGATTCCATTCAGGCGGCTTGACGGAATGGGAGGAAACACGGGGTGGCGGCCCATAATAAATTGGATGCAGCTTTGACACCACCTACATAGGTACCTTTGGTAGGCACGTACTTACCTACCAAACTGTAGGTACCTGGGTAGGTATCTCTGTCATCTGCCTCAGGCCTGAGCAGCCAGTGCGTAGACCCGCTAGTCTCGATTCGGACGTGGACTGCTGTCGCGTTGCCCTTAGCTGTGACTCTGGTTTAGGCCATGCAGCTTTCTGCTCTTCGTTGCCCCTTCCCGAACTTGCTTCACCTAAATTCAACCGTCCAGTCCTCCAACCCGGTTGTCCAGGTTTGCCGTGGCTTCCTGCATTTTCGTGCCTTCCCACCTATTTTAATCAGGCTCACCTCCCCATCGGGTCGGGGAAGACCCTGGAGGAATCGCTTTCCCCTTCCTTGCTGCTCTGCTGGCTGGCAGTCTCACCTCGAACCAATCTCACTTTCGGCACATCCTCCAATACCACCCGCTATCACATCGCGAGTAAACCCCCCTCGTCTCCAAGATGGCATCTAGCGACCACAATCGGTACGATGATTCGGAGGAGGAGGATGATTTCAATCCCGCGCCCGCCGACTTGTCCGACGAGGAACCCGATACCAACAACAGGCACGCACGCGAAAGCAGCCCCGTTGCCGACGACGATGATGCTCCTGCTCCGTCAAAGTCGAGGATTCCCGACTATGACGATGACGAGGGACAAGAGGAAGATGATGTCGTGCAAAACGATGATGACGAAGAAGAGGACGAGGACGAGGACGAGGATGATGAGGACGAGGACGATGTACAACAGGTAAGCCTCCCTGCTTGCGCCGTCCTACAGCGTTCACATACATACATACACATCTGGAAAATGCCAGGTAGCTGTCTACGCCCGCAACATGATGCATTTCTCTCAAACTGCTTCAACAAGCACCGGTTTTTGACTCTGCTACATCTAGGGACACCGCCGCAAGCGCAGAAAGGACCGCCGCGCCGCTTTCTTCGATATCGAAGCCGAGGTTGACGACGAAGAGGACGGCGAGGATGAGGAGAAAGATGGTGAGGAGATAGAGGACTTCATCGACAACGCCCATCCCGACGATATTGCCGAAAGCGGAGGCCTTGACGATGATAGACGTCACAGAGAACTCGACCGTCGCCGCGAGATGGAGGCGAGCATGGATGCCGAAAAACAGGCTGAGATTCTTCGCCAGCGCTACGGCAATCGTCGCCCAAACAAGGGCTTTGGGGATTCCGCCGTTGTTCCCAAGCGCCTGCTGATGCCCAGTGTTGATGACCCTACCATCTGGGCTGTCAGATGCAAGGAAGGCAAGGAGCGAGAGGTGGTCTTCTCCATCATGAAACGCATCGAGGAAAGGATGGGCACCAAGGACGAATTGGCCATCATCTCGGCCTTTGAACGTGGTGGTCCAACCTCCGTCATGAAGGGTTACATCTATGTCGAAGCTAACCGTTCCACCGACATCATGGTTGCACTCGACGGCATGTTCAACGTCTACCCTCGATCCAAGATGATCCTCGTAGACATCAAGGACATGCCCGACCTGCTTCGTGTCACAAAGACACCCACTTTGGAGCCTGGCGCCTGGGTCAGGCTACGCAAACCTGCCAAACACGCCGGGGATTTGGCCCAGGTCATCGATGTTACCGAGAATGGACTCGAAGCCAGGGTTCGCTTCATCCCCCGTCTTGATTACGGAATGCGAGACGACGCTCTTGCCTCTGCCCTCACTGCTGATGGCAAGCGAAAGCGGCCTATTGGCATGGCCGGACCGCGCCCTCCTCAACGTCTCTTCAACGAGACTGAAGCTCGCAAGCGACATCCCAGACACATCCAGGGGAACCCAACCACCAAGGTTTGGAACTACATGGGCGACGAGTTCGAAAATGGGTTTCAGGTCAAGGATATCAAGATCCAGCAGCTGGTGGTTACGGACGTTAACCCAACCCTGGAGGAAGTTACCAGATTCGCCTCTGGTGCCGAGGACGGCACTGAGAACCTCGACCTCAAGGCCCTTGCCTCCAGCCTCAAGGACAGCAACATCAATGTCGCTTATCTGCCCGGCGATATCATTGAGGTCTACGAAGGCGAGCAGAAGGGTGTTGTTGGAAAAGCTACCAATGTCCAAGGCGATATTGTTACAATGCAAGTCACCGAGGGAGTCCTGGCGGGTCAAGTCATCGAAGTCCCCACCAAGGGCCTGAGAAAGCGGTTCAGAATCGGCGATCACGTCAAGGTCACCAGCGGCAGCCGATTCCGTGACGAGGTTGGTATGGTTGTCAAGATATCGGAAGACAGGGTCACCTTCTTGACAGACCAGACCAACACTGAAGTCACCGTCTTTAGCAAGGATTTGCGCGAAGCAAGTGACATTGGCGGACAGGGTTCGCTAGGCCAGTACGAGCTCTTTGATCTGGTCCAACTGGATCCTACCACCGTCGGCTGCATTGTTAAGGTTGATCGCGAATCGGTGGTCGTCCTCGACCAGAACGGAGATGCACGGCAAGTTATGCCATCGCAGATTGCCAACAAACTTCCCAAGCGGAAAATCGCCGTGGCTGCGGACAGGACCGGCTCCGAGATCAGGCTTGATGATGTCGTTCGAGAGTATGGTGGTCAACAGCGCCAGGGCAAGATCATCCACATTCATCGCGCCTATGTCTTCCTGCACAACAATGACAGTAACGAGAACGCCGGTGTCTTTGTGACCAAGGCTGGCAATGTCAACACTATCGCGGCCAAGGGTGGGCGTGTGCTTTCGGCTGGTCCCAACCTGGATCAGATGAACCCTGCCATGAAGCGCAACCCTAACGGTTCTGAGAGCAAGATGGCGCCACCCAAAAGTTTTGGAGGACGCGACCGTGCGATCGATAAGACTGTCATCATCAGGAAGGGCGGTTACAAGGGTCTTTTGGGCATCGTCAAGGACGCTACTGATACCCACGCCCGAGTGGAGCTGCACACGAAGAGCAAGACCATTACCGTGCCCAAGGATCACCTGAGCTTCAAGGACAAGATCACCGGCGCCAAGATTGAAATCAACGGCCGGGGTCGCGGAGGTCACAGCGGTCCTCCGGGCGGCGGTCGTGGCGGACATGGGGACTGGCAGGGAGGCAGGACACCAGTCGCTACCAACGGCCCAGAGAGAACGCCCGCTTGGGGCTCAAGAAGTAAGCGAATGCCCAACGCCACTTGTTTCATTGAATATAGCGCTAACATAGACGAGCTCCTGCGCCGACTGGTGGGCGTACTCCAGCTTGGAAGTCCAGCGGCCCAGACTACTCCGGATCCCGTACACCGGCCTGGGCCGATGGTTCACGAACTGCCTACGGCGATGGCAACCGCACTGCGTACGGTGGAGGATCGAGGACGCCGGCATGGCAATCGGGCGCCAAGACGCCAGCTCACGATGCCTTCGGACTGGGGTCGAAGACACCGGCATACGGAGGAGGGGATGCTTGGGGCTCTGGCTCCAAGACACCCGCGTATGGCAGTGGCTCTGCGCCGACACCCGGCGCCAGCGGGGGCGACTCGTGGGGTTATACGCCTGGCCAATCTGGTTACGATGCGCCGACACCTGGCGGCGCCCTTCTCGGTGCACCAACACCAGGTGCTCTCAACGCCCCTACACCTGGTGCCTACTCGGCGCCTACGCCGGCTGCTGCAAGTGCCCCGACTCCTGGCGGCGGGTGGCAAGGTGGATGGGGTGCCGATTCGGCTCCAACACCCGCTGCTGGTGCGCCCACTCCTGCTGCCAGCGGGTTCGGCTCGTCGTCTGCGTACTATAGCGCACCTACACCTGCAGCGTACGGCGCTCCTGAGACACCGGCGGCTAGTGGGCCTAGGTACACCGATGATGACTAAGACGCTCGCGTGGAAACAAGGCCAGTGATACTCGGTCGTTGGCACGGAGTTGTATTTGGCAAAGGGAGGCGAGGAAGACTGTATATTACCCGGCGTTCATGTAGAAAAGGGGGATTGGCAGTAAACTCAGCGCATTCAGGAATACGTAGTTTTTCACTTGATTGGCAACTTGAATGCGCTTTCCCTGTCCAAAATGATACAAAAAGATCTTGCCCAGTCTTGATTTTTTGCAATGGGTTTGTGTGTCGTCCCCAATCACAAGGACGAACATGTTGTTGCCCTTTTATATGTCTAGTCTCCTCGGTTCTGTAGATTGACGCCCGAGAAGTAACGTGATACCTTGGGGACGTTCGGTAGGTGTGGAAGAGGGTGGTTGAGATGGACGGAGCTAGTATGTTATTGTCTTTCGTCCTCGGGATCTGGGGGCTTGCCCACCGTTTCCGGCCACCTTGACCTGTCCCGGGGGGGTGTCCTCCATGCTCCTTGGAGTTCCATCTGTGCTGGGAGATGGACATGATGCAAACAGCCGGCTGGCTACGCGACAACCAAGTCGTCCTAGGCTGTGTGTTCCTTGCCTCCATGCCCTTTTCGTGCTCGGCCGTCTTCATGGACCGCGATGCTCTCTAACCAAACCAGCCACTGCTGACTGCATCCTGCCGGTCATTGTAACAGTGTGGCACACAACTGGGGTTTCGCACGTGTCTTCCTTGTCCACTAGTGCGACGAGACACTACTGCGTCTTTCAAAGATGGAACAAGGCAAGGCACAATCTCAAGTACCAGCCAAAACCGAGGATATCAAGGTGTACCTAGGTCGGCAACAGGCTTGAATTGCTAATGAAATATGGCTAATGAAGTAAAGTATAGTAAGATAAGGCTTAGTTTAGGGTCATGATGGAGGGACGCCGGGCCGCGACCACGGCCTCTTGATAAAGTGAAATAAGAAATTGTTCGGTTGCTTTGTAACTCTGTTGTACGCCTGCCTATGCCATTTCAATCATATGTTACCAGAAGGGGAGGGAAACACCCAGGGAGGTAACGAGACCTCATTCTCAATGGATCCTTGGCCCCGTCTCTCCCGCAACTCTTGTTCGGGATCGCGCCGCGTCACTTCTCAATTGGCAGCCACTGCGGCTTGGCTGGTACATTCGGAGCACACCTTTAGACGGTGCCAGGCGTTGGCTAGGTTGCCTCGCTGGTTATAGATGGCCTCGTAGCTCTCTGGCTGCGAGTTGTACGCCTCGTCCGTCGCCTTGACTAGGAGAGTAGAGCACCTCTTACCCTCATCACCAGGCTCGCCAAGGGGCATGATGCCCTCGTACCTCCAACGCTTCCAGGCCCATGACCTGTGGCCAGCCTTGGACGGGGCGGCTTCATGTTCGTCGTCGAGTAGCTCGGCTTGGTCCCATGTGCTGCCATTGTCAAGGCTAACGTCAACGCGTACTATCCTGCGACCGCCACCGGAATAAGCGTATCCCCTAAGAGAAGCCTCGCGGCCGCTATCCTTCTTCGAGCCCGATGCCAGGTTCTTCTCCACCGTCTTCCAGTCACCCAGCCTGACAGTTGTAATGGCGCTGGTGATGGGCATCTCTTGAATGGGCGCTGCGCGATCCCAGTCAGGACTTGTCTCGTTGGGGCCAAAACACTTGTAGTCCTTGCGCTGCCACTGACTGTGACTCTCCTCGTCGGAAATGGTGATCTGGCTCAACCACTTGACGGATCGAGCTGCGACATGACCAGGCACAAGAGCGCGGAGCGGGTAGCCATGGTCTCGCGGCAGGGGTTTGCCGTTCATTGAGTAAGCTAGCAGAACGTCGCCGCGTGGGTCGAGGGCAGATTCGATGGGAATTGATGCACCATAGGCCTCAAGGGCTGAGAACTGAACGTGTTTTGCTTCCGAATCGCCGGTCATGGCTTGCTGAACAGGGAAACCAGCATCGGCGAGGACATCCGAGAGCTTGACACCCTGCCATTCAGCACAGGAGATGGCGCCGACGTTCCACTGAAGTCCGTTGGTCTTCCGAGCATGGCGGGTCATGTCACTTCGACGGTTACCGGAGCATTGCAGTACCGCCACGACCGTTGCAGGCTTGAACTTGGTCTTGAGGTCATCGATGGTGTACTCCTTGACGGATCCGTCAAGAAGCTCAATCTTGAGGGTGTAGTCTGAAGTGTCGTCGACCTGGGGAACCCACATGTGATTGCGCACGTAGAAAAGCTCATTGGGAGTGAGATAGCTGTCAGCCAGGCCTTCCGGCGGCGTTTCTGCATTCCGAGGCTTGGGGGTGAGGGTGATGAGCCGAGGGTCACGGGCTGGGTCGTGCTTAAAGGGGTCTTCTATCTCCTGAGTAGCGGGCTTGCCGTCGACTAGGTCATTGGAGTCGATGAAGCCAATGAGGTACTGGTTCAGGATCTCGTAGACGTGTGGCGATTTGTGAATGGTGAAGATATCCCAGTAGGGGTCGATGCTCCCTCCGGCAGCGCGGAGAATGACATCACCTCCAGGATGAGCTCCGACCCATTCGGTTATGTCGTAGACCTTGTCGCCCTGTGTTACCCAGGGGCTCTTGGACTTGGCATCGTGCTTGCGGACCTCGGAGAGAGTGAAGCGGGGGAGGGACGGGTCACGGTCGTCGGGGACGGCTGCCGGAGCGGAGGCATCCACCGCGTCGTCTTCGTGGAGGAGGTGGAAGGGCTCCGAGAGGCCGACGAAGAGGGAGAGGAGACCGCCACTAGCGAGCAGAGTGCGAACGGTGGCCGGGCCCTTGCGGCGTGGGGGGTGTTCGCGTCCGGCGCTTGGTCGTGTACTTGGGTGATGCCGTAGTTGGTCCTGGCTCTCACGGCCCCTGATCGAGCGTGTCGAGAAGGAGGAGGAAGGGGGGGATGGGGAGTAGGAGGTGGGTGAGGCGGATGTCGGTCGGGGGTGTGCTGAGCAAGCAGAGGCGTGGGAGAGGAGGCATCCCGGCCGAGGAGGACTGAGAGGGACGGGCCGCCGGGTCGAGAGCCGTAAGAGCTCGCTAAACAGACGCCGCGGCGCTTTCATTGGAGGCATTGGCAAGGAGAATGGCTGAATCGGGCAAGATGTTGTTTCGTTTGGTGGACGACGACGTCGAGGGCGCGGCTCTGGTGTGGAGCTTGGACGATGAGGTGACTGACCGGGGCGATGGCGTGATTGCGCCTTTTTGATCCTTTTTGTGCTGGAAGAAAAGTTCTCTAAGAGGGTGGGGACACAATCTTCATAAATCAGGTCAGGTGGCTTGCATAAACAGACGACCTGACGAGTTATGCATATACGGTACGTACCTGCTGACTGTGCACCTCGGATGCGGATTAGCTTGGTATGGGGAAGCTGCAACGGGAATGATACGTACACCTACCTCGAGACGACGACGACGACGACGACGACGACGACATGTTTGAAGCGAGCAACGAACGGATGGATGCCTCCCTCTCTATAATACACACACACATACACACATACACACAGACTTTGTTTGGAACCCAACTCGGTATTGTGCCACTCCTTTCTCACCTCGAAATCATATCTACGCTACCAGACTATCAGCTGATGATAAACTCGAAACCAACGGCGTTCGTGCGTCACTACACGACGTCTTCCTGCTTCACTGCTGCTCGGATGGGGCCGATGAAAGCCGCAAGTCCACCCACGTGGACACCAAAGACCCGCGGCAGCCCGAGCCTGGCATGTCTCCACCATCGTTCCCGCTCCCACGCAGTTACGCCTTGTCCTGGCCTCCCTCAGACACCCTGGCCTTCTTCCGCTCCCTTTCTTGCGTCTGGGTCTTCTCGTCGGCCTGCGCCTGACCCATTGATTGCATGGCATGACGCTTCCGCTTCCCGCCGCCAGATCCAGTGCTGCCGTCTCTCTCATCTCCGCTCTCTGGCACCAACTCGCTTGGATCCCCCTCACTCAGATTGTCCCCATCCCCGCGATCACGATATGTTGGATCGCGGGTATGAACCCCCCGGAACAGCTTACGCTTCCTCCTACGACGGCTATCCGCATTGCCCTCTGCCCCATCGTCACTATCATCCACGCCTCCTTGGTCTTCCTGCTCTCCCTCTTGCCCCGCCCCTTCTTCCCCTTCTGACTCTTCTACATCCTCGTCCATGTCTTCATCTTCGTCCTCTTCTCCTTCATCTTCCGACCCCTGTACGTAGGCTTCATCTCCGTCATCCTCTTCGCTGTCTCCCGCATACTGGTCCTCCCGGGGTCGATAAGGCATCCCCCAAACGTCTTGATTGTTCTCATTGTTCGGATCGTGTGCCCATTTCGAATATGTCCGCTTCCATTGTGCATCGGTTGGGCACATGGTTGTCTCGAGCTGGGGATTGTCTCTGACAAAGGCATCTCTGATGTCCTTGAACTTCAAATTACCCTTCGGAATCCATCCAACTCTGCTTGGCAAGAGGGGCTCCCCATTATGATTGTACTTGACACGGCCCAGTTGTGGTCGGATTCGACAGCTTCTCGCCGGATCTGAATGAGCCTACGAAACGGTGAAAGAAAAGTTCCAGTTAGTTGGCCATCAAACACAATGGCGTTTGGAGGTTGTCGAGTAGTACTCACATCTATCTGCTCTTGTCTGGTTGGATCGCCGTCCGGGATCTGTGCTTTCGACCCTCTCTTGGGTGCCTTGCGGAAGCAACGCGAGCAGTACAAGTCATCGCCCGCGTCGTAGCTCGGTAACGGAGCTGCAGTCTTTGGCTTCGAGCCCGAAGATGGCTTCTGGCCTAACGCTGGCTTGCTGCGTGCTTTACTTGCTTGCTTCCCCGCGGGCTTTCTGGGCTTCTCCGTGTGGTCTTTTGGTTTTGCAGCTGGGCCCTCGATTTTCCTGGGAGGACCACCCGCTTGTGTCTCGGTTTGCTTGTTTGAGCTCCCTCCCTCCGGGTGGCCTGCTCTTGGAACAGCTTCTTCGGGGCGAGCTGCCTCGGGACCAAGGGGCATGGCACGACTGCTACCTGGGGCATCTCCTCTTGATTGGCCGCCTCCAGCTCCTGGTTGATTCTGAGGCTGGGTGGCAGGAGCCGCCGGCATGGGCGTTCGTTCAGAAGCTCCCGTCGCCGCCCGATGCCCCAGCTCTTTCGGCTTCGTTACAGGACGCACTTGGCCCGCCATGGGCGGCTTTCCTTGGCGTTCTCTTTGTCGTCTCCGTTCTTCAAATGTGATCTGCATTTCGGTTGTCCTGTCGCGCGGCGGCGCCCGCAATTCAAAGTCCTCGGCGGAGTGCGCTGTTTCCATGTGGTGATTCCACTGTCTCTGGTTCATGAAGCCCACCATGGCGCCGCACTTGTCGAAGTGCGGGCATCGTTTGTCTCGTCGGTCCAAGGCTCTCTCGTTGCTGGGGTCCCAAAGCGAGTGGCCCGCATAGAAAGGTTCGCGGGCTATAATCGGTGGCGGAGGCCCTCCGGAAGCCAAACGATCCCAAAGCTGGTAGACGTGGCATTCCATGTGGGCGACCTGGGCCTGTCTATCCTCCACCTCTCCGGGATTCCTCTCTTCTTCGCTTTCATCCTTGGCCTTCATGAACGAGAGGTGGCAAAGCGGGCACTGCTTCTGCGGTTGACCACCGTGGTTCGTCTCGAAGTGCCCTAGAACCTCTGACGGCGTCAGGCCAAAAAGAGGTTCGCGACACCCAGCTATTTTGCATTCGGACGGGGGATCTTGCGTTGGCACCGGGCCGGATCTCTCGTACCATAATAGAGGGAAGCTCAGGTAGCGAGTAGGTCCGTTGGGGCGACGCTGTTTTCTCACAAGCATCGAAGACGCGTCCTGTCCCACGTACAGAGGATCTGTAGGCGCGTCCTGGTCCTTCCAGTACGTCTCTGGGTAGATTTCGTAGGGGGTCGCTGTGCCGTGTTCCCTCTTCTTGCACTCCAAAATGTGCTTCTTGACGTCTTTGATTGGATCCTGGGTGCCATTCTTGACAAAGTGGCGTTGGCAGTACGGGCAGAAACAGCCCATGGTGCCGCAGTAGCCCGCACAGTACGTACGATGTTTGTCGATCTCCATGTCTGTCATGTCCTTCATTGACAGCCCGCACCTTTTGCAGTGCGGCTTGTTCAGATGAACCGTGCCGCGGCACTTGTGTGGATATACGTCAAACGGCGCAAACTCCTTTGCGTCTTGCTCCGTCTCCCATTCAGCATCTCCGCATGCTTCGCAGAATGTACAAAGGCCACCTCCCTCGGCGAGTGGCACGCAAACACGATCATGATGCTTCCGCTCGGCTTGTCCCGTGAGCTGTGCATGGTCGCGGCCACAGCGATCGCAGTAACGGTAGTCTGCCTCCTTCTCGCTGGCCTTGGGCGGCGGTGACGGTCGAGGCAGAGGCCCGGATGGTGGCCGAGCTCGCTCCATGATCTTGAATGGGGATATCGATGATGTCAACGGTACACTGACATTGTGCAGTCCTCCAGCCGTGGAAGTCCGGGACGGTTGAGGACGTGGAACGGATTTCTCGGCCTGGCCCAACATCTTGCGTAATTGGTCCCCGTGGGCAGTCTTATAGTGCGCCTCCTTTTGTTTCCGAGACCAGAACGAGAAAAGTCGATCATCGCACCAGGGGCACTTTTGTCCGGTGTGATTCTCTTCCAGATGTTTCACGAGCTTCTCGTCCTCGTCCACGCGGTGGCTGAACTCGCAGCCCTCGTATGGGCACTTGGAAATCCGGTCCAGTACCATGCCGCGGGTTTTCCACAACGCCCCCTGCATCTCGCGCTGTTCTGTAACGGTGAGTACGTTCCTGGTTATCATAGGCAGTCGTCCTCCTCCCACTCGCATCACAGACTCGACAGGAGGTGCGTTTATGGGGAAGGATGGGTGGTAGATGCCGTTGTCGTAAATGCTCGGCTGCGTTTCCCAGCTCGTTTCTCGCAGATTCTGCTTGGGTACCCTTGATGTCTCTCGGCTGACTTCTCCTCTCTGCCTCTGAGCGGCCAAGTGTTGGTTCTGGACAGGTTGGGCAACCGGGGGCAGGGACAACTCTAGACGCAAAGGCGTTACTTGGCCGTACCGAGGGCCCCATTGGTTTCCCTCATCCATTTCTTTGGCTACGCCTTTGACTATTTTCAGAGTTAGTGACCGAGGCGCAGAAGGTCACGGCCATCTTGATACTTACCGAAGTCGAGATCGCCGTTGTTCAAGACAGTAACACGCATGATTTGCGCGACAGAGAGCCGCCCAACCATAATTAGCTCGTAATTGGCGGCATCGGGCCTCAGGACGAAACGAACCGGGTTCCATTGCCTGGGGAGGCCATCTTTCTTGTAGATGGGCGCTATGAGAACGCTGTCCCGTTCGGGATCATATTGCACTTTTGGGTCATCCCTGTACAGGCTCTGAACTTTTGCTTTGAACGTCTCCATTGTATCCGAGCCTCCTTGGAACGCAGCTGAGCCATTGCTGTTACTCGGGGTCTCCATCGTGCGCGAATCGTTGCGTCCATAAAAGGGCTGGATGACGAAGAACCGACAAGGCTCCCTCACATTGTCAACAGCATTGACGATGAGTTTTGAAAGCGTCGCTTGATCTTGGTTCTGCTTCTGAAAGTTACCCCCACGAGGGCTCCAGGAAACCGGCTTGTACTGTTCCACAGGATTCTTGATCAAGGGGTTGAAGTAGTCGGTTCCGCGCCAAATTCGATACGAGATATCTTGGGGCATGTCCAAACCCTCAGTCATCGCCTTGATTTTCTGTAGTGCATCGGGGTAAGGGTCTTTGGAGCCTGCCTGGCGATGGCACTGCCGGTTCTCCGACTTTTTGGCTGATTTGATGATGCCTCCCGGCAAGTAGAACACGATGCAGTCCTCGGGCAAGGGACAACTTCGAACAACAAACGAGCTTCCCTTGGCAACGGAAGGATGCATCATATGCAAAAGGCTAGCGTGCATCTCGAGGCCACCATACCAGTAAGTTGAATCTGCGCCGGTCTGGCCATCCTCGGCAGTAATTTCGATGTCGCAATGACTCGCACCAGGCCTATCTGGTGTTCCTGTCAGGACCTGCTGCGCCGTGGTGAGAAAAGGCATGTACTGGTTGGCGCCCCAGGGCTGAAGGAAAGAACGAATGCTTTCTGAGGGCTTGAAGCCGCCAAACAATGGTTTATGGGACGGAAGGTTGAAATATGAGACGTTCTCGTGTCCCTCATCCAAGTGGCTCAACTTGACCAGCGAAGAAGAGAAGAGAGCCTTTCGTGGTTCCCACTCATTGGGTTCCCGTTCTCCCCGACGAAGCACAAACCAGACGGTTTCGATGCCGGAATTGGCTTTCTGTCTCAAGATGTTCGCCACCTGGCCGTTGGGGTTGAGCGGAATGTTGTCGTGGAAGCTTGTCCTGGCCTGTCTGGAGACTTGATCAAACTCGACGAGTACTAGATCACAGCCCTCGCGTCTTCGAAGAGACAAGAGCTTCCTGGACGCTGCTTCGAACGTGGACAAGTCGCCAGGCTTAAACATGATTCGGCCTTGGTAACCATAAAGAGGAGAGCAGTCGTGCGCCCGGGGGGTCTCAACTGGTTTTTCTTCGAATCGGACCTTCGTCGCGCGCCCGCTCGTGGCAGACGCAGAGGCATCTGACACGCTCATTGTCAAACCTGAAGACCGCTGCATCGAGCTGGCTGGTGGGTACTGAGCACCATAACCACTGGTTCGAGTTGGCGGTCTGGTTAAACCTCCTGAGCTTGTTATGGTAAGAACATTGAGATCGTCATGCTCATACTCATCATCGGTCTCCCCAACAACTTCTGGCTGGCGTCCTTGCCCGGCGTTTTCATACATACGCCCATCCAACATCCGCAAGTCGTTGTCGTCATCGAGACCTCCACCTCGGAGGTTGAGTTCTTGGGCAGCAGTGCCTTTCGGCATCTGAGAAGCTGGGACAGGGATGGTGCAGAATTGGAGTTCCATTCCTGCATGAACAGTGAGTAACTGGCGATAACGCGCAAGTTGGACCCGTACCTCTCATGTAATCGCGTCCGTAGTTTCTCTGGTCATGGGCTGTGAGAAAATTCAATGGAGGGCGAACCTCAACGTCGCATAGTTCATCCCCGTCATCCACGTCAAAGTCTGGCTTCGCGGTCTCAAACAGCTCGGACAAGATTGGCTCAACCGGCAGACCAAAGTATAGCATCGTAAACTTGGTCGCCAACGAGAGATGCCAACCTTTGAATCTACCAGTGGTCAAGCTCCGATACCGTCTGGTGTTGTCCTCCTGACAATTCCTCAAGCTCAGAGGTTCCGTGGCAGGCATGAACAGTTTCCGCTCATACTCTGTGAAGTACGACTCCAGTACCTGCTCTGTCCGAAGAGTGGGCTGGGAAAGCAGGTCCCTGAATCTGTCGTGAACACTGATCCAATCGTCGTCGGTTGGTCTGATGAGAGCGTTGTATCTTTTCTGGGGCTCGAGGGCCTCCATCTGAAGTTCCGCCATGGCGGAATTGAATGATGAGCTGCAAATTGCTGGCGAAACAGTCCAGTCCAGTAAAAGCAGACGGCGCTTTGTAGTGGAAATCGAAGGAAAAGAGAATGACTAACAAGAGAGTTATTCTGTGTCAATCAGAAAGACTCAAAAAAGGGCCTTTATAATATCAATGAAGTGATGATGAACGGGTAGTCAGAGCCCAACAAGACCGAAAAGATGGGCAATATTTTTGGGACTCTTGGAACCCCCCGTGGAAGTGGACAGAGCACTCTTTCTTTGATGATTGAAGCCCCTATTATCATTGTTCATTGAGGTAATACTATTGGCACATCTGCATCCAAGGGAGAATAGCAAAAACAACCAGTTACACAAACTTTGAAAGTTTCTGTGGTTTCATCTTCTCATCTAAAAAACTTATTAAGGAACACAGCTAAGTAGCAAAGACAGAATTGTGGAACGGTGGTCTTTGTTTGCAGCGTTGCATGCAAGTCTAGACGGCAACCGTACACCAGCACCATCTGGAAGTCTGTGAGGGCACTGATGAGAGAAGAAGAACCCTCTATGTATGTCTGACTTCAATGTAGAATAAGCAAATCCTAAAGGAATCATGTGCTCATGTTGTTCACAAGGCCGTCCAGAGCTTGCTGTCAGCCTCTGGGATCGTCAGTAGTAGTAGCTGCTGCTGCTGCTGCTGCTCATGGTCATCTTGTTCAGTCTATGGAAATGAATCTTGTGCCTTAATGAGACAGTGAGCATAAGAAGCTTGTCCTGGTGATTTGGCCGATTGGGTGCGAATAGCCAAAGTGTTGCAGCCAAGATCCTCGCCTAGGATAAGTCCGACAAGGAGTTCATATGCTACCATTGTTCTTTGTCAGAAACGAATCTTCAAGATTCTCATAATGTGTCTTTGAGAGTATAAAGAATGAAAAAGCCCTCCGGAACGAATGCAGTCAGATCAAGGGCATAAAGACGATGAGGGGGGTGAGAGCGGATGGTGAGGCCTGTTACATGGAAATGCGTAATGCGATGTCAATGACCTTTACCTTGGCCCACCTCAATAGGAGAGAATAGGCCAAGGGGAACCAAGAGTGCCAGTGGCCATTGAGGAACAGAAAGTGTATGGTCAGGGTTCAAAAGACAGACGACAATGTTACGCACACTACGCTTTGCCTTTCTTGAACAAGCAAGGGAGGAACTTGAGAAAGAAAAGAGTGGCTGAAATCACTAGGGTCCAAAACAACTCGTGCCACCGTCTTGCACTGGTTCATTTCGGTGCTGATCCAATTCGAGACTGCTGCTTGCCAGCTTTACATACGCTATAGGGTTGGAGGCCATTCCAGCTTAATCGATGTGGGGAAGTCATGAAGACTCGGCGCGCAACACTATGCACTTCTCTGTCTGAGAGAAGACACGATACATAATACAGCCATAATATAGAAAGCTCAAGGGTATTTAGAAGAGGATATGCCACAGATGCAACGCATCCACTAAGCAGTTTGTTTGGCCTTGGGCCGCCTCACCGCGATCAGATCGGATGACGCGAGACGGAACCGTTGCGGGGACCCCGCGTTTCTCGTCTGCCACAGACATCAGAACCAGAGCCCGCTTCTCCTCAGCACAAATGACAACTGCCTGCAGGGCCCATAAAGTGGAACGGTTCGTTCTGGGGCACCTGGGGCACCCAGAGGTTTCCGGCAATCATGGACGTGCAGTTGCGTTGCTTTGCTCTGCGTTGCGTTGCGTTGCGTTGCGTTGCGTTTCTCTCATTGGCAGAGGCGCGGAGGGAAGTCCTACACCAGTCCGTTCCACCCGACTCTTTCTTGTTGGAGTATACATGGCCTGCGGTCCTGTTTTGGGGTCCAAACCATGTATAGCTTAACATGATCCTCCTCATCGTCGTCGTCTTCCCTGGCCCAATCTGCCCAGAGAAAGGTGCGGGGTCCGAGTGCAGCCCTGGCTCTCGCAGTTCAAATCCGCAGAGGGCGGCTGGATGACAAGTCTTAACATTGACTGAATCTCCGCCGCCTGCCATATTAATAAAGACCACTCTGTGCTCGAGCTGAAACTTCCTCGTCATATCTCAATCAACTTGATTTTAGCGAATTTGTCTACTATTCCCATCGTTTTCCGTGTCTGACCATTCCCCGATTCACACACAATGGCATCGCAGGACGGCTCTCTGTTGGAGACATTGAGGTCTACAAGCCAGGTTGACTGTGACACACTTGACGTTGATGGTACTATACTCCCCCTCCGGCGTTAACCTCAATCATTTCTGACACTATAATAGTTGCTGCAGATCTGGGCCCCTTTAGAGACCACACCTCCAACCAGGCCATTGCATACAACGAACTCACCAAGGTCACTCCTGACGGCAAGTTGCATCACGAGAAACTCATCAGAGACTCTGTAAAGGATGCCTATGGCTGGGCTCAGGCGACGTGGCCAGACATCGACCCAATTGTCCTAGCAGTCGAAATCATGGTAATCAATAGTTGCATCAAAATCGGCCGTGCCGTTGTGTATAGTTTCGTTGACACCCTTTCAGATGGTCAGATTGTCACTTCAATTCGTTCCTTATCTGACGGGTTACTTCCACATCCAGACCAACACCAAGTGGTCGTACTCGGTTGAGAAGACTTGCAAAAATGCCGAGAGTAGGTTGCGATGACCCGATTCGTTCCGGTCCCAGTCTGGCTGATAGAACCGGCTTCTCCATCAGGGATTGTTGAAACGTTCAAGAAGCTGGAACCCAACTTCGACACTAGCAGAGTCTGCATCAAGATTCCTGCGAGCTGGGAAGGGATCGCTGCCTGCCGCATCCTCGAGAAGAAAGGCATTCATACACTTGCAACGACCATGTTCTGCATGGAGCAGGCTGTGTTGGCTGCCGACGCCGGATGCACCTACATTGCGCCGTACGTTAATGAGCTCAAGGTCCATTTCGTCCCCGGGTAAGCCGAGCAACCTGAGCCCAAAGCTATGGGCCAAACTGGATCTGACGCGTGAACGACCTCCAGCTACGTCGACGAGCACAAGGCCTTCGATTTCTGCAGGCAGGCGCAACTCTACTACGCCGAGACGAAAGCAAAGACGCAGGTACTGGCTGCCAGTCTGACGTCCATCGCGGAGGTGATGCAGCTGGCCGGCATTCAGCACGTTACCGTGTCGCCGCCTCTCCTCCGAGGCCTTGCTGCGCAGCCGGCATCGACCTGGACGGAGCAAGTCGGCGAGTATTTTGCGGCCGGGCCGGACAAGCCCTGGACCAGGAACTTTGAGACGGAATTGAGGGATGAGAGTGAATGGCGCATTGCCTTCACTCGGAGTGACAGCGGAAAGTCCGAGGAGAAGCTCATTCAAGCCATCAACATCTTCTCAGACAAGCAGGATGCTCTCGAGGAGCTGGCACGTCGCTTCGTGTAAGTGGAGCGAAGACCAAGACCTTTACGCTCATGTAAAGGGTGGACCTTGAGCTTGGAAGGAACATGATTGATCTACTAAATGTCTCTGAGGTTCTGCTTGTTTGTTTGTTTGTTTGTTGCAACGTCTGCCAGCTTTCCACTTGTAGGCAAAGCTCGACGTGTATCTTTTGGCCCTACAGAGCGCATCGGTTCAGTCCTTGGCACACTTGCATCTCCTATGTTATGAGCTGGTGAGTGCATTCAGGCGATTGAAGAGCCGAGTATCTGCTTCTTGTCTCGCAGCACGCAGCGATGTGAGTGAGTGAGTGAGTGAGTGAGTGAGTGAGCGCCAACAACGCCCCAGAGTCTCTCTACTAGGTAATCGATCCCATGACAAGCAGAAGAGTAATAATAACCCCATACTCTTGATAAGGTGGCTGACTGCGATTGGATGCATCGCCCATTTTGGTGCGTCAGCGTTCACCCCTGTATTTTTTTCTCTCTTTGTACAATACGTGAGTTAGATACCCTGATGACCCTCAATGCCCAACTCCTCTCGTTATCGGCGTTCGCTGCTGCTGATAGCTGGCTCATTATCTCTCAACTTGCCTCCTTTGGGCAGTCCGAGTTGAGATGGTCAGATAACTGGGGTGGTGGCTGGATGGATACAGCCAACTGTCGATAGTGACCACATTGCCGGCCGCAGCTCGCGGATTTGGCCGGGGCCATTGCCGAATCATACCCAATCTGGGGGGGGGGGGGGGGGGGGGGATGATAGCTGTTTGGTTACACCGCACCACGCCGTCTTCTTACGGACGAATACATAATGTCTCTACTTCCCGCCGATCTGATGTGGCGTGCCGCCTCCGCAACTAAGCCCAGCAGGGTCGTCGGCATAATTCGTTCCCAAGAACCTTCCCGACGACACTCTATCTGAGGCCAAGGATCACCAGAAGCAGCCTTCTTCACAAAGCCTAAACCGTTACTTGGCAGGCATCTCTCAAGATGAAGGCATTCAACAGACAAGAGTTGAGGCTGCGATGTACTTCGATCAAGGCCTGGGAGCTCCCCCGGCATTCTAGTAGTGCTCTCGCACCCGAGGGAGTATGGGTAAGGATCGAATCCCCCCGCCCCCCTCTGCTCGAATGAATGGAACTGAACATGAGCACGGGGCTAACGCTCTGCTTTAGACGAATGAGGATATGGATCCTGTCAAACCGGAGCACCAGACTTGGAGCATCTGGACCATCCTCGCCTACTGGAGCAGCGATCTCATGAATCTCTCAACGTTGCAGACCGCGGGCTCGATCCTCGCGGTGGGCCTTTCGTGGAGAGAGAGCATTCCCATCATGTTTGTGGGAACGACCTGCATTGCCGTGGCCATGGTTCTGAATGGCGCCATAGGCAGTCGGCTGCATGTACCGTTCAGTGTCATCGCCGCGGGCTCCTTTGGCTACCGGTTCCGGTACTTCGCCATCGTGAGCCGGGCTGTTCTTGCCATGTTCTGGCTTGGCGTCCAGTGTGCGAACGGCTCCTACTGCATCACCATCATGCTTAGCTCCTGGGCACCTTCGTACGCGACGATACCAAACTCCCTGCCTGAGTCGGCCGGCATCACCTCCATGGGCATGTGCTCGTAAGTTGGTCCGTCCGAGCGGATACGAGCCTTTTCGTTGCCGTATCCATCCTTCCTTCTTCTGCTTACCTTACCGCGGCGGTCGTCCAGCTTCTTTCTCTTCTGGATCCTCCAGCTGCCCATGCTGCTCATTCACCCGACCAAACTCCGGCCGCTCTTTTACGTGAAACTCGTCGCCACCCCCGCCGTCGTCCTCGGCACACTGGGCTGGGCGGTCAAGAAGGCTGGCGGCGGCGGCGAGATCTTCAAGCTGCAGCCCGAGGTCCCCAAGGGCACGGCGCAGTACGCCTGGCTCTGGCTGAGTTGCATGTCCAGCGTCACTGGTCAATGGGCAACCATGGGAGTGAACATCCCCGACTTCCTGCGGTACAGCAAGAGCCCCAACGGGCAGCTGGTGCAGCTTCCGTTCGTCCCTTTCGTCTTCACTCTGTGTGGGACAATGGGCATCATCACGACATCGGCGACCAAGACTTTCCACGGAGAGTATCTCTGGAACCCGCTTGATATCATCAGCCTCTGGTTGGAAAATGGGCCAGGCGGGCGTTGTGCTGCCTTCTTTGCGGCGCTCGCGTGGTTCATCGCGACGGTGAGTGGTATACTAACACATCCATGTGTACGTTCTTCTGTTTGGTGCTTTGATGCTAATGTGTGTTTCCAACGCCTCCAGGTGGGAACCAACGTGACGGCGAACTCCATCAGCGCCGCCAACGACCTCACCATCATGTTCCCGCGGTACATCAACATCAAGCGGGGCTCATTGGTAGCGGCCGTGATCGGCGGTTGGGTCCTCGTTCCCTGGAAGATCTTGGCCAGCGCCGCCACCTTTCTGAACTTCATGGGCGCCTACGCGGTATTCCTTGCGCCGATTAGTGGCATTCTTGCGGCCGACTTCTGGATCACCAAGCGCCAGCGCTACGATCTGCCAGGTAAGTCTCATCGTATGAGCCGACGTATTTGCATCACGAGCCTGTGCTGATTCATCTTCTCTTGCGGCCAGCTCTGTACGATCCTCATGGCCGCTACAGATACGTATCGGGCTGCAACTGGCGGGCCTTTGTTGCCTTTATCTTTCCGGTGGCTCCCAGCTTGCCCGGCATGGCTTTGGCAATCAGTGGCTACCCAGCGGTCAAGATCTCCGAGGGTGTACAGCACCTGTACACGTTCGATTGGCTCTTTGGCTTCGTGGTGTCAATCTTCCTATATGTCATCTTGAGCTGGCTTGTACCTGCAAAGGAGACGTTGGTTGAACGAACAATCTGGACGAAGGATGGAGCTGACATGGAAATCACAAGCCATGGCAACGACGTCGAGAACCCCAAGTTGCCAGAGAAGGTTTACACGAAGGCAGAAGACGAGGATGATACCCCCCAGTAGCAAGATCTCCCGAGGCTCAAGATGTGATGAAATCCGGGTACAGCCTAGTTCTATGTTGTGGCATACCCACCACGGACAAGAAGTTGTTCGTCATCCAAACCTCATTCACCACGTTGCTAATGTATCTCAATTCATTTGCCTTATCCTCCTCGCGTTTGCTCACCAAGGGAATGTTGGACATGTATATAAGCTCGGACCAGGTTCCCTGCTCTTCTTCACGCTTCCCGAAATCTTAAAGCCTACACGAACGACACATACGCCAGAGACCAAGGCAAGTGGAAAATACCTTCTCACCCCCGGATAGAAATGATGCTGCAGAGGATTGTTGGCCTTTCTCTGGTTCGCTTCGCTGCTCCTCGTGTATCTGGCAAGATGTTTGAAAGTCGACAGCTCGGAGGCCCAGTCGTGGTCAGCAAACACCCAAGGATTACCCATACTCTCGTTACTGTCCCCCTTGAATCAAAAGCTGACTATTGCCGCTTGGAACCAAATGAAAAACTAAATTCGGGACTGAGGACTCGATTGTTACACTACTGTACAGCCCGGCAGGTCCTCTTGCCCCCCATGGACTGTCTCTACGCAGCAGAGTGGCAGCCCATCGTCCATCTCTAAGCCGCCCCTTTTCTATGTTAAAATACGGCCTCGACTCCGCAATAGATGGGTTAGTAGCCCGTTTACGGGAACCTTTATTCCTCGTCTTCATCCTCCTCGTTATCTGTGAAGTACTCAAACTCCCTCGGCACTTCAGCCTCCTCGTCTCCTTCGCCATCCTCGTCAACGGCAGTCAGAACGCCGGCGGCGGCTGCCGCACCGCTCTCATCCGTCGCGCCGCCAAGATCGCCTCTTCTTTGACGACCGAGCAACTCGCTGAGCTCGTTCAGAGAGCGAAGGTCGCCACCGTTGCCGGCCCGGAGGGCTTGGGAGATGAGGTTCTGCTGCTGGCGCGGCGTCAACCCCGCCGACGAGCCACCGGCGTTACTTTGTCCAGCGACCGGGGCCTTCTCCGTCGTCACCTTCTTCAGCTTCTCTTCAATAAGAGACTTCTCTTCGTCCGGTTGTGTGTCTTGCAGGAGAAGAGGTCCTCCGGTAGGCTGTTAATGTTAGCAGGGTCTTGAGCCTCAGCTAGAATTAGATCAAATTTACCTTCTTGACCGGCTTGTAACGACCAGCGGGGAAGCTGATGTACTTGAGCTGGCCTGGGAGCACGCGTGACAGGTTTTCCATCTCGTAGCCGACCTTCTCCTTTTCACTCTTCTTTTTGGTGTCGGCCGGAGCAACAGATACCTCCTTCTCGCCAGCATCACCCTCTTTCTTCTCCTTGCTCTCGTCCTTCTTCTCGTCCACCTCCATCTTGTCGGAGACGGTAGGCTTAGAAGAGGAATCGATGTCCATGCTCTCTCGGCGCTGAGCACGCTCCTTCTTCTGGGCTCTCCGCTTGGCCTGGGCTGTCGTCGACAGAACAGCTGTGGCGACCATGGTAGGACCCTCCTCGGCCTTGACTTCTTGTTCGGGGGGGTAGTCGAACAGGCTGGGACGGGTGGCGCAGTGGAATTTGAAACTGGGGATCTCGAGATCGTGATCCAGGCCAATGATAGAGGTGGGGGAGAACGCGAGCGAGAGGAAGTGGGTGAAGGGGAACCAGTACCAGTACTGGGTGAAGACAGCCATACCGACAATACCGGCCATGTTGAGATTGCCGGTCTGTGTCTGGAGGCCAATTGTGCAGTTGCGGCCACCAGCATCGATGATACCGAGAGCGAGCGAAGCACCGAACTTGGTCATGGCATCCTCGTGACGATCGCCGACAACCTTCTTCAAGGTCTTGCGAATCGCAGCAACCTTGGGGTTCATGACCTCGTTCTGCTGGATCATAATCATGGCCAGAGAGATTAGGGCGCCCTGGCGGACGAAGTCGGTGGGGTCCTTCATCATGGGCTCGAGCAAGTCGATGGCCTCGTCCAAGCCGGTGCCGGCGCAAGAGATACCCAAGGCCATGGCAGAGCCGTAGCGCACGTGAGGGTTGTACGACTCAGAAAGCAGCTCGACCATACGGGGAACACTGCCGGGCTTCCGGAAGAGAATGAAACCCAAGCTCATGACCGCGACACGACGAACATCGTCATTGACATCGCTGACAGCAATGTGTAGCAGTTTGCGAATAGCCTTGTTGCTGCCAGTACCGCAGTAGGCGAGAGCGACGGTCATGATACCGCCGTATCTCAGTGTCGGGTCAGGGTCGTTGAGAAGACCTTCAATCATGGCGTCGGCGCCCTCTTGGCGGCCAAACATGATCAGTGCCATACCAATGGCCAGACCGCGAACAATCTTCTCGTGAGTCGTCTCGTGAGCGTAGGTGATCATGTCCTCCAGAGCTCGTACGTTGCCGGTGCCAAGCATGATGAGACCCATGGCAAGGCCGACAGCCTCGCCGTTGAGGGCAGAGTCGGTGAACAGAACGGTTCGGAGGTTGTCAAAGATTTCTTCGGAGCCAGTGCCCATGCCGGCAATACCGAGACCCAAAGCACCACCGTGCTGGATAACCTCCTCCTCAGCAGATATGAACTGGGTCTTGAGGTAGTCGAGGGCGTCGGCGCCGTGGTTGGCATGGATCAGACCGTAAGCGTAGAGAGCACCACCCTGGCTGAAGATGGAGCCGCTGCTCAAGCCGCTCTGGCGTGGCAGATAGGGCTCGAGAAGCTTCCGGGACTGGGTCAGGTTGCCGCGATGGATGACACCAAGAGCAGCCGTGGCAGTAAACTTGGACCAGTTGACGGCCTTTCCGAGCCACTCGAGATTGTCGCGGAAGAACTTGTCGTTGGTAGTACCCTGGTTCATAAAGGCGTTACAGAAGGTGACGGCGGTGTGGAAGATGGAGTTGCGGCCTTCCAAGCTGTCCCGGACCTTGTTCAAGATGCTTAAATCGGTACGGTTGTTCCTGTAGAGGAATTCCAGGTTCAGCTGGATGGTCTTGCTGCCGTCCAGTATAGAACGGATATTCTTGTATACCTTGGAGAGCTCCGCCGAGAGCTCCTCCTCAGAAGACTGCTGGTTGTCCAGTAAAGGCTCTTCCTCGGTAGCATCGCTCGCGGGCACCTTGGCAGGCTCGCCCGAGGGCAGGGAGTTGATGATCTTGCCCAGAAACTCCTGGGTCCCGTTGTCGTACAGATCGAAAGCGATCTGGTAGGCGTTGGCGATGGAGTTGCGGTCGCCACTCGTGATCAGCTGCTTGAGCATGCGGGATGCCTCCTCGTCGGAGCTCAGGTAAACGACGCATTTGGCAATGGCAAAGTAGTCGGGGTTCGGAATTTCGTTGAGAAGATCCAAGATCAAGCGCAGGATCTCGGTACGGAAACTCCGCTCCTGGACGATATCCATGCAGATGCTCAGAGCATACTCCATGAGCTCCTCGGCAGGGCCCTGTCCATCCGTTGACTTGGTCTTGGAGCGCTTCTCATCATCGCTGGCGCGCTTGATGACACGGCGGAGAACCTCGAGGTTTTTGGCCTCGACGGCAATGCCGACAACCTGGCGATATCTGCCATCCTTGAGGCAAGACTCGAAGAGGCGCTCGATGACGCGTTGCAGCGCAGCCTGGGTTGCATGATCAGTGATCGGGGCAACGGAAGCGGAGCGACCCTCCTTCACGGGCTGGAATGTAGGATCGAGGATGGCGTTGTCGGTCGAGACGCGGGAGAGGAGGGACTTGGAGGGGAGGGTCGTCTGGGAGAAGGGCGTTGTCGGGGAGATGAGGGCAGATCCATCGGCGGCGCTGCTCGCAAAAGTGGTTGCCAAAGCGGGAATAGAGTTGTCGCTCTGGGGGGACTTGGGAACGGTGTGTTTGGCCGAAGAAACGGCAATGTATTGGTCGATGCACTTGGAGATGATGGTGTCCTCGAATTCGCCGGGGGCATCGAGCTTGAAGAGATCGCCTGCGGCGAGGGCAAAGGTCATACTCTCATTGTAGGCCTGGAGGTGATAGTAGACCTTGGCAAGTACGAGAGCAGCCAGCTGGCGTTGGGGAAAAGATTCGTCTTCGTAGAGGGCCTCGCTGATGAAGTTGTCAATATCCAAGCAGAAAGAGTGTCTGTCGAGCAAGCAAGCAAGCAAAGGGCGGGAGGGCTTACATCTGGCTCAGAGCGCCGGCAACCTCGGTCCAGACGGTGTCGATGTCATCGTTGAGAGTCTGGAGGGCGAAGACCTTGAGGTCGTGTTCCTCATCGGCCAGGAAGCCCAGAACTCCGGTAGCTGAGACCAGGCCAGGCATTGTCGGAGGTGGCCGCGGAAACGGGAGCTGAGCTCAATTGCGGGGGGTGGGGGGGGATGTTTGCGCGACCGAGTATAAAATGAATGAGGATGGATCGAGGTCGGTGATAGGAGACCGCCCGAATGCGAGGTGGCGGGATGAGAATAACAGCTTGGGGTTTTGGTGGTGGTGGTGGTGATGATGAGAAAGCTCCGAAGAGGTGTCGGTGATGAAATAAAGACGATGTTGAGAGGCGCGAACGAATGCAGCACAGCACAGAGAGACCAGGCCAGGGCACGCACGCTTCAGTCGGTATCCATCCACGTCAGGCAGGTCTGCCTGCTACGTCCGTCTCGGTTCTGCCGACTCATTGCTGGAGCTGGAGGTACGTACCTTGCATCACTTTGCCTTCCGTCCGCCTTGCAGCGGAAGGAGGGTATGCACGGACCAAGAAGCACCTGGAGTGATGACTCAGCATGCTCAGGTACTGCTGTATATAACATAATTGGAAGGAAGCTGCACCCAGTTGCCAGGTAGGCAAGTAGGTAGATACGCATACTGTACAAACAAAACACGACACAACCGACGTACAGAAGCGGGCTGAAGTGCTGACTGGTAAGGCCAATCATGAAGCTCGTCAACCTCCAACACCTCCCCCGGTAGCCCCTGAAGCTTACTTAGGTAAACCGGAATGCGCTGTAGTCCATTGCCTTCCTAGACATAATAACAAACAGACTCTGGTGCCTCCAAAGCTAATTGGATTGTGAATCTGCACTGGATAAGATATTAATGATATTGTGTTTGAGTACTTAGATACTTTTAAGTAGCAGGTACGTTTAAGGGCAGGGCAGGGCAGGGCAATACCTATTTATTACCTGTCTGGGTAGGTGAGGTCCCTACCTAGCATGAGCTACCTGCACTAGGTAGGTGCCTACGTAAGCAGCATCAGCATCAGCACCGGCACCAAGCACCGTGCATCAAGCAATGGCAGGCAGCGCAGCGTGTACAGGTAGGCAGGCAGGCAGTAGGGTAGGTATCAGTAAGCTACCTAGTTAAGTAGGTACGATGTAGGAGGTAAGAGGTAGGAGGTAATAGGTAGTAGGCAGGTTTGTATAGTATGTGCGATCGGCGCGCGACCAATCCATTTTCATCTTTTCTTTTTGGCTCCAAATTTCCTACCCTCCCCCCCCCCCCCCCCAGCCCGTCCATCCCAGCCGCAACAGCAGAGGACAAGATGTTTTCTTCTTTGAAATAATAATACTACCTTTGCCTCCAGCTTCGTTCTTGCGTGCCTCGTCAGTCGGTCCCTTTGGTGCTACACACCCAACACCACCAGCCATTCGTATCCGCATCAACAACAACCACCCTTAGCTAAAGGCTTTCGACGCAGACGCAGCAGCAATTGCGACGACGGCGACAACCGCGACGAAGAAGACGACGACGACATCAACGAAGACAACGGCGGCATCCACCGGCATCTCGAGATCGCCCGCAGTTGGCTGGTTTCCCGCCCATCCATCCCGTCATCACCACCACCAACCTTTCCACTTACACTTTGCGACGCCATTCTCGCCCGTCGCCTCTGTCCCTCCGTCTTTCGCCCCTCTACAATTGCGACGCTTCAAGTCGCGGCCACTCCCTCTCAGCCGCACCACCACCCATCGAAACACACGAGCTCTTGACCGATCACGACGGCCCTTCGCCCATTCGGCTTCTCAGTCGCCCCCGTTCGCATGGATCGTTGTCGCACGCCTCCTTCGAACATCGAGAACACCCCACGCACCGTATCCGATTCAATTCAATCCCGTCCAAACCACATCAGAGCCTCCGTCGCCTTTGCGCCCCGGCCCCGACCTCTTTTGACCCCTTCACCCTCTGCCGTGCTGTCCATGCCTCACTTCTGGTGGTAGCTTTCCCTCAAGTCCAGTCCAGCACAGCACATCCCTTACTGCCTCTCTTTAACTCCGAGCCCGACACCGACGCCGACGACACCGACATCAGCCACTTGCCATCATCTCCGACTTGTTGATCCTCCTGATCATGACGACGTGATGACTGCCTACTGCATCTTAGATCACTAGAACCGCGACCGACTTGTACACCAACCCTCCCGTTGCGATTGGTACAGCCCTCAACGCCGTACTGCCCTCCGATTTCCCTTCGGCGCATACATGAACAGTGGGGATTCTTGATAGCGTGAAGCCGAAACTTTGCATCGGAGCTGAAGTTGGGTGGAGCGCTGGTCCTGACGGAGCAACGCAAAGCGTCAAGCAACCGGTTTTGGCTGACCGCCCTACGCCTGCGGTAATCACGATGGATCTGAGAAGTTTGATGAACACATCTGACGACGGGGACCGGCCCCGAGCCGCTGCCGCTGCCGCTGCCGCCGCCGCCGCCGCTGGTCTTCCCCCAGGTCATCCTGCTCACTCTCGCCCTTCCTCTCAACCCCTTGCGCCGAAGCAGCAGCAGCAGCAGCAGCAGCCGCAACCGCATCCGCAACATCAGCCACCGCCGCCGCTACCCTATCAGCAGCAGGCTCCCACGACACCTTCCCAAGCTACGACGGCGTACGCATTCAGAGAATCGGCCTACAGCCACGCCTTGCACTCGTCCCCCGGAAAGCCGCCGGCTCCTCAAGAATACGCCGTGCATCCCCAGGCCTCAACTCCATCATTCCCTCCACAGTCGCCTTATCAAACTCCCGGGCCCTATCCTGGCCGACAGGCACCCCCACCGCTTCAGGCGGGCGTTCCTGCTCCGTATGCCGATGCGCGATCTCCTCAGAGTGCGACCATGGCTGGGCAGTCGCCCTATCGTCACACGCCCACATCTTCGGTGAGCGGTCCCAGCGGGGGTTATCCATTCCCTCCCACTGGCCCGCCTCAAGATGTCTCCAGCCCTGTGCAACGACACCAATATCCACAGCCCAACGCGTATCCCTCAAGAGAGAGCTACTCCCACCCATCTGGTGCACCAGCGCCTTCTCCGTACACCCAGCAGCAACAACAACAACAACAACAACAACAGCAGCAGCAGCAGCAGCAGCTCCTGCAGCAACAACAGCAATTACAGCAGCAACAACAACAACAACAACAACAACAACAACAACAACAACAACAACAACAACAACAACAACAAGCGCCGCCGCCGCCGCCTCAGCACATGCCCCAAACGCCGCCTATCGGCACCCCGGTCGGCGTGCACCCGTACCTTCACCAGCGCTCTCAATCGACGCATTCAACTCCTACTCCCACATCCGCTCATAGTCAAAACCCGCAGCAACTTCACGGCCATGCGTACCCTCACGGCAGTCCTGTGGCGACGGCACATCCCCCCCCTGAACATAGCCGACAGCTCTCTCAGCCGCCTACCCCACTGGGCCCGCCCCAGACCGGGCCTCGACAATCTTCCACCGCACCGAGCTTTGCGCAACCACAAAGTCCCTACCAAAAGAGACTGTCTGCCTCGCACCTTGCCCAAGCCACACCACCACCACCACCACCACCACCACCTCGCATGCCCAGCTCCCACAGCGGCCACGAACGAAGATCCTTGTCACAAAGTGAGCGCGACAGAAGTGTTAGCGTCAGTCCCAAGACCCGAGCCCCGAGTTTTGCCAAGCAGCACCGGCGGATACACAGAATCAGAGGCGCGATCGCATCCGAGTGTCATCAACATGGTGGAACTCGAACGCGAACGCGAACGCGAACGCGCCGCGACACCCGCCAAAAGAAAGCTTGCTGATAGAGATTTAAGCCCGAGGGAACTCGAGCGGAAGGAGCCACGGCCTCCACCGGCTGAGGTCAATGGCGGACCCAGACTCTCCCGATCGCCTGTGATGCAGCGAAAGAGAAAGATACACACGACGCCTCCCATCTGGGCACAGACATGGAACGCTCGGGAGAACAAGAGGCTGAAGCTGGCCAATTTCGAGCTACAAAAACGAGGACCACCTAGCGTCAATGGCAAGACAGAGCCTATAAAACAGGACAGCTCCAGCCGCCATACGTCTCCAGAGGCCGCGCGATCCACTGCGCCGCCGGTTCAGGAACCACCCAAGCCTGATGGTCTGCTTGGCTCATGGGAGGAGAGCATTCTCGGCACCCGACCGTACGAGGAACTATCCAAGACGATTGCCGATTTCCTGTTCAAGAATGTCACGCTCCACCCCGACTCTGGCGAGATTATTGGGCGAGGCGTGCAGTTCGAGATCGAGGCCAAGATGGGTCAGCTCATCGATAAAGACACCAACGGTCGCGTTGAGAGGGCAATCGGCTCGGAATGTGTTCTACACGACACCGGCCGTCTTGCCTTCAGAAGCAGCATGACAGAGGCATGTTTCCTCCGCCCTGCCAATTTTCTCTATTTTGTTTGATTTTCTTCAAAAAATCTCCATAGCTAACATCTTTTCCCTTCCAGGCCCAACACAAAGGTCTAAATGAATTCCTGAACAATACGGTTGTTCAGACAGACCCACGGAATCCCAACGCCCGAGGCCGTGTTCAAATACAGTACAAGCATCGACGGGAGGTTGACAAGTTCTACGAGCTGCCGAACGCTCTGCAGGCCCGTCTTCCAGGCTGTGTTCGATCTCTCCTGTCTGGCAGGCGATCGATCAAGGTCCGTGTTACGTATGACCAGAAGACACAACAAGTCCTGGCCAAGATTGTCAAGGCACGAGTGGCCGACATTCACATCCATCTGCCAACGTGCCCGCTCGACTGTCGTATCAGTATCAACCTCGAAATGCCATGGGACGGATCCGTCGAGGAGCTGGAAAGCATGGCTGTTGGGCATGCTGATAAATTCCCCGACCGGAATAAAGACCGCCTGAGTTATAAACAGAACCACTACCAGATCGACTTGACACAGGTGACACAGATGATGCCGGGCCCTGGAGTGAGTTGATGTCTGCCTGCCACCAAGTTTGATCACAGGTTTTGCTAACTTTCCAAAGAATACCCACCGGATCGACAAAGAGCACGAGCTCGAGGTCGAGTTGTCGTCAGATATTCTTCTCGACCAACAACGCCGAGCAATGAGGAACGAGCCGCATCAATACCCCCAACTCGTTGAGGGATTTGTCGACAACGTACGCGTCCTGGCCCGGAAGAGCCGTGATTTCATGTAATATCTGCTTCAGGAGCAACTCAGAAAAGAAGGAGAAAAAAAAAGGTGGTTTTCTTTTTTTCTTCTTTTCTTCCCGTCTCTTTCCGGTTCAAGTGGCTTGGGTGGGTTTGATACCAGGAGAGATGAAGGCTACGTTCTGGGCGTCACGGACTGAAGCGGTTCGCATTTTAGGGAGCATATTATTCATTCATGCCTAGCCATACCTAAATAAGTTTGGGCGCTTTGATTCCAGTCTCTGGTCGTTGGCCCGGACAAGACTGATAATACCTACTTGCAATTGCCGGCCCGATGAATGCCACAAGTGTGATTGCCGCCGCCAAATGCTGTTGCACGGCATCATTGTCGTGTTGAGGGTTATGATGCTGTCTTTACTTCACGGCATTCATCAAGTCCAACAAAGGAGCTACAGCAAAGTGAGGGGCGCCCTGAAGGGCATGGATAATACTAGTAAAACAGACCCAGAGAGGTAATTCGCAGGTCATCATGTACACGGGAGCACTTGCAAACCCAAAACACTTTTCGTCAAATTTTATCAAGCCCACATCATCATAACACCCGGCAGCCTGGACTCCTTTATGACAGCTTCTCTCCACCCTTGTCACCGCCATTATGGCCAACGGGTTGAATATCCTCCGAATCCACCCCGCGGGCGCTGTCTCCGCCGCTGGCGTCCTTGGACGGGATGGCACCGGTTGCAGGGACAAGGGCATGGCCATCCGTGTCCTCAATCTCTGGGTCGAGAAGGAGATTGAGGGCCATGCACACGAACGCCGTGATGGCGAAGCCCGTCTCCATGATGAGTACGATGGCGTCAAGGAACCCCCGGAGACCGCGGTTTTCGCCGGCGTAGGTGAAGACATGGTCGAAGTAGTTCGGCACCAGCGTGGCGCCGTAGCCGAGCGTCAGGCCGGCCGTGAGGATGAATCGGTTGCGGCGGTTGAAGGGCACGCCCTTTGTAACGATGGCCATGCCGGAGACGGCTACCGCGGTGAAGAGGAAGGACGTCATGCCGCCCAAGACCGCCGAGGGGATGGCGACGAGCGAGGCGGCAAACTTGGAAAAGATTCCCATGACGATGAGGAAGAAGCAGCTTTTCGAATCGTTAGACTGGGGGAGTGAACTAGAAAACATCACGGGCACATCAACATACCAGCAGTAGCCAGCGCTGCGGTTGGCGCAGCGAGTGAGGGCAATGACGCCGTTGTTTTGAGCAAACTGACATTCGTGTGAGCGTAGTCCATGGTCCAGGAGTCGACAATGGGGATGCGGTCCGGAGGCTTACGGTTGTCATGGGGGTAATAGTCATGAGAGCGGCGAGAACGCCATTGATGCCGTCGGCAAGCACGCCGCCCTGTACGCGAGACTCGAACAGACGACCCTCGACCTCGAGGCGGGACACATCGCAGGTCGCCGTGATGTCCCCAATGGCCTCGGTGGCGCAGATGATGTACACGGCTAGCAAAGGCCTGTTACGCTCATGTCAGCTGGACGGCTTCGCAAACGACGGAGAAGCATAGCTTTCGAGGGGGGGGGGGGGGGGGGGGGGGGGGGCTTACAAGATGAGCGGGCCGTAGAGGGAGAGTTTGAAGGTCTGAACCCAGATGAAGGAGACGGCAGGGGCGCTGTCGATGCCGGAGCGGTCAAGTATCCGCAGGCGGCGGCGACGATGCATCCTGTATCGTTGTAGACTCATTAGAGACACGGTTTCTTTTTTTCTTTTTCTTTTCGCCATATGGGCTAATGGCAGAGGTGGCACTCACCAACGAGAAGGCCGATGACGACGGAGGTCGACTTCATAATTGGGGCGCCGAACCGCTCACAGAGAATGATGGTGATGAAGACGGAGAAGCCCAGACCCAGGTACTCGGCAGAACCCCACGGGAGAGCGTGAGGCGCGGCGATGTTGGGGCACCGGGCGAAGAAGTCGGAGGTGGGATTTGCGCAGGGGCCGGAGCCGCCCATCCAGTTCTGAAAACCGCTCCCGATCAAATTAATGCCGATAAGCATGACTGGACAAACGTCAGGGACCAGACCAGGCAGGGACCTTTGGAAGGGTGGTTGAAGATTGCTGCACTCGAAAACTTACCAGTTGGGCCAGTGACGATGGGTGGGAAGACGCGTAGCATGATGTTGGGCGGCATGAAGGAGATGACGATCTCAATGAGGGCGCAGAGAGCACTAGAGCCGATGATGGCTGGGTCATGTGTCAACAGCGACCGACGTGAACAAGGGGCGTAAGTAGAGGAAGCTCACCTCCATAGCCATCAGGGCAAGGGAGCTTGTTCCCCTGGGCGTCGGTCGGGCAGAAGCCATTGGCATACATCTGAGCCAGCGCGCCCTGGGCGACGGGGATGATGGAAAAGGAGATGCCGACGACCGAGATCAGGCCGGTGCCGATGTAGTAGCTGGGGCGGGACTGTGAGCTGCAAGAACCAGCAAGGGACTGAAGGGCACTTGATCTCACGGAGTCTTCAGGATGTGGAACCTGGTGATCTGGATCACGGACAGGAGGCCGGAGACGATCAGGGCCGTCGAGACGAGGTACTGCTGCGTCTCGCCGGTCAGGTTGGCGCCGGCGGCGCCGCTCAGCAGGATGGGCGGCGTGATGATGCCGGCCAACATGGCGAGAGCATGCTGGAACCCGAGCAACAGGGCCAGGAGAGTGGGCATTCGGTCGTTGAGGCCGAAGAAAGGGGCGGCCCTCTGGCTCTTCTTCATGAAGGGTAGGTTGGGCCGGAACAGATGGGCGTAATCGTAGTCGCCAACTAGACCGTCCTTGGTGAAGAACCTGTTCCTTGCGCCACGGACGCGATCTCCCATGGTCCTCTTGGGAGCCGTCCCGGGGACGATTTGCGACGGGCCTTGATCCTCATCCATCGTGTATGGGTAGGAGTATTACGTCTTGCGTATCGTCTTGAACGCCCGTTCCCTCTGTAGCCGAACGAGTAGAGTTGTACTGACCGGAGTGAGCAAGCGGCCGGTTCGCAGGTGACGATTATGACGAGTGTCGAAACCAGACCAAGCAAAAAACCACCAACGACAGGTTCGAGTCAAGCCAAGTCAAGTCAAATCGAGTTGCTATCGACGGCGAGAAGGCCAGGCGAAGAGGAGACAGGAAGAGCTTGGTCCAAGGGTATCGACGAAGCAGTGGCCAGGCATCGAAGCGACGATGTGGATATATATCCCTTTATACACCCATCCTATCTGACTCGAGCCTCTTGTCTGCATTGGGGCGAGAAGTTCTTTTAGTCGATGGTTTCGAGCAATCAGTCGGAATCGCTATCAGTAGGATAAGCAGCTCTGGGCGACGTGAATGGCTGGCGATAGTGTGGGGGGACAGCGAGTGCTAGGCTAGGTACCTAAGTTGCTAAGGTAAGGTGGGCTAAAGTACCTCCTACTTTAGGAGTATAGGAAGGTAGGTACGGACGGAGGGACGTACTACTGTCACCTCACCCACTCTCTTCACTCACGTTCATTCATTCATCTAGGTAGGTACTCACTCATCTGTTCACTCGTCCAACTTACCCACCCACTCGCTCACCCCCTTGCCGACGGTATCTCGGGTGGTGGGATGCTCGTGTTCTGGGCGGGCTCGGGGAGCGGCGACAAGTCTATTTGAATACAGCCGACTGCCGTCAGAGCGCCAGCAATCGCGTCCATGTATGTACGGATATATGTATTGTGTATGCATGTGTACGCGGCCGGGACATCTCGAGCCAACAAAGTGAGTACAGATTACCGTGGGCTGTAAGTGGTGTGACGCAGGAGAAGAACGCCATCAATCCATATCACACGCAGCAGGAAACAGCCAGCCAGTAGAACGTGTGTGAGAAACTCACTCAGAGAGAGTGGCACATGGGGGGAACTCCCCGCCATCGCTCCCGCGTGGCATACCAGGAGCATCCCGCCATCTGTTGGCACACCATCTCTCTACATACTATCCGTACATAGTGTAGTACCTTGGGAAGATGCGGCGACTTGCGAAGGGGGCACCACCTAAGAACCGGTGCCGGCGTTGTGGTCAGTGCAACCAACCACACGCATCCGACAGATATCAATCGAGACATCGGACGGATATCAACGTGAGGGAAACCAATCAGAAAAGTTTACCATGCCATCGAGAGAGAGAGAGAGAGAGAGAGAGAGAGAGAGAGAGAGAGAGAGAGAGAGAGAGAGAGAAGTTACTGTGTTGCAAGCTTTAATGGGAGTCGCCGGGACCTCTTCATCATGGGGCGCCATGCACGAATATCGAAATTCCCTTCAGATCGATGCGGTCGGATCATTAACATCTACTCATCGTACACTACATCACCCCATGTTCACTCATGCTAAGGATGTCACTTTTAGGACCAACTTTGCTGTGTTACCTCCGTGAGAGAAATGGGAATGAGACACCCCTGCTTGCTATAGATCCGAGCCGGCCCAAGCCAAACCTGAACCAAAGATAAGAGAAAGAGACAGATGCTACGTGGAGAGAGACAAGGCCACCCAGGATACCCAGGCCGGCGCCGCGCAGAGATAAGGAAGCGTCCCAAAACGAGCCAACGAGGAAGGGGTCCCTGCTAGACGTCGGGTAGGCCTCGATTCCCGCCACACGCCGCCCTTTCCATTGGCCCAGCCCGCTGCCGAGATTTGCAGACGCAATACCTAGATTATTTGGGCATGGCTGGACTATCTCTGTCTGTCATCGGCGAACTCCGCCTGTGTGTGTCTGAGAGAGAGAGAGAGAGGCTTCTTCTTCTAGGGAATCACCGCGCGCGCAGACGTCATGGAAAATCCGTGGGCTGAGGAGACGGCATCTCTGATTCGGACGGTTGGCAAACATCCCAGGGCGCCTCTTTCGCATCGGTGATGACTACCATTAGGGCAATGAATACGACAAGGTCGCTCAAAGGGGTCGGCTTCAGGCACCGTCGCGTCTTCGCAACCAGCCAGGCACAAGAACGCTCGCATGAGAACCAGGCCTGGTTGTGAGCGACGTGTTCATCATGTTCACGGTTGGTACACTCGTCGCTGGCTCTACCTCCCTTCCAAAACACACCGTTTCGCCATTCCATTTGAGACTCTATCCCATCTCGCAACGATATCACCGTGTCTTCGCTGTAACTGATCAGATCCGGCACCTTCTGGCAACAAACTCCCTTACGCCGCAACAGAAATCTCTCATGTGTACAAAGCGGCCTCAATGCCCTCATCGTCTTCTACTATGTGACACACCGACATTCACGTAAACGCGCAGCACGCCGCGCAACTAGACCTCGTGGGCTCGTTCATCGATAGTCATCCCTCATCCCGCGGACGACGTCGTGCTGCGATGCGAATCTAGCCCGGTGGTACTCATTGAGTTGCTGCCGGCCGGATTCCCTGACGAGTCCCAGGAGGCCTTTGTGCCGTCTCTTGAGACACTCGCTCAACTCGGCTTCCGTTCTGGCACTGCACTGACAGATGTTGGGCGTCCCCCCGAACTTGGCCCTGTCCTGGGAGGTCGGGAACCAGATGCTGATGCGCCTGACGTCCTTCCAGACAGCATCAGCATACTCCCGCTCCCCTCGCCGACCGAGAGCCAGCTTGGCCACGTTCCAGTCCACGTCGCTATCGCGGCTTTCGAACCGCCGCACCGACATGTCCATGTTGCCCTGGTCCTGCTCGATGGCGGCGATCTGGCACGACGATCCATCCCGTCCTGACCGGCGGCAGTTGCACCGGTCTGGGTTGACCTGGGTGTCCTCGTCAATGTCCACGGCCACCATCGCCGGCTTTCCGGTCTTGGGGTTCCGAGTGAAGAAAACAAGCATCGGCTTGGGCGGACGCCTGTGGACTGTTCCGGTCGTGTATCCACCGATTCTCACGGTCGCGGTCCGCGCTTCGCTACCACTCGAGCTGTTGTTCGATGGGGTTGTCATTACCGACATGTTGCTCGACACGCTAAACGTCCTGTCGGGGCGTGTGGTTGCCGTGGACACTGACGGCGCCATCGGCTGCCTTGATGCCTGGAAGAGGCTGGAGGATCGAGGACTTGTCGGTGATGTCCATGTGGCGCTCGGTTGCTGGTAACTATTGGGTGGCGACGCTGCCGGCGCCTGTCTGCCACCAGACCCGACCGGTCGGCGCGGTATGGCCATGGGAGGCCGAGCCCCCGAGGGGTCGTTCGTCGTCGGCGGCGATGGCATCGATGAGTTCCGCGCTGGAGGCCCCGTTGGCGGACTACTCGCGCTGTTCCACATCGACACGGTCTCTGTAGGGCTGGCCATGAACGGGTTGACCGTGTCCCAAGGTCCTCCACCACCACGGAGGGTGCTCTGTCTCGTCGCTGTGCCGGTTCCTGAATAAGCTACAGATGCAGACCTGGACCCCGCGTTTTGTTCGACCGAAGACTCGTTATTTGTCACCAGCTGCCCATCGAGCACCTTTGGAACCCATAGCTGAACACAAGCGCTCTCGACGATCGGTTCTCCCGCACCCGATACGACGAAGCTGACCATGGCCTTGTACCTGACGACAAATGGTCAATCTCATAATATTGGCACCAGGCAGGAAAACACTCACTGGCTGTAGCTGTCAAAGGCCTTGAAGCCGGTGGTGGCGTGCTGGAACCTGACAGCATCCTTGAGCTGCGTGAATGTTAGTTTGGCGACCCGTTCGTCTTTCCGCAAGACCATGTCCCATACTCCGGCGTTGGACGGAACGGCGTATAATGGGTTGATGATGACGGAAGTGATGTCGAAGTCGATAGTCTCGGCTATCGAGATGTCAGCGAGTCTGTATGCGACGTTGCCCACGCCTTGCCGACGTACCTTGCCGACGCGCATTCCTACTTGTGCCTCCTTGCTCTACGCCGGTGATGTTGATGCGGAAGCGCTTTCCGTCTGTGCCCATCCGTCGAAGAAGCTGGAGCTTCCTGTGGACGTTCGCGGCGGCTCCTTGCATCGGGCTGTACAATGTCGTGTTAGTGACCGTCGATAACGCTAGTGGTATGTGTCTCTTTAGCTAGATTACACTCACATGTCCAGGACCTGTTCCATGAGAGCGTCCCTTGTCACTACATCCACGAGTTGCGCAAGCTCTTTCTCGGGCCAGATGTCAAACATTTCAGGCAGCAGGCCTGTTAGGGCCGGCGGCACGAGGTCTTGTCTGAATCGATCGCATTGCAAGGCAAGGTCCTAGACCTGTTAGCTTTCCCCCAAGTTGGCTGCGCGTGGAAAAAAAAGTGTCGCGGGCTGCTCACATCTTCAAGCTGTTGGATATACGAAGGCCAGTGTGACAAGCTGCCCGTGGCCGATTGGCGTAGTTCTGGCGATTCGCGAATATGCCGCATCACCCATATGCACTTCAACAGGCTCAAGTACTGCTCGATATCGGGGATTCTGTTTTCAACCAGGATACCGGCAGTGAAGTTGGCTGTAGACTTGTGGTAGTGAAGGACGAAGACATCTGCCATCTCTTGTAGACTGGAGCCTGAGCCGTCCTGCTGCCTCTCCGCCGCCCATGCATGCTGAAGGCCGTCGGCGACTATTTGCGGTATTTCGAGTTGAATGGGCTCCCGACGAGCCTGTTGAGCTAGGGCATGCTCGAGGTCCGGGACTAGAACCCCAATCAGGCGGTGCAAGTCCAGATGCACAGCACTTATACGGTGGGCCAGATCCTGGTGCACAAGGCGAATGTCTTCCCTAACACGGGAGAGCAGGTCGCTGGTTTGATGAGCATCGTGATGAACCCGGACATACGACAAGACAGCGAGCGAGGGTGCTTACATTTCAAATGGCTTCAGCACGTGCAAGACCTTGGAGTTATGCAGTTCTATTCGCGCACGCAGTCGATCAGCGGCTGGCGCCACGAGAACATTCCATTCAATGTTCCTGAGCGGACCGCCGCTAACGCGATAACGATGGTTTTCTGCAATCAGATTGCAGCATTCAGTCAGAGTTTCCTTGTAGTCTCCGATGATCTCTTCAAGGGACGAGGGATCCCAACGCAACGGCCTGAAGACCCCGTCTTGACGCAGTGATTGGTCCGCTCTGTCGACCACACGAGTGAGGATGTCGAGGTTCTCGGCCAGCCCTCTTACATCACGGCCGAATTCTGCATATTGCCGTGCTGGGGCGTTGTTAGTCCGTGTTTCTGCCAAAAGCCTCGGTTGTCTTCCCGTCCCGCTGGCTGTCGTTCAGCCCTACGGCGCCGCCCATCGCAGAGAGGGCCGAGCCCAACAAGTCTTGAAGAAGAGGAACGCGGGGGGCGGGGGCTGATCAGAGGGCAAAGGGATAGTCCGGCAATGCATGGAAGTAGAGGTGACGATGAGGGGCTCAAGAAAAGATTGAGAGGCAGAATCGTGATGGCCCTGCGAGGATATAAAACTCACTTGCATTGAAGTCGTTATCCCAACCAAATTTGTACACATCCCACGCAAGCTTGCTAAAATTGATGACGTCCCCCAACTGGATGGGTCCTGCCATTGGGGGAAGCGATTTAAGAAAAGAGACAACGGAATCCCTCTATCGAAGGCGCGTTATGCGATGATTGACATTGGATACACGGAGGTGTCAGAGGGCGTGAGCGAAGTCGAGCGCGGCGGCTACAAACGGGAAGTTCCAGAAGTGGGCTTTAAGTCGACGGCTGCGGACGCAAGTGAGGGGAGCCAGGTCGAATTTCAACTAAAGCCTGACAGACTGACCGCGGAGCAGCAAGCACAAGAAAGGAAGAAGAAGAAGAGGGGGAGGAGGAGGAGGAGGAGGAGGAGGAGGAGGAGGTGTGCGAGACGGTGGGGTCGTGTGACCGAGAGACAGGTGTGGCCGCCGCGGGGAACGCAGGGCTGGCGCGTACGATAAGGGGGCATGGAAATGTGTAGGTATTCAGGACGTCAGAAGGATATGAATGGGGAGGCCTCGTAGGATGGGCGAAAGAGGAAAGGCAAACGTAGAGGACGGGCGCAGAGCAGCTGTGGCCTGTGAGGCTGATGGATAAGGTCATCTCGGGAGCCTGGCCCTTTGGACCAGCTTGAGTCTTGTTACCAGGGGCCCATACGGTTACCCAATCGATACCGAGAGCCAGAATGAAGACAGATGGTTTGTGTGTGAGGGGGGGCCATGGGTGTAGACGGCGCGGAGACAAGACATGTTTGCCTGCTGCCTACTGCCGCTAGCTTACCTAGATATCTCGAGCAGACCAGCCAGCCAGCCAGCCAGCCAGCCAGCCAGCCAGCCAGCCAGCCAGCCAACCAACCTTTCTTGGCCTGCTGGTGGCATACATCATACGGAGTACATGGAGGTAAGGGTTGAGACACGCATGTGGCACTCCTGGGCAGCTGAGGATACCCCGCCGAGAGTCGTTGCTCTCGACTAGGTAGTGTACTTGGAATGGGATGTGATGCGATGCGATGCGATGCGATGCGATGCGATGCGATGACGATGACGATGGATAATGCCTTGGTTTCTCTGTTGCAAAGAGCTGCTCTCTTTGACAGCTCTGCCTAGGTATAGCCATGGAGTAGGACTGGGTATAGAGTATCCGCAGAGCTAGCGTCAGTTGCCTCATCTGACTGACCATCTGCTCCGCCGAGGTGGGAAACCAGGGCTCTGTCCAAGGGAGGGGGAGAGAATGGGGATGGGGGCGAGAGAGGAGGATCGCAACAAGGCATGTCTCGGGTATCCGAGACCGCGTGACAACCTCCACAAACGTATCCAATCCCGTTGAGTGTGTCTTGACCCTCATGGTTGATGATATGCACGAATAGGTATTCGTATGTGTGCACTAGGTATGCATGTGTGGCGACATGAAAGTTGCAAGATGAGCTATTGCCACGATTACAGCCGTTGACTCACCTTGATAAACACCACATGAGATGAACCGATTGGATAATTGCTTATTCTTCTTGCATCTATTTGCCAGGCCTCTAAGCGTATAAGCCTTTACACCGTAGACGCCGACGGTCATCATTCATTCGCCCAGCCCAGCTGCGAAATGCTGGTGGCGGTGGCAGTGAGAGTGAATTGGGCCAGGAACGAAAAGTTGCCAAACTCCCCAACCTCGAAGGAGTGTCACCTCCCTCCAAACCTTCCCCAGGGCTCTTCCTATTCGTGCTCGCTTGACCAGGCCTATCAACTCTCCTTCACCGAGACCAGCCCAAGCCCAGATCGGGCACAAGTCTACTTGCTGCCTGCAGGGCACTAATACTGCGCGTTAGATTCCTGCCAACGCGTTCCCAGCCCTCCAACATGACGATACCCAACGCATCTCGCTGGCACCACCTCGTTTGTGCCCCCTTGTACCCTTCTTACCTTAGTTCGACTTGGCCTCGCAAGGCATACTCCAAGATGAGGCTGTCTCAGCATGCATGCATCCATCCATGCGGCTGCCTGCCAACCCAAGCCATGGCCAAGTTCGCCGTTCCGTATCCGTACCTACATCTAGGTAGGTATCTGACATGGAAATGGTGCGCGCTCTGGACCGGGGATTGTGTCTGTCTGAGCCGCGCCAACGTGCATGAGATCCCGTCATGTCATACGCAGACCCTCGAGAGACATGCCATACATAACCGTGAAGCCACCCATGACCGCTTCCTCTGCTATGTCATTTTACCAGCCTTGGGAGACAATACTGCAGTGTATCCGGTCCTGCGGGTGACCTCCCGCCAATCCCAACTTTCCATCATTCATTGTTTTTTCCCAAGCCGACTTCGTCGACAAGATGAATGACTTCCCGAGCTCGGCGGGCTTCTACCAGGAAGAGCCCCGTGGCATCGAAGACAGTTCGACCCACAGCGACATCGATAGTGTCATTGATAACATCGGCAGTGGCATCGTCACTCATGCGCCCAAAGAGGGCTTCCGCCTGGGTTATTTCGATGTTAGCTGTCTGGTCATCAACCGGATGATTGGTAAGTACATGTAGGACCTTGTTTTCTTTTCTTTCTCTTCTTTTGGCCAGTCAACCGCACAGGCGATCGGTGATACTGACAGGCCGGCATAGGCACCGGCATCTTCATGTCGCCCAAGCGAGTAATGGAGGGCACTGGCAGCGTTGGCGCCAGCTTGCTCTTGTGGTTTGCCGGCATCATCTACTGCCTCTGTGGCACCCACGTATATATCGAGTACGGCATGAACGTCCCTCGATACATAATTGACGGAGTCGAGAGCTCGGTACCGCGATCCGGGGGTGACCTTGTTTACCTCCAATACGTCTTCCGCAAGCCCGCCTATCGGAAGAACACCATTCTCTTGTCAACCTGCATCTTTGGCATAAGCTTCATCGTCCTCGGGAACATGGCCGGCAACTGCATCCATTTCGCACTTCGCGTTCTCGAGGCCGCCGGCTTCGATGAGCCCCAAAACGGCCCAGTCCGCGGCATTGCCCTCGCCGCCGCCACCTTTTCGTGCAGTGTTCATGCTCTCAGCCGTCGCTTTGGCATCTTGCTAAACAACACCCTGGCCATGGTGAAGATTATGATTATGCTGCTGATCGTCGTTGCCGCCATCGTCGTGGGAGCCGGTGGCTTTCCGGCCACCGAAAATGTCATCGCCGATAACACGTCGCCAAAGAACTCGTTCAGAGACGCGTCGAAAGAAGCCAACGGCTATGCTCAGGCATTTCTTGCTATAATATTCACCTTTTCCGGCTTCGAGCAGCCAAACTACGTCCTCGGCGAGATCAGCCGGCCCAGGAAGAAGTTTCCGATCGCCATGAGAGCCGGCGTGGGTGTTGTTGTGGTGTTGTACCTCACCGTCAACATCTGCTACGTGAGTGGAATGACCCGCCCTTCTGGCATCGTGGAGCAGCCTACTGACCCCAAGACAGTTGGTGGTCGTTCCCAAGGACGAGCAGGCTCAGTACAACGTTGCTCAGCGGTTCTTCCAGCTTACCTTTGGATCCTTGGGCTCGGCCGATGCCGCGAATAACGGCACGGGTTTCCGCATCTTCAACGCGCTTCTGGCCGTTTCTTCCATGGGCAACATCATTGTCATGGTCAGTCGCCTTGGCCATGCATCGTGTCGTGCCAGCACTAAACATTTCTGCAGACATATACAGCCGCCCGCGTGAAGCAGGAGATTGCGAAGGAGGTAAGAGCCCTATTTCCCCGGACGGTCATCCACAGAGAATCTGTATACTGACTATTTCAAAAAGGGAATCCTGCCTTGGCCAAAGTTCTTCGCCCAGAACACAGACATGAGCATCGGTAGGCTGATCAGGTGGTTTCAGAAGAAAGGCTGGTTCGTTTCGCTTCATCGGGTTCGGTGGCTCTCCCCGGAGCATCATACTGAGAAGACGCCCGTCGGAGCCCTGGTACTCCATTTTGTCAGCTGCGTCATACTCATCTTCGCGACGTACGGTATACAGCCGACCACGGCATACACCTTGCTTACGTCGTTGAGCGCGTACGTCATCAACGCCTTCATAGGGACCTTTCTGGGTTTGGGTATCCTCATCCTGCGGTTCCGAGGACCACCCAGGACCGTCGCCGAAGATGACGCCTCAACCAACGGACGGGACTCGCAGCCGCTGACCTGGGCGGAAATGACAGGAAAGCGATTCCGGCCCTCTTTGTCCATCTTTTGCGCCCTCGTGTACATGTGCGGAGGCCTCTTCCCAGTAATAACCAACTGGGTTCCTCCAGGGACGCTTGCCGCGACGGTCAAGCCATGGTACTTGGTCCCTACCGTTTCTTGGATCATCATCGGCATCGGCATCGCTTGGTTCCTAGGTTTCGTGCTCGTCGCGCGCTACATCGAAAGAAAGGATCACAGTGAGTTCGTCGTGGAGAAGAGACCAGAATTCGAGCCGGCCGAGGGCAGTAGTCGAAGTCCTGAGGCCGTTGGCACCGGAGTCGACCTCATCCAGGTGCATGAGACGGTGTATCTCAGCTGGGTTGGAAAGGAAGCGCTGCGGTCGAGGCGGCCCGTCTTTGAAAACACCAAACATGCGGATGGAGCTGTGAGGGAGGTTGCCATGTCTCCCTATGCGGGCACCGACTTTGCTGCCCTCATGTCAAATCAGACGGCACCCGATAGGTGGTGATGTAGTCGTAATAGTCGCAGCAGTTGTTATTGTAGTGTCAGTATCAGTAGCAGTAGCAATGCGTCATTGTCCATTTACACTCGGAAGCGTCCGGGGCAAGCAGGCTATGGAAATCGTGAAGGGTTTTTACTCATTTATTAGTCGTGTATCCTGTGGGGTATCAAGGCTGGCAGCAGAAACGGGCTGCTCTCATCATGGTCTTTTATCGTCAAACCCCCCCTTCCCCTCATGCTAACTGCAGAAATCATGGCTCCTGCTCGACAATGTTCTTCAGTCGCGGCTGTAGCTGTGCCAGCGCAGAGCGGTCTTGTCCGTTCGGATAAGCGCGGAAAACCTCGCCGCGCATCAGCCTGCGTGGTGCTCGTCTTCCGGTAAAGAGCTCGAACTGAGCAAAGCCCTGTTCGGGCAGCAGGTCCAAGCCATCCATCGTTACCCAGCCCCGATGTGATACCTGCCGCGCCTGGTTTAGGATCGGCGTGTCGAGCGTCTTGTAGGCCAACTCGACGAGACAGCCGCCGGTCGGGCTGCCGAGCCAAGCCTGAGGGGCCACGAAGTCGGGTGCTGGAACGTCGCCTATGCTATGGGTAGGGATGCAGGAGACGATCATGGTCGGCAGCCTGAAGTCCTCGGGCCACGGCTCTTCCAGTGACCGGACGATATGGAATCTAGTCTCCACGTCTGAAGATGCGCTGAGGAGCGGCAGGTCGTGCCGTTTCAAGAGGCGCGTGAAGTGGCTGACCATCTTCTCCGCGTTTGCCGTCGTCCGGTTGTAGACGACAATGTTTTTGACGCCGAGCTGCAACATGCTGTAGGTCGCAGCGCGGGCCATACCGCCGGCGCCGATGATGAGGCCGCAGCTTGTCGGTCGGACGGCGTTCGCAGGGGAAAGTCCTCTTCTCAGACAGGCGCGGATGCCAATCCAATCCGTGTTCTCCCCGTACAAAGCCCTCACCGGTCCAGCATGGTTCCTGCAGTTGAATAGCTTCTCGTCTTCCGGGATGGTTCCGTCGGGGTTCAACCGGCGAACAGGCACAAGGGTGTTGACGGCGCCGATGGCCTGGGCGTGCCGGCTGAGGGAGTGCGTGAGGGTGATGATTTCCACCTTGAAGGGCAAGCCGACACTGGCGCCTGCGAAGTAGGGATCCTCGATGAGCTCTCGGAGCCCATTGAGCGAAGGGGTTGAGAATGGTCGGTAGAGGTGCGGGATACCACAAGCCTTGAGGGCGGCATTGTGCATGGCCGGCGACAGACTGTATGAGACGTGGGCGCCGAAGACGTACATCTTCATGGGGTCGAAGAGGAACGAGTTGTAGAGCGCCTCGGTAGCTTGGGCCGCCGTCAAGCATGGTTGATTGGGGTTGTATGTTGATGCCATGATCTCGGGCACCACGCTGGTCAGAACTTGGTTCATGGCTGCCGAGTGCCTTCCGCGCGGGCCGGAGTTGTAGGCGATGAGGGGTACCTTGTGCCCAGTTGAGGCATCCACAAGGGCCTTGAGGTGGTTGACGTCGAAGTTGTCCTTGACCGAGGTTACCGGCTTGATGAGCCGTACCAGGTCGCACCCCAAGCGGCAGGCCCGGTGATAATGTGACGTCCAGAACGGGTCTCCCCAAGAAGGGGAGTCGGCAGCGGGCGCCAGATGGCCGATGACCTTGGAGCGCCTCTTCATCGAGATTATATGCGACAGCTGATAGTCCGACAGCCGGAGATCGACAGTCAGGTACTCGGGGGAGAGTCGCAGGCCGTGGAGGATGTAGTCCATGCAAAGCGACTCTGAAGAACCAGGAAGGACGACGTGGTATATCAGAGGGATGACGGTGCTCCTCCTTATGGAGCCGATGGTCCTCGCTATGTCTGCGGCCCTCTCCGAGTCGAGTGAGGTGGCGCCGGAGATACGGTCGACGACAATCTCTATGGCATCGGCGCCGGTCTCGAGCTCCTCAATGGCAAGCTCATTGTTCAGAAGGCTGGAAAGGGAAACCGAGGTAGCGTACGTGAAGCGTCGGTCCTCGGTGGGTATGGAGGCCAGCGGGAAGGCAGACTCGATGAAGGGAATAGAGCCCGTGGGCATGATGAGGCTGAGGAACTTCAAGAAGTGCCTCTCTGCACGCTTCAGGGTCAAGTAGGGGGCGGGGGGTTTCTGGCCGCCGGCCTGGGCCTCGATCCTCGCGGCGTCGGTCTCTACCCAAGGGCCGGCGGTTTCGGAGACGTTGAAGAACTCGAGGTTGCTGCACGTGCGGAAGATGGTACTACTCGCTGCCAGCAGGTTCCTTGCTTTGTCTTCGTCGTCGATCTTTAGATGTTCCTGGATAGCCTTGACCTCGCGCACGACGTGTACGACTGGATGGGTACGGCAGAAGTCGCGCAAGAGGGTCTGCACGCCGCGCTCCATCCAACTACAGACGATCAGGGTGTTCTTGGAGCTCTGGTCGAGCAAGTCTCGAAGCACGTCTGTCTGGCGGCGGTGGCACTCGGCAGATCCGTGAGCTCTTTTGTAGGCGAAGCTGGTCAGGCCGGTGACCTGCTGGAAGACCTTCTCGCAGTCGACAGCGCGGCGGTCCATGGCGGTTGAGGCAATGATGGCGAGTGTCGACTTCCCGGCACCGCGGATGCCGGCGAGGACAATGGAGGCATCGACAGAGAAGGGAGGCACCTCAGCAGGCAGATATGTGATTGGGGTCGCCGGCCTCGTCACTGGGGTCTCCGGCCTCGAACAAGCAGCCATCGAGTGCCTGCTGCTGTTGGTCCTCGGGCTCTGGGGCTGACTGGGGGAGGCAGAATGGGTATTGCGAGCGTCGACGCGGACGAGATTTGTAGAGTCCTCGAGTCGGGTTGAGCGGCGGTGGTGATGGCCGTGGCGGTCCTCGTCTTGGCCGTCATCGTTCATGGCCATGGCTACAAACGAGCGCTTCACTCCAGCTGTCGCCATGGCGCCACTTTCTCTCTCTCTGTCTCTCTCCCTTTCTTTCTTTCTTTCTTTCTGTCTCTCTCTCCCTCAGCCTGGCTTCTGACAGTCGCAGGCGGGTTAGAGATGAAGCCTAGGATGCCTGCGCATACGCTAGAGCTGGGCTGAGAGGGCGTCCGGTGCGTGTGGTGATGGTGGTGGTATGTTTTGTGTAGCCCAGTCCGTGCTTCGTGCAAGACAGATGACAAGGTCCAGCTCTTTCTCCTTTTCTGGCCTCTCTCCCTCTCTCTCTCTCTCTCTCTCTCTCTCGCGCGGGCTCTCTGGAAGAAAAGAGGCTGTTAGCCAAGTTAATGGAGTCCAACTGGTCAAGCCCGAATCGCGCGGTCCAGCCCACCTATCGGGGCGGGATGGGATGGCAGAGCATAACTGGCAGGTAGGAGGAAAGTCGAAGTCGTTCTCCAGTATCCGTACCAGCATTTGGGGCGGGGGGTTGGAAGGTGCCCCTCTATCCCTCTCTCGTTCAGGTATGCAGTGTACCTATGTACTTCGTACGCCGACACTAGTACACACTTAGCTACCTAGGTGCACGTACTAACAAAGGTACCTTGGTACTTGGGCCGGATCGGTACTCTGGTGAACGTTTACCCGCCAAACCTCGCATTAGTAGGCGACTTGAGCACCTGGGGAAGCGTCCCCGCATCCAGTAGGTGGGTCCCACACAGAACAGGTAGGTTGTGGTGGGAGCACCCCCTAGCTACTGCCCCACATGGCAGGGAGGTAGAAGGTATCTCACTAACACCCCGCACCCAGAGCCCGCCGTACACTACTCGTTGTGGAACCGCCAACTAATGCCACTGCAATGCCAGCTGACCAGCCCGCCTGGTCTTTGTCCCTCATCGGATTCTGCTGAGGCATTCTGCAAAGGCGACGTCGTGGCCGTCTATCTGTCCGACCGTGATGAGGCTGGTTACCCCGGGATTTTCCCACCTCCATATCGATCACACAAAGAGAAAAGAGAAAGAGACAGAGAGAGAGACAGAGGCAGAGAGTCGGACAGCCAGACCAGACAGACAGACAGCGCGCGAGAGAGGGTTTGCGCGCGCACACGAGAAACCTTGAAGATTCAACTACGTCAATCAACATCGTCGACGCTACTTCGCTTCTCCCGTCTTGCTCAACGCTGCGCTACCATTCATTGCTAATCAATCAATACCTTGTCTCTCACCTCCGATCTCTCGTCCCCCCTCCCCTCCTCCGACTCCCGGCGCCTCTTCTCCCCTCCCCGGCCAGCCGCTTCAACCACCGTCCCTTCATCGACGTCTTCGCCCGTCCCTTTGCATACGACACGCCCTCATGCAGTTCCCAGCGGCGTGAGCTATTGGAGCTGCTCTGCCGCCCGAGGCATCCAACAAGTATGCCCCCCAAGAGGAAGGCTCACGACGCCGACAAAAGTGCTGCTGCTTCCGCCGAAACCGTCGCCACGGCCCCTGCTGTCCCGAAACGACAGCGCGTCTCTCGAGCCTGCGACCAATGTAGAAGGCAAGCAACTATGAACAAGTCATTCCCGCCTTGCTTTCTTTCTTTGACCATGCTTGGCCAACATGTTTGCCGACAGACAGTCGCTGACTGAACATACAGCGCCCGAGAGAAATGCGACGGTGTCCAGCCCCAGTGCTTCTCCTGCGTAACACTGTCGCGCCAGTGCACCTATAATGTCGCCCCCAAGAAGCGCGGCGTCCAGACCGGTCTGATTCGGACCCTGGAGCTTGCCCTTGTCTGGCTGTTCGAACAAGTCCCCGAAACAGAAGACAAGCTGGCTGCTCTGCTGGCTCAAGAAGGCGGCGGTGGCCAGTCTCTTTTGTTGGACAAGGACAGCGACGCCGGGAATCGACTTCACAAGAGATGGAGGAGATGTCGAGTCCACAAAGATATTGACCGACTTCTGTCCGGCAAAGACGGCGCAAGCCCCCGCCAGGACACCTCCGGCGACGACTCGGAAGCCGAACCCGACCCCCGCTGCAAACCCAACGGCGAACTTCCCCGAGACCGCACCGACACCTCCCCGCAACCGGCCACTGCCGCCGACCAAAAACAAGACGCTGCTCCGATAGACCCTAGTCCTAGGCAGCGCCACGGGTCGACATCCCGGCGGAGATTCAAGTTACCCCGAAACTTTCCTCGATTGCTCGACGTCTACTTCTCATACACCCATAGCTGGCTTCCGATACTAAATTCCAAGGAAGCACTCGACAACACTGCAGCTTCCTATCCTCCAGACGGCCTCGACATCGACCCGGAGGACGCAAACACCAGCGCGGCACATGCCGAACTCTGGAGTGCCCTGGCTGTCGGCGCTTTCCAAGACTCAACCTCGTTGCACAACTCGGGGGGGCCCGAGGCCCTGGATCGGCCCAGCTTGATACTGACAGCTGCGCGCAGCCTGATACCAGTCGAAGCTGGGATGGCACTAGGCCATGTCAAGGCTTTGCTCGTATTGTCTCTGGTCAAGTTGGGCCAGGACAGTGCGGGAGCTGCCTCTCTGCTCATAGGCTTGGCCGTCAGGGGCACCATGGCTTTGACCGATGGCCAGGCACGGGATAGGCACCGCAACTCCATTTCTGGGCAGCCGGCGTCGTCGATACAAGAATCCTACTCGAATGCTCTGGATCGTGTGTTGAAAGCCTGTCTAATGCTCGATACCATAGTATCGCTGAGGCTCGGCCAGGCACCTCACATGAGGGCAAGCGATATGAAGGAGAAGCCGGCCGAAGAGACTGGATTCGAGGAATGGGCCCCGTGGGTTCCCAGGGCCGGATTTGGATCTGTATCCCCATCCGAGAATCCCGCGGGCACCGGCCAGCGCGCACAGTCATTAAGTTCCTTCAACCAGCTTTACCAGTTCTTCCGCATCCTGAACCAGAGCGTCGAATCGGGAGCTGCAGGTCCCAAGGTCGGCGCCGCGAACCTTGTTCAGACGCTTGACCCTCGTTTCTCATTTTGCAACTCCGTAGTCTTCGGAGCCTCGACAATACCCATACTGCCCTCGGCATTCCTGATACAGGCCACCTTCCTTGGTGCCACTTTGACTCTGATGGCCGATGCTCGTGTTTCTCTCATATGGAGCCTGATGGAGGTTCTCGAGAGCTCAATATCTCACTTTGGCGCAGCTGGCGTCTCGCCGCTCCTCGTCACCTACATAAGCATCGCAAACACCAAGAGTTGCGTTCAGGCGCTCCGGGGCAATGACAAAACCAGATGGGACTCGCTGATTGCAGACCTCATGTCCGTCTGGCAAGACCGGACGGCAAATGTGGCATATTCGCCCATGGATGCAGAGCCGAGCAATCGGACGCCAACTCGTATCGACCCGGCGGCTCTGCCGTTATCGCAGCAGGCCTCTTCCTCTGCTCGCCCAAATGCCCATTATCCGTTTCCAATGAATCCGGACTCTTACCACTCCAACGGCGGTGGTTTCTCACAGACAGCCTCTTCTGTCAGCCCTTCAACGGCAAGAACAATGCCCTTTACTCCCGGGAGCCAGCTTGATACGTTCCCGTCGGGGTTCGTGGCGCACATGCCATCCGCTCAGGCTCCCTACCTGATGGGACAAGAGTCTCGGGGCGTTGACTACGACGCCATCATGGATGAACTCGCTTCCATCGACTGCACAGATAGTATGGAGGCGGACCCGCAGTTTATGGCCAACCTCGGCTTCGCTCCAGGATCAGATCTGACAGATATGCTCCGAGGAGAATACGGCGGCATGTGAGAAACATGATGTATCATGACCTTGGTTGAGAAACGAACATCAATCCTCATACACTGGAAATATCATTAGCATTAGGGTGCCATTTTAGCTTGATACCCATTTAGAGCGAATCAATCCCGGCCAAACAATCTTGCTGTTACATTTCATTCATCCATGCCAAGGGCAGTGTGTATTGAAAGGCTATTTTTTCTGGACCTCCCACCCCTGAAGCAAACTGCTTTGCCAACACGAAGGAAATGGATAATCTTTCGAGATTTGGGAGCCGGCTCCGGCAGAGCCAAGAGGACCAAGACTTGGTGTCGGAATTACAATCATCAGGAACAAGAACAAGCCCGAATGAGAGGTAGATGTCCAACAAAAAAAAGCATATTGTCTCAGCCAAGCCCCCTTTTCCCCACACCGGTACCCAACTCTGGGTCTGTTTGGGGGGGATCTGCCCGGCCGATGCTGCAAATGCGCAATGTGCGGGCGCGCATGTGCAACTGTCCAATGAACGAATATCATCATTCCGTCGAGGAGGATCTCTACTTGTAGCTTGGGTCTCGATGACGAGGTCCATGCAGACCATAGTATTGCCAGTACTCACATGCTATTGCTTAGTCTAAGCAGATGATTACTCATTTGCCTCTCTCGCATCATGGGTGAGAGCATTCGGCTCGGCTTCATAGCATCAATCAGTCTACAAAGTAGAGGTTGTTCTTTTTTCCTTTCCTTCCTCCTGCCCTGGCTAGTGCCGCTCAACGCTTGTCTTAATATAGGAGAAGAGGAAGTTTCGAAGGGCGGCGTATTGCGTGTCTCAGTTGGCGTCGACCGGATATACTCAATCCCAATCCTTCCAGTGTCCAAGAATTGGCCCCTGTTCTCTTTCAGCATCATCTCCGAGGGCCAAGCATGCCTGTCCCCCCACGTTGACTGACCGATAGGCCCCCAGGGAAAGCTGGGGAACCAGATCCTTGTGTACGGATACAATTACCGTCATTCCCCTTGGCTGGGATGCATAGAGTCGGGGCAAAGCCACCAAATTCCACGTGCCACGTGAGACAGTCGAATGCCAATAGCGTGGACACAAGCGCTGGGAGGATAAACATTCAACCACAAGACCCTTGTCTGAACGGGGGTTCTCCAGATCACCAGGTTCTAGGAAAATGGATCTAGCCGGAACGAGTTAAGTGACTGTCAGGCGGTGCGGAGAAGAACCTGTCTGCTCGGCTCCACGCATTATGGAGGCGAGTCAGTCGCAGTATGCAGAATTTGCTCCGATTCGGAGGCGACGCAGAACGGTCAGTTTGGCCTAGGGGAGAAGCGTTCACCCCAGAGTTGACGCTCCGGAGAGAGCGTCGTGTAGTCTTCCCCGGATCTCATCCGTTCATCCCTTCCCCTAGGTACCTAGGTATGTCTGACGTGGGTTGGCCATACTCCGCATCCAGACCCCAGACTTTACCCCAGACGCATTGATACGCCGGCACTCTGTCGGTTTTTTGTTTTGTGTCGACTTATTCAAGACTGACTGGAGTGAGCCCTGACCCCCCGTTCATATAACAAAGGCAACCCTGGGCTGTCAGACTTCCGTTACTCCCTCCTTCCCTCCCTTAGACTACACCTCAACCTCATCACTGCCTTGGAGTTTGGAGCTCAGAGTTCATCGTCCAGACTGCCTGTTACACGCTCGACACGAAGAACCTCGCCCGTCCAGAACAGCAGTGACAGCTGCCATCGCCATCACGATGGCTCTCCTCGCACTTGTAGAGGACCGCCCTACGCCCAAGGCGGTGTACAACTGGCGCGTCTACTTCTGCGCCATCATCGCGTCCTTTGCCAGTTGCACCATTGGTTACGACTCTGCCTTTATCGGAACCACCCTCGCGCTCCAGTCCTTCACCGAAGAATTCCAGTTCTCAACCTACAGCAAGGAGGGTTTGGCTCTTCTGAAGTCCAACATTGTCTCCGTCTACCAAGCCGGCGCCTTCTTCGGAAGTCTATTCGCCTATGTTAGCAGTTACTTCCTCGGCCGCAAGAAGAGCTTGATGATTTTCACCACAGTCTTCCTGCTGGGTGCCGGTATGATGCTGGGCGCCAACCGTGAGCGAGGCCTTGGTCTCATCCTTGCTGGGAGAGTTCTTGCCGGTATCGGTGTAGGCGGCTGCTCCAACATGACGCCCATCTACATCTCTGAGCTTTCGCCCCCCGCGGTCCGTGGACGTCTTGTCGGAATCTACGAGTTGGGATGGCAGATTGGCGGCCTCGTCGGCTTCTGGATCAACTATGGCGTCGATTCGACCCTGGCGCCCAGCCACTCCCAGTGGCTTATTCCGTTCGCTGTCCAGCTGATTCCCGCCGGCCTCTTGCTCATCGGAGCCTTGTTCATCCCCGAGTCACCCCGTTGGCTCTTTACGAAAGAAAGGCGAGAGGAAGGGCTGAAGGCACTTTGCTGGATGAGGTACGTGTGAAACGTCTTTTGGCGTCGAATCCTATAAAGTGACGGCGAAACTGACCCTTGCAACCCTCGCAGAAACCTGTCCCCCGATGACCAGTACATCATTGAGGAAATGAACTACGTTGATACCGAGCTCGAGCGATACCGCACTGAAGTTGGCATTGGTTTCTGGAAGCCTTTCGCGTCTCTCAAGAACCGCAAGGTCCAGTGGCGCTTCTTCATCGGCGGCATGCTCTTCTTGTGGCAGAACGGCTCTGGGTAAGCAACTGGCCCCTTTAGTGACGGTGCCTCCGGACGCCTCTCTCTTCTCCTCCATGCCCGCTAACCTGGCAATCAACAACAGTATCAACGCCATCAACTACTACAGCCCAACGGTCTTCAAGAGCATCGGCATCACCGGCACCAACACCGGCTTCCTGACAACCGGTATCTTCGGCGTTGTCAAGACTGTCGTCACGTTTGTATGGCTTCTCTGGCTTATCGACCATCTCGGTCGCCGCAACCTCCTTCTGATCGGCGCCATTGGCGGTTCCCTCTGCATGTGGTACATCGGCGGCTACCTCGCCCTTAACCCGCCTTCGGCAAACACAGGTGGCGGCCTCTCCAACGGCGGCATCTCCGCCATGGCCTTCTTCTATCTCTGGACAATGTAAGTTACTGGTATCTTGCAGAGATATGAAAACAAAGTAGGCTAACATATTTTCCAGATTCTACACTCCTTCGTATGACAGCCCCTGAACCAGATGAAAATGGAGTATGTGTTTTGGTTCGAAGTTTGTACTAACGCTGAATTCAGATGGAATGGCACTCCTTGGGTCATCAACTCCGAGATGTTCGACCAAAACACGAGGTAAATTGAAATCATTAAACGATATGGCGTCTTACGATTGCTAATGTAATGCCAGATCGCTCGGACAAGCAAGTGCAGCCGCCAACAACTGGCTCTGGAACTTCCTCATCTCGCGTTTCACTCCGCAGATGTTCAATGCCTGGGACTACGGGGTCTACTTCTTCTTCGCCTCCCTCATGATCTGCTCGGCCGTCTTCATCTTCTTCCTCGTGCCGGAGACGAAGTCTGTGCCTCTGGAGATGATGGACCGCTTGTTCGAGATCAAGCCGGTGAGAAAAGCAAACAAGATCATTATGAAGGAGTTGACGGGTGTGGCCGACTTCAGAAATGACTCCGAGGATGGCATCAGAGAGAAGTCCGACGATGCCGAGATAAACCAGGTAGAGAGGAAGGAAAGCGCTTGACGAACGGGCTTATGGATTACTAATGCGGTTGAAGGACATATAAAAGGGTAGAATCAGTGGGATGGAGATTCCAAGATACAGTCTTTAGGAAATCACATTCGTTCACCCCAAACCGATTTCTCAAGTGATAACCAAACACCTCATCACCACCGAGAGGCAAAGCAAGGGCACAAGCCGAAAGCACCGGAGAGTGGGGCCATGACTATTAACATGGAGACGGTCATCAATGATGAAGGATAGACCGGGGAGGGGAGGGGGATGAATGGCTCCAAGGGCAAGCTGAAGTGCTGCATAATTAGTGTCAGCAGCATGTTGGCCTGCCACGCTAGGGCAGCGAGCCCCCCCAAGCATTGCTGATGTCTCTACGGACCCCTCCAGGCTTTTCGTGGAAGGTTGTGGGTTTGAGAGCGGGCAGAGGAGAGAGTCCCACGTAAAGGCAACGCCCCCAGAGTTCCTGATGCAACTAGACGTAGACAGTTTGGAGGTATGATGATCAAATCTGAATGCCATGATGGCATGCAGGAGGCGTGTGGCCACGTTATGAGACACCTGAAACGAGGTGGTATTTCGTGAGCATCACGTAGAGACAGGGGACCTGTTTCCCCGACCCTATTATCTAGGATACATGAGGAGGCTTGTCTGTGCTGTGCCTCGTCAAATACAAAACACTTAACCTGGGTAAACATTATTGCAAGGTAAGATTAGGACCATTGAGGGACAGACGATGAGTAACAAGGCGAACGTAAGGAACTACCAATGCCTATGTATGCGAAAGTGATCTAAATGTGATATGTGCACTACCTTGTGGCATACTCTACAACCGCATTCGTTGTTCGTAGTGCACGATATTGGCCCAGATTCGATGCCATCATTTTGTTCAAGATGAACGGATGTCTATCTAGGCAGTAGGTAGCAACAGGCCCGCTACATTTGTGGTTGACAGAAAGCCAAACTCGGCTGAGACTCGCTAGCTGTTGCATACTTTTGATGGCCCTTCGCTCTAACCTGATGGCATTGTGACATGGAGCCACAGGGACATGGTGTACGCCGCATCTCACCGAGTTGGATTCCAAGAGTTGCAAGCCAGCCTACCATATATTTTGATCATCGGACAGGCCATTCAGCGATGCATTGTTCAGAAAAGAAGAAAACGAAAGGCAGACGCTTATGATGTAGCTATGGAAGGTCATGTACAGGTCATCGAATCTAGAGTTTCGAATGTTGCGACAGCTTTGCGGCTATCGCTTCCTTCACTTGTTGCACAGGCAACTGATCGACCTCTTTACCGGTCCAGTAACGGTCCTGTGGGGGGTGGTGGGATATGTAAGCCTGATGATACGCGACGGAGGGCCGGGCAGGCCTTGCGGCTCTGTTTACTCACCTGTTCCAATCCTTGGTAGATCATGGCCTCGGTGCCCAAAATGAGCTGCCAGCCGGCTTCTTCTGCCAGGGCGGCGATGGCGGTATAGGGCGTAGGGTTGTAGCACATTTCCAAGATGGCGCCCTTGCGGTCCTTGTTCAGGAACTCGACGATGATGTCACGGGCGACAATCTCTTCGGGCGTCTTGGGCGGGAAGTCGGGCACACAGGCCACAATGGCGCCGGGGGCGTCGAGCTGCCGCGCTTCGTCGACGGTTGAGACATGGTAGATGCTGTCTCCGTACCCCCGGGCCGCGCACTCGGCGATGACGGCGTCGACCTCGCCCTTGTCACGGTTGACGAGGTAGATGTCGGTGGCCTTCATCCACTTGCGCAACGCGTAGACGGCGCTGCGCGCGGCACCGCCGCCGCCAATGACCAGGGCCGGCTTGTCGTGGTAGACGGCGTCGGGGTCGGTGACGTTCTGGACAAACGACTCACGCACGCCGATGACGTCCGTGTTGGTGCCGCAGTATATCCGCTTGCCGTCGCGTTCTCTGATGAAGAGGGTGTTGCAGGCGCCGACATCGCGGCACTCGTCCGTCAGCTCATCGAGGTGTGGGATGATGGCCACCTTGTTGGGCATGGTCACGGAGCTGCCGTAGAACTTGGGGTGCTTGATGAGTTCCAGGAACTGCTCCAGGTCTGCCGAGTCGAGCCTCAGCTGCTCCCAGTTGAGGCCGATGCCCTCATAAATGGTGCTGTGCAGAAGCGGTGACAGGGAGTGTGTGATTTTCTGGCCGAACAGATACCCGTGGCGGTCAAGCTGCTCAATCTTTGCGGCAATGGACTCGTCCAACTGCTCGACGGGAGCTACTGCACTGGCCATGACGGATTTATATGTGTTGGGGAGTCCGTATCAAACAGCCTGTGAGTTTTTTGTTTCCTTTCCTTTGCTGATTGGTTCGTCGGTTGCTTTCAAAGGGTTATCTGGGCTAGGTTCTATACGGGAGCGAGAATGATGGATAGATAGTCAGGGGAACAACGGGGAAGATGATGGAGTGCGTTCCGGCGGGAGATGCGGCAAGTAATGAAATGTAATGTTTGGAAAAATGGAGGAACAAAATGTGAGTCTTAGGGACCCCAAAGCGGGTGGATAATTGCCAGTAATATGTAATAGAAAACGGGAAAAACGTCTTCGGCAGAGCCACTTTTTGTTATTCGCTCGTGTGTGATTGTCTCCCTTTTCTCCAGTCTCTCTCTCTCTCACTCTCTGTCTCACAATTGTTTTCTCGTCTCCAACTGCCAACCGGTGTCCCTCGGAGCCCAATGGCATTGCGTTTATTTGTTCTTACGGCAAAACGGGGCACCTGATCGGAATTGGCATCAAAGCCGCGGCATCAGGTATTTCCCCATCAATGACTTGCAGCATACGGATACAATCACTCCAAGTGCGCTCCGGCAAAGCACTCTCCAGCACAACAACCTATTGATTGACAAGTGCCGGATAGACTTTGGAATAGTGGGCGGGTTAGGTATAGTACAGAAAGACGCACGTACGCAGTAAAACAACCCCTGTTCTTCGTTTACTTGGGGTAATCCCACATGTAATACCACACACCCACCACCCCCACACACCCAACGGGCCAAGCCTGGAGATTGTTTATCCCCCCTCCAAGGGAGAAGTGTTTTCCCTCAAGGCAAGCCGAGCGACCCAGTGGTTAGTTGTAAGTTCAACGTCACCAGTCAGTCGCTAAGCTAACAACGATCAACCGCACCACTCAACCACACACACTTGTACTGTAGGTAGGCATGCGGAAGAGCGTCGTCCAGGACTATGCTCGGCTACCTTCGGCTGCCCCCCAGAACCCCCAGAACCCCTCAGATCAACATGGTCTCAGAGCATCTAAACCGATGAGGGGGATAGGTGGCGGGTGAATGCTTTGCTCCCTCGGCCCCCCCCGTACCCCCCCCCCCCCCCCCCCCCCCCCTCTCTCTTGAGGGCCCAGTGTAACCCGGTGTTAGGATGATGGCATATGATACCAGTGGGCAGACTGTCTTCAAACCCGTTGTCTGTATGGGTCCGGCATGGTCTTTCTGGTAGATACGGGGGATGTTGCATGTCTCCCCAGTTGCGTTGCCGAGGGCAGACGTATACGAGTAAACGCCCGCCGCCCTTTTGTAATTCGGAATACTTCACTCAGTCCCTCTTATATCCGGACCAATCTCCCTCCATCTCATAATACCATACTAGCCGTCCGTCACCCCTTCTACTACTTGCAGTTCTTGCGTGCGCGTTTGATATCCTCGATATTTTCCTCCGTCGCTGAACTTCACATCCCATCCAATATGCCTTCTCGTTTGGGCATCAGTACCATGTCGCTCGGCCGATGCTGGGCTGGCCACAGCTTTGAACATAAGATGGACATGGCAGCCAAGTATGGCTACCAGGGCATCGAGCTTTGGCACGAAGACTTGATGGATGTGGCCGAGCAGCTGCCCGGCGGTGCTGCCCTGCTCGAAAACCAACTCGCCGCATCCGGCATCGTCAAGAGGATGTGCGACGCCCGCAACCTCGAGATCATCTGCCTTCAGCCTTTTATGAATTTCGAAGGGCTTGTCGACCGCCAACAACATGCACGCCGCGTCGAGGAACTACGTGTTTGGATCCAACTCGCCCACGTCCTCGGCACAGACGTGATCCAGATCCCAAGCAACATCTTGCCGGCAGACCAGGTTTCCGAGGATCTTGATCTTCACATTGCCGACCTTGCTGAGGTTGCGGACATAGGCGCCGCCTCCGAACCCCCCATTCGTTTCTCGTACGAGTCTCTCGGTTGGGGAACGAGAGTTGACACGTGGGAACGCTGCTGGGAGGTTGTGCAACGGGTTGACCGGCCCAACTTTGGCATTTGCCTCGACACGTTCAACATCGCCGCTCGCATCTTTGCTGACCCCGAAGCGGCTTCTGGGAAAGCCCCTGACGCTGAGCAAGCCGTCAAGGAGTCTATCCAGCGGCTGCTCTCGGCCGTCGACGTCTCCAAGATTGTATACGTACAAGTCGTTGACGCAGAGCGCCTCGCCGAACCCATCTGCAAAACCCATCCCTTCTACAACCCTGAACAGCCATCACGCATGTCGTGGTCAAGAAACTGCCGCTTGTTTTACGGCGAATACTCCAGAGGAGCGTATCTCCCCGTCCGGGAGATTAGCGCCGCGATTTTCCAAGGTCTTGGTTTCGAGGGCTGGGTCAGCTTCGAGCTTTTCAACAGGAGGATGTCCGAGGAGGACCGTGATGTCCCTGAGGAGCTGGCAAGGAGAGGAGCTGTAGCTTGGACCAAGTTTGTAAGAGATATGAAGTTAAGAGTAAATGAGCCGTCGAAGACGACGGTAACGGCGTCACTATGAGCTGCCAGCACCGGTTTGTGTGGATGGCGAGACGGCGACTGTACAATGTATACGTCTTTTCTTTTTTCTTTTTCTCCTGATGAGCCATGAATTTTATTCAAAATCTCTACGTCCTTCCTTATCTTGAATGTTCTCGATGCTTCTCGGCGTAAACTTGACAGCAGCATGTACCTGTAAACGCACAACCCGCAAGCAGCCGCCACCATGTTGCTCAGACAGCACTTTGTAGTCTGCATGCTCCCCTTGTGAGCATGTTGGTGACCAGAATGTTACGAAGAAAATATTGAAAAGTATGAGTGAATCGCAAACAGAGGCACTTGCATGAGGCGAGGCGATGGGGTTGATGAGACGACGAGACTTGACAGCGGTTCAAGTGCAATGGTTCTTGTTCGGCTTGGATAGATAGCGGCTTCAAGCGACAAGGCCATCGCGGTTCATGAGCCACTATTCACATCACATTCGATAGGCCAAGTCTCTTTCCATGCGTAACGAAGACCCCCGATAAGCGACGAGTTGAGAGTTGAGAGTTGGCGCAAGCTGCAGGAACCAAACTTGGCCAAGTTGATCGAGATTAACGAACTTGATATGGTCGGTCCTCCCGCCAGGCCAGCGCTCTTAAATCCGTGGGCTGCCTCGACTCTAGAGCTCTGCAGCTCAAGTGTCAAGCGCTGGACACTCACCCACTCATCCAAATACTCATTCAAACACTCACTCAGATGCCCGGCCCTCGAGCTCCTGCCGAGTTCCACAGGCTTTAGGTACCGAGGAACCTTTGGGTGATGAGCGCCCCCACCCTTGTCTTTAGGGACTTTAGGGATCAGCCTCAGGCTCCAGAGAGCGGGGAGCCCATGCGGAGACTCCCCGCTGATAGGAGACCGGACGTCATCCGCAGTGCTTCCGCGCCCGCTATCTTTCGGTTGGCGGCGGCCCAGTCGTCAAGGGTTTCTGACAAACCAAACTGAACCCGACCCGACAACGGACTGACAGGTTCGTTCATGTTTGTGCCGTTTTACTCCTCTCACTATACCCTCTCCTTTCTGACTCTTCGGTTCACTGACTCTCTCCCATTCTCACCTCTTTTGGCCCCGTTTTTATCATCCTCCCAAGAGATAAGTCGTTGCAAGTAACGTCCACGATGGCGGAAATCAGCGACACCGAGCTCCGCGAAATCTACGACTTTGCCGTCCAATTGGGTAAAGAGGCCGGCGACCTGCTCATGACGGCGGCCAAGTCGAGATGGGGAACCGGAGGAGAACAGCAGGCCTTCACAGAGAAGGACAACTCGGTCGACCTGGTGACCAAGACGGACACAGGTCTGTACACGGGGAACATGACACGCCGAGAGAGTGTTGGACATGGCATGCTGACGAGCTTTGTTCGCGATTGCAGAGGTTGAAGCTTTCATTCGCACATCCGTCGCAAACAAGTACCCCACCCACAAGTAGGTCCCGACTTATCCTGGCCGCCGGCCCCGATACACACGCCTTTGTCTCCAGTTGCACTTCTGACACGCTGTCAGCTTCCTCGGCGAAGAGACCTACTCGGCCGGCGCATCCCGCGAATACCTCGTCGACGACGGCCCGACGTGGATCGTCGACCCTCTCGACGGCACCGTCAACTTCACCCACCTCTTCCCCATGTTCTGCGTCTCTATCGGCTTCGCAGTCAAAGGGAAGCCCGTCATCGGCGTCATCAATGCGCCCTTTCTGAACCAGACCTTCTCCGCGTGCAAAGGCCACGGCGCCTGGATGAACGAGACGCAGAGGCTGCCCCTCGTCCCGAGCCCGCTGCCGGCCAACGCGCCCAGCGGATGTGTCTTCTCGTGCGAGTGGGGAAAGGATCGCCGGGACACGCCGGACGGCAACATGCACCGAAAGGTCGAGAGTTTCATGAACATGGCAGCCGAGCGCGGAGGGAGAGGCGGAAAGGGTGGCATGGTGCACGGCATGAGGAGCCTGGGAAGGTGAGTCGTGCATGACCCCATCCGCCTTGGGACACAACACATGTTGACGGATGATAGTGCGACTTTGGATCTGGCATACACAGCAATGGGATCGTTCGATATCTGGTGGGAAGGCGGGTGCTGGGAGTGGTGAGCGAACCTCGTCCTTCGTGAGAGTTGGGAGATCGGGAGCTAACAGCAGTTCTTGCAGGGACGTCGCCGCAGGATTCGCCATCCTCGAGGAGGCCGGAGGTCTGGTGACGGTAGCGAACCCGCCCGAAGACACGAGCATCATCCCAGAGGCGAAGCTGGGCGGCAGACTCTATCTTGCCATCCGGTACGTCGAGTGACTGCAGCAGCCCGCATCGTACACAAGCACACACAGCTGACCAATCCCAGGCCCGCAGCAGCAACCGAGACTGAGACAGCACGCCAGGCACAGGAGAGAGTCGTACGGGAGACGTGGAAGCGAGTGAGAAACCTTGACTATTCGAGGCCCGGAGTGTAGATTCAATAAATAGGGGGAGAGAAAGAGCGAGAAAGATAGAAGAAACATGCGGAATTCCAATTACAGGTCGGCCCTAGCTCGCTCCCCGGCCCACGCTCTTCGAACGATTTCACGGATCTTGGGCTTTTCAAGGGGCCGAGGGTTCCAGTAAGGCGTGTCCGAAGCAACGTCTGCGACGCGATCAATGTCCGTTTCTTTCATCCCGAGATCCTTGAGTCCGCTTGGTATCTCCAGGAGCCGGAGCAGCTCGTTAAGGCCGGCCACGATGCCTTCGGCCGAGTTCCCGGTGCTTTGCACGAGGGCGGAGGACAGCCTCGTCATGATCTGCTCGGAGAAGCACTGCGCATTATAGGCGATGCTGTGGGGGAGCAGAATGGAGTGCGTCTCGGCGTGGGGGAGGTTCAGCGAGCCGCCCGCCGCGTGGGCCAGCTTATGCTGCAACGCGATGCCTGTTGCCGTTGCCAACATGCCAGCCAGGAATGCGCCGTAGAGCGCCGACGTGCGCGCCTCGACCGACGCCGGGTTGGTGACGATGACGGGCAAGGCGCTGGACAGCGCCTTGATGGACTCCAGAGCAAAGTGGTCCGTCAGCGGGCTGGCCTGCCGCGAATACAACGCTTCGACTGTGCTCATGGTCAGCCATGTTCGGGCTGCTTGCCCGCCCTCCCCCTTCCCTTCCGAACGCCGCAGACAGACTTACACGAATGCGCCATGGCGTTGATGCCGCTCGGGGCACTGACTTTGACGGGCAGGTCCATGGTCAAGTCGACGTCGTAGATGACCACCTTGGGCAAGATTTTGGGGTCCGTCGTCGACGTCTTCTTACCGTCCTTGGTCTCACCGATAATGGGTGTCATCTCAGAACCGGAATACGTCGTAGGGATGGCCACCTGCGGCATTCCCGTACGAAGCGCGATCGCCTTGCCAAGGCCGACTGCGCTGCCGCCTCCGACCGAGACGAGCACATCTCGGTCCTTGGCGCGGTTCACGGCGGGCCCGATGATGTCGCTGGGGTTGTGGACCTTGGCCGTGTCAAGGATCTCAATGTCTGAGAGTCCTGCCTTGCTCAGGTTGTCCCGGATTCTGTGGGCCAGAGAGACACGGGACGGCGAACAGATGATGAGAGGCTTAGAGAGGCCTCGGGATTGAAGCTCGCCACTCAACTCGTTGATCGTGCCCGGTCCGAAGAAGACCTTTGGCGTAGTGATGCCAAAGAAGAAGGGGGGGGTAGTATCCATGACGGGCAACCTGTTAGCAATTGTTTCTCGAGTAATTGTACCGGGGAGAGTGAGAGTGAGATGAAGAAGAATGAATGAATGAAACAATATAGAGAGAGGGAACTGTGAAAGGGCGCTGTGGATGATAGACCAACGCTGTCACTAGTTTGTCATCGGCGGGGGCGGGGTCCCGACCGCCCTGCTGTGGAGATCTCGGGCCCGGTGGCAGAGGCCCGGCAAGTCAGCCAACACAAACGGGAAGTGGGTGGATGGGATGGGCGGTTTCATCGACCATGACCTCCTCCATCTGCAGCTTCCTACCTATCTAGGTGGTCAAGCATTCTCCTGTGATTGTGCACGCGCATGGAGCTGAGGCTTTACACCGGCCGCAGTCTCTGAATAAGACGCTCTTCGTAGGCAGCTAGAGCCTAGAGTAAACCACCAACAAAAGTTCAAGGGTCGGATCGGTTCAATTGGCTGTGGCTATCTTTTCTTCAGATGGCCCTGCAGGGTATCACTAATTATGTACATTTACTTAGTCCAGACCGTCAAACCCGAGGATGCCGTGAGCACCCATGGGGCCAAGTTTCGCGGCAGCCCCAGTGTTCTGACGCTTGCTCCGCCTTTTCCCACCATCGTCGCTGTCACTATCGTCTTCATCGTCGTCGCTGTCGCTATCTTTCGCACGGCGCTTACCGGTAGGTTTATCACCGCCGTCGCTATCGCTATCGCTGTCGTCATCGTCGTCGTCGCCGTCGCTATCTTCGGCCTCCCCTTGGAGCTCCGACAGCTCTTCCCATACCTTGACCGTCTTGCCACCAGCCGTGATCAGACGGTTCTGTGAGTCAAACATGACAGAAATGACACCCTCAACTTCGTCATGTCGGAGATTCAGTGACTTGTCAACCTCTCTGGTGACCAAGTCGACGACGCGCAGGCTGCCGTCTCCAAGCCCAACCACCAGCTTCTTGCCCAGGCCCAGCTCTTGAGGCACAAGGGCCATGGTATCCAGACTTTCGCCGCCTCCCTTGCCGCCGTCGACGATGATGCGCTCCTGTTGATCATCCCATGCACCCCTGTCCCAGATAGTGACGACTCCGGAGCCGGATCCGACGGCGACGATTCCATTGTTGCGGTTGTGCTTGGGGCCGAGACCGGGAACGTAACAGGCGGACAGCAGCTCGTCCTCTTGGTCGTCAGACCGGACAAGAACGCCTCTCCTCACATCGGTGACGGCGAGGGTGGTGCCGCCGGTGGAGACCCATTGCTTGGAAAAGCCAGAGGTGCTCTCGGCGGAGGGAGGGAGGGGAACGATGGCAGAGACGTAGTCGGAGTGAGGGAAGTGGGTTTGTGCGGGCTTGGCCGAGGGGACGCCGTCTCGTAGGTCAAATATGTGCACGGCGCCCGAGTCGCAGGCGATAAGGAGGCTCTGGGGGTTCAGGACGTGCATGAGGGTTGGGGCGTCGATCTGCTTGTTCGAGGAGGGGATGACGGCCTTGGAGATGACCCTGCCAGTCTCGGGGGAGAAATGCTTGATCAAGCCATCGGTGCCGGCAGAGTAGAGGGCTGGCGAGTCCTTTTGGTTAGCTGTGGCTCACGGCGCCGCTGGGTTGGTGGTTCTGTCCGTCGCAAGACTACTGACCAGATCCATCATGGTTGTAGGCCAAGGCTCGGCAGCTTCCCTTGTGCCGCCTCGTACGCCATATGCTGTCAATGGTTCCCCGACCGTTGGACGCGATGCTCGTATCGGGATCGGCCGAAGAATCGGAGGAGTCTTGTACGGGAGGGGGAAGGCGGAAGGTTTCGACGTGGCCGGTAGACAAGCCAACGGTCAATAGCGGTTCGGTGGGATGGAGGACCTGGGTGAAGACCTCGGCGGACAGGGGCAGGGTGCAAAGGTTTTCAAACATGATTGCTGCGACTCCTTGGATGGAAGGCTAAGGAAGATTGGTCTATTGAATTACCGGAAGAAGGGCCGCGTCCAAGGGGGGTAGGAATCGAATCTGGCCAAGGTAGATTTCCAAGAAAGCAACAGGGCAGAAACTGACCGAAGCGATTGGGAAGCCGGCGATGGAGGAAATTTTTGAGGTGAGCGGCTCACCGAGGAGTGGGCGCCCCACCCGAGCTCTCACCAATCGGCGTAGCTATGTGACGGGTGTTATCAAGTACCTACTCAGGTACTCGTGTGCCGGCGTGCCGGGTGAGAATTCGAAGCAGACCCGGGGATGGCCTGGTTCAGACGTTTTGGAAGATGCAAACACGGAACCCTTTTTACGACCGATGGGCCAGAAAACCGAAGCGTCTCATCTATCGTCTGCCTAGGTACTTACATCTTACATTGTGCCGATGCCCTGCCCTGCCCTGCCCTGCCCTGCTTGCTTCCGCCGCCGTCTAATAAGAAAGTCTCAAACGCAACCAAGCAACACACCATGTTCCGTTGGAGCCCGGGCGATTCTAGGACTTCCCAGGCCCGCCTCTCCCCATCCTCCCGCTTGCCCTTCATGCATCTCATCTTTGGAGAATCTTCCTATCGGTTGGTGCAGCACCCTTTGTAAACTACCTAGGACAAGAGATACGTATCGCACGCATCTTCATAAGTACCTAGTGTACCTAAGGTAGGTAGGTTTCCTAGGTAGGCATGGATCGGTAATTCCAAAAGACTCAAAGGAAGGACCGGGAGGGTCGAGATCAAGTACGTACCGAGGTGCCTACCTACATCGTACCTACTATTACTACCTACCGGTAGAAACAAGGCAGGTCCGGAGGAATCGTCTTAAGGTTAATCGGTGCGGGGTCGTCCCGCCCGCTGCACCAACAGCTTCCCGTTTGGTGCCCACTCGTACTGATTGGGCTGTCCGGTGTCGCATTACAGGCCGCACCGACACTGCTGGGAGGGAAGCTTGCGCCACAGCATAGCGGGGTTCCTGCACCGAGAAGATCCCTGGCGCAAAGAGCAAGCTGGGACTGATTGACTGTACCTACCTACCTAAGTACAACACGAACAGCATCTGAGGGGATGCAACGTAATTCATTCAACCGCATGCTTTCCTCTCCCATTGTCTCGCCCTTTCGCCGTTTCGCCGTTCCGTGTCCTTTCCGTCCAAGTCACCTCCTCTTTTGTTCCCCTTTGTCCTCCATTGTCTATGGCTGGTCTCTAGCTCTCTGCATCGTCGCTACTTCCGCATGCCCTCAGACTCTTGGAGCTTTTCCTCCCCTTGTCTCCTGTCTACAACGTCGGCACATCATGAAGCTGCTTCCCGTGGCCTGGGGCGGTCTGCTAACCCTTTTGCAGTCCGCCGCCATGGCTTCCGCCAACGACTCTAGCCAGGAGTCGGGGGCCGGTCTCAAATGCGTCATGTACCTTACTGGGTATGACTTCGCTGCCTTATCGTTCATTCCCTTACTGACACACCGCAGACAGCACCCCGACGTCCCCTCCAAGGAGCTCGTGGCTTACGTCACCCATGTAGAGCTGGCCTTCATGAACTCGGACATCTTCAATCAGGACGTCTCCGAGTGGCCCCTCTTCACCACCGTTGACAAGGTCCGCACCCAGTTCATGCCCGGCACCAAGGTTATGGTCGCCATCGGCGGCTGGGGTGATACCAAGGGCTTCAACACGGCCGCCCGCACCCCGGAGTCGCGCCAAAAGTGGGCCCAAAATGTCGCCGGTATGGTCAGGGCTACCGGCGCAGACGGTAGGACCACGTTGACCAAAGCCAAAACAAAATGGAAAGGACATGTCGCTGACGTATCGCAGGTATCGATATGGACTGGGAGTACCCTGGGTAAGCCTTGACAAACCGGAAAACCTCCTTGCGAGGAGGAAAATCGCTGACAAGAGGCCCAGTGGTAACGGCGAGGATTATAAGATTGTTACCAACGAAGACAAGAAGTGGGAGATTGACGCCTATCCCCTGCTGCTGGAGGAGCTCCGCAAGCAGCTCCCCGACGGCAAGCTTATCTCCGCCGCGACGCCAGGGCTTGAGCGCGACATGATTGCCTTTACCAACGAGACGGTCCCCCTCATCATGCGCAGCCTTGACTTCGTCAATGTCATGACATACGACATGATGAACCGCCGAGATGTCGTCGCGAAGCATCACACGGGCTTGGAGTTATCAAGAATCGCCGTCAACAACTACATGGCCAGAGGCGTTCCGGCCGACAAGATTAACCTTGGCTTTGCCTTCTACACCAAGTGGTTTAATACGACCGACTGTCCGGAAGGACAAGAGCTTGGGTGCCCTATGCCACTAATGGAGGATCCTGTGACCGGCGGAGATCTGGGCCAGACAGGCGGCTTCAGCTGGAACGACAGCATTCCGGACTACGTAAAAGCCTCGTTCGACAGATCCCAAAACGAGGGCAAGTATGACGAGAAGGGCGGTGGCTACTACTACCTTGATAGGGCCGAAAAACGATTTTGGACGTATGACACCCCCGATGCCATACTTCGTAAGTTTCCCGCCCTTGTTGATGATCAGAGCCTCGGCGGAGTTTTCGCTTGGGGCCTGGGCGAAGACGGTCCCGACTTCAACAACCTCAAGGCCGTCAATAAAGCGTTGGCAGAGCGCAAAAACGGGGAAGGGGCAGGAGGAGATTGTGGTTCTGGCCGTCATGAGACTGATGAGCTGTAGGTGAGCCCCTGGGCAGAGCCAAGAGAGCCTTGCAATGTCTCCTTGAATGAAACATGAATAATCGACTCACTGTTGGGTTGTGCCTAGTGTCAAGCGTGCACCGTTGCATGCGGACTGAAGGGGGTAGGAATTAGTTGACGAGTTGACAAAAGAGAAATGAGGGATATGGACTCGCCATGACATAGGAAGCTGAAAGGGATGTCGCGGATATATATGTTTTCAAGCTCAGATTGATGTTCAAGTTGCATCTTTGGTTCTTCCCGTCCCCTTGGTGAGCGGCTTCTGGGAACCAGGTCGAGGGTGCCCTTACCATGATTTGGCATGTCGTGTCGCGAGCTTGAGTACATGCCGGGTTATATATTGTGATTTGGCCATGTGGTGCCGAGGCGGAAGACGACAGATATGGGTAGCCTGACTGCAGAGCCTGTATTCGACAGCTTTTGGGACGTGTGACGCGTCCACGGACTTTTCTTTTCGTGCCTAGGTACGGATAGACAGTCCTGCAATTAACCAGGTACCTAGGTACACACTTCATGCACATGTCGCCGAGGAAAGACGCGGATACACTAATTGCTAGCTAGGCAAGATAATGAGTTGCTGTGCGTCGCTAGCTTGATCCATGGAGCGGCGTCAAAGACGCTAGCGCAGCTTTTACGAACCGGCTCTCGTCGGACAGCCGTCAGTGTCGCTGGAGAGCGTTTGGTCCTTCACGGGCTCGCGGGCAAGTCTTCAGGATTAGGTAGGCGCGTGTGTTTCCGTGCTCGGCTCCCAGCCGACTTGTCTTGGTTATCAAGATGTCTCGGAGCAATCTCATCCGAAGTAGGTGATTGATACGCACTTTAGTCATGTGCGAGGATTGGACGCCACGGGTTCGAAGAGGAGGGACGGCCTTGAAAACGTACAGTAGGTACTTTGGTCCAGGCCCAAGACCAGGAATAAAAACCACGTCATGCGGGGGTTGACGCAGCGGGGAACGGACAGTGGGTGCCGGCACGCCAAGATCTACACCACGTACTGCATAGTTTGACATGTTGGCTACATCGTATTACCTACCAGTAGTTTATTCCAAGGGCTCGTCAGGGTTCAACGAGACCCTCACGTGAGGAAGGAAGCATGGATATTGATGGAGCCGGGGCGTTGGCTTCGAGACGGGTACCTCGGAAGAGAGAGGCGGAAAGCCAGGCGGAAAGCCAGGGGGGGAGAAGGCGTAAGGACCGGCCGAACCCGGGGCTGAGGCGGACAGGACGAGAGGAAGGGGAGACGAATAAGTAAAAGAAGGCTGGTCGTCTGAGGGGTGCAGGCCATGATGGGGGCAGAGATGGGACCGGCGGTGGGCTTACTCGGCGGTCAGCACTGAAGGTTGGGCACACGTCATCAGGGTTTCCGTGGTGCCCCCGGTCGCGTTGCTCTGGATCCTTGACCCGCCGAGGTATGTGGAGGTGTCATCACCACGTCCCATTTCTTGTCGTTGGGTGCCGGAGCCGAGATGGCGCGGGGGCCCACTGTTTGCCGGTGTTGGCTCAGGCCACTGCGACTAGTGTACTGGGCGGGTTGGGACGCATCATGTACACTTAGACAAGGTGCCTGTAGGTAGGTAGGAAGGTACCGTAGATGGATGCTATGTGGTACCTAGGTATGCTGGTGCATGGGTCCGTCATCCATGTCTTTGCATCAATGGGCCAAGAATGCAGGGTCGCGTTCCTCAGTGCAGTGCGGTGAAGGACTGGATGTAAGTGGCTGGCTGGTGATGTGGGCCGAGTTGAGTGTCTTGAACGTAAACGAGCGAGGCCAATCAAGCTAATGGTCATGGCATTTATTCGTCCAAGTGGGCGCGAGTGTGTGTACATTGCCTACCGACTTACGGATAGCTATGTTCCAGCCCTAGGCCCCGGGGGGTTGGGAGTCATGGTTTCACTGCAAGGTCTCTGGAGACGAGTCTTGCTGGCTTGAGGTGGACAAGTTGGATACATGTCTCAGTACCTAACCGGACGTTTACAGACAGCGAGCGGTTCGCAGACCATGACTTTGCCAGGTCTTACACTACCACGTAACTAGGTAGGTAGGTAGGTAGGTCGCTCTCCTCCGGCTGTCCGGGGACGAGGATGAAGAAGTCAGCACACGGTATCATTGAGGGCTGCTAGCAGCTGTTGACCTCCATATCCGTACCAGTTGAAATAGCATCACCTACCGACGATGGACATTCTTAGGTAAGGTGGTTGGTTGGTGCAGGTGGGTAGGTACTACTAGGCAGGTAGGTAGCTAGCTAGGTACATGTAAGAGTGAACCCTGAGCACCTAAGCGAGGGTCACACGCCACCCCCGGCCGCCTGGCGTGGCGTGGCTGAAGCCTGAAGGTTTTGGTTGTGCTACGTGCACCGCAGCGCAACTTGGCGGCAACTTTTGTCTAGCGCGTCCCATGATTGGCCGAAAGCCCTGTTGACCCTGGCCTGTAGCCATCGCAAATGAGGTCATACCCATGCAACCACGTCATTGTCAGCTATACTGTGCGCTTGAAGCCGCATTACGCATCGCCAATTCCAATTTCAACCACTCGTGGGCTGCTTTGGAGAATGTGATGCGACCGTACGGGGCGGCGTGCGCGTACATTGCACTAGACGCACTACGTATTGAGATGTGCCTCAGGGTACCTACCTACCCATCTACCTAGGTATCTAGGTGCCCCGTGGAGAGGGAAAAGGAACCTCTGCTGTACACTGCACCGGCGGACCATCCAGGTACCCCCAAGTACCTACTGCCTGCAACTTCCTTTGCCTCTCTTGCCTCCCGATGCTGGCATGGAAACAGTGATTTCATCCATTTTTCCCTTTTCCTTTTTTTCTTCTTCTTTTTTTCCCTTTCGCTCTCGCTGACTGTGTCCCTCTCTGACGCCATTTGCCAAACAAGAAACTGGTCTTGCGCCTCTCTGCCCATTACCTACATATTCAACCTGGTTGCCTCTCTTGTTCGCAACCTCTCCTCCATTTATCATCACCCACATCACCGACATCAGCTAGCTACTTCTGCTACCAGCATTCTATTACCTACTAATTAGTACGCCGGACCCGCGCTGGGAATAAACTGTCAACCTCGTGTACTGCCTCGTCCAACCACCAGACACAATCTCGCACATACAGACACCATGGTCGCCCTCGTCCCCCTCGCCCACATTGTGGCTGCCGTCTTCTCCATCATCGAGCTTGGCCTGAGTTCATATGGTAAGGCTCCCATCGGCGTGTCGCAACTTGCTCGTCGCGCCCACTGACACATGCACTATAGTTGCCAGCGGTTACAACGGATACAACGGCTGGAGCGGCTGGTGGTCGCGATCCCCCGACATCGTCAACTTCATCATCTTCAACTCGGTGTGGTCTCTGCTGGTCCTTGCCTACGTCTGTCTCACGCCGTTGTACATGACCCGTCTCTTCCACAAGCTTGTCTCTCTCGCCTTGCTAGTCATCACCACCATCTTCTGGTTCGCCGGTGCCATCGCCCTCGCTGTCTTTGTCGGCGCTCCCAGATGCGGTGCCAACACCTTCTGTGGCTCCTCCCAGGCCGCCGTCGCCTTTGCCTTCTTCATCTGGGCCATCTTCATGTTCCTCACCGTTCTCGACACCCTCGAGGCCATGCGCTCGCGCGGGCACAGCACCAAGGCCAACCACGCCTACCCCGGTGCTTAGACTGGGGGTTATTTCGCCATTCTCAATGAATGGGAAATCCAAGACACTGAGTATGGGTACAGCGGTTCGACTTTCTGATTCAACGGCCATGGGAGGAAGTGGAGATACCCCTCAAAGTATGAAACGGTGTTAGGGTTCTGTTTTTCTCAGTGTGCATTATGGAAATACCTGGCGTCGGGGAGCCGGAGGGCGGCGACACTGTATTGTTTATGAATGGTGCTGCGTGTTTCGCAAATGCATGTTTTTACAGCCAATATTCATACTATGTTTTCTTCTACCATGCGCTCTCTGCAGATGCCAATGCATCTTGATTCTTTCTGATGAGTCGGGGGATATATACGAGTGACGGGGCGTTGTTTGTCTAGATTTTGTTTTTTCACCCACACCAAGGTCCTCAAGCAGTGTATGCTTCTAGGACAAGAGATATCCGCATGCTGCAAAGAGGGCAAAGCATAAAAAGAATGGGAGACTGCAGTGCACTACGTCTTAAGTCGCTGACAAGGTCAAATCATCCTGTCACTGCCGCCGAGTGACTGGAAGCAAAATTCCCAACCAAACTACCTACCTACCTACCTACCAAACATGTCAGTAAGAGACGCCGCTGCGAGCATGCGCACCATCGTCTATGGCGCCGACGTTGTCTACTCATGTTATCTCGCAGGCACCGGATCAGTGTGAGCCAGACGCAGCTGTTAGCCTAGACTTTCTGTACAACTGCTGACTCGCGGGAGTCTTGGCGACATGCGCTTTGGCTTCGGGAACGCCGCAGCGGCAGTTGGGTCAAACGGCGACGAGCGATTCGTACTCTGTGCCGACCGGGGGCGCCGGGCTCGACATGCCCGGTCGCCAGGACCGGGGTAGTGGGTCGATGATGGACCGGCCGGCGGGGCTGGCAGGCGAGAAGAGGGTAATGTCAATGCTCGGGAAACCGAGAAGGGGGCCGGGGGAGGGTTGAAAACAAGAAAGAAGAAACAAAGAACCTCGGTCGGTTGCGTTGCACACCGCACACACCAACCAGTCTGGTTCGCCGAGCACGTGTGTCGGATGTAACCATGCCAATAGGTAGTCAGTCGCGGGTGCATGGTGGCAGGAACACAGGTAGGTAGTGGTAATATCGGTCTAGAAAGAAAAAAAAAACCCCCCAAACCCCGCGTGGTGGTACCTAGTCCAACTCACCTTATCGTGGTCGAAGCTTGGGGATGGAGTGCCAATTGGCGAATCAGGAGACGTACCGACGGCACACGCTTCCTCTGAGCCGCAGAGATAGCGGGCCGCCAAGGCCCGCTAGCGGGTACCAGAGATGGAGACCAAAGATCCGAGAGATTTTCGGTAGCGTCCTCCTAGCTACCTATATCCATATTCCGTATCCGTACGCATATAATTTACTTTAATCGGGAAACAATGTGGTTTGTTTGGGGCTAGCCTGTCAGACCTAGGTATGTGGGCGGGCGGGAATCTGCTCCCGCATCATCACCCTTTGATTCTTTCATTCTCTTGTTGGACGGAGAGTTGTCAGTCCCCCATAGCTGGCTCCTTTCGTTCGTTCTGTGTTCTGTACTTGTAGCCGTCGCTCTTCACTTCGATATGGCCTCCAGGGCCTCCTTTTTGGGATTCCCATCCCATTCCTATCTACCCATCTACCCACCTACCTCCATCTGCCCTCACATGGCGTTCAATACCCCTAGGAATCCCCCCTGTCCTGCTGCTCTCTCCGCCGTTATCGCCTTCTTCCAAGTGTAGCCTGGCACCAACACACTCCACGTGCTGCTAACCCGCGCATTCTACAGGCCCACACTACTTATCATCGCCCACTTCCACTTCCACTTCCATCTTCCATTTCCACTCCCACTCTCACTCTCACCCTCACTCTCTGCTGAACCCAACCTCTTCCCCTGGTTTATCATCCTTTGGCTAGCGGGACAATGAGCGCGGCCATGCCGAATACAAGCATACTGTCCGAAGCCGCCCAGGCAGGCCATCCAATCCCAGTCGGACGGCTCACCACCCTTCCACCAGACTAGCCACACCTTGATTATCTCCAGTTGCGTATGTCATACCCGGCTTCCCCCATGGCCACTGCACTTGCTGTTTGATCTTGGCAAAAAAGTAAACCCCATCTTGCTTCCTGTCCCGGAGAGCTGGACACATAAGATAAGGGGACCGGCCCCTCGGCCTGCTTCGTCTCGTCCGTCCTCTCCTCCTCCAGCCTCAGGTCCTGTAGCCCCCCTTCCCCCCTCGGCCCTCCCCTCCCTCTACCCCTCCTTTCGACGACTACTCCGTCCCTCACCGTGTCCCTTCGTTGCGCAACCATTACCTGCTCCCCCGTCGACCATCAGCCAGTCAGTCAGTCGTCAGTCACCCTTCGGCCGCCAACATGCACTTCAACGCCGTCGTCGTCTCCGGCCTCGTCGCCGCCGCCGCGCACCGGGCCGGTGCCTCACCGTGCCCCAAGCCGCTGCCGACGTCGTACAAGCCCATCACCAGCATTCAGTTGGGCCCGAGACCCTATTGGTTGGTCAATGACATGCAAGAGGGCCCTCTCAAGGACAAGCTGCAGTCCTGCTCCGAGCAGCCCATGAAATCCTCTAAATGGAGCATTGGTCACCGTGGCGGCGGTACCATGATGATTCCCGAGGAGTCGGTTGAGTCCAACCTCGCCGGTGCCCGTATGGGTGCGGGCATCCTCGAGTGCGACGTCGCCTTCACCAAGGACCGCGAGCTTGTCTGCCGTCACTCGCAATGCGACCTGCACACGACGACCAACATCGTCACCATCCCTGAGCTCAATGCCAAGTGCACCACCCCCTTCACCCCGGCCGCAAACGGCACTGCGGCCACTGCCAAATGCTGCACCTCGGACATCACCCTTGCCGAGTTCAAGACGCTCTGCGGCAAGATGGACGGCTTCAACGCCTCCGCCACCAACCCAAAAGACTTCTTGCTCGGCACGCCGCGATACCGCACCGACCTGTATTCCACCTGTGCCACCGTCATGACCCTCAAGGAGCACATCGCCATGACCGACGACCTGGGCCTGCTCTTCACCCCCGAGCTCAAGGTTCCTGAGGTTGAGATGCCTTTCGACGGGGACTACACCCAGGAGAAGTACGCCCAGCAGCTCATCGACGAATACAAGGGCGCCGGCATTGCCCCTGGGCGCGTCTGGCCACAGTCCTTCTACTACCCGGACGTCCTCTACTGGCTCAAGGCCGAGCCTGAGTTTGGCAAGCAGGCCATCCTCCTCGACGAGAGTGGCGACACCCCGGAGACATTCCCCTACGCCGTTGGCAACCTGACCGAGTTCGCCGCTGGTGGCGTCAAGATCATGTCGCCCCCGCTGCACTATCTGGTCACCGTCGAGGATGGCAAGATCGTGCCGAGCATCTATGCCACCAGGGCCAAGGAGCTGGGTTTCAACATCATCTCCTGGTCCCTTGAGCGTTCCGGCTTCTTGAGCGATAGCTCCAAGGGCGGGTACTACTTCACCACCGTCGCCAACGTTACCAACAACGATGGCGACGTCTACAACCTGCTCCACGTCCTGGCCCAGGACGTTGGTGTTTTTGGCGTCTTCTCCGACTGGAGTGCCACTGCCACCTACTACGCCAACTGCTTTGGTCTGCTCTAAGCGACGACCCACTCACTGTTTGGTAGATAGAAGAGGCCAAGGGAGAGGAAAATGGAGGGGGAAACGGATTAATGACCACGCCTACGATGGCACATGACGACCAGTGCGGAGGCCATGTTATATACGGCACACATATATTTATGTATATAAAATTGTAACGTCATATACCCCACGTCTGCCTCACCACGAGGTGGCTCGACAATTAAGTCGCAGGGCCCAAACTCAAAGAAGCCTCAATCCAAGGGCCATGTTTCTGTCGAACTCATCTCTTAATTATGCCTTGAACAATCCTCCAGATGCTCCAATTCGTGGTACAACACCCGGGCAGATGAGATTGCGTATGCCTTCACCTGGTCCAGCCCACGGCGCCGCGGCCTCGAGTCTTTCGTTGGGGCCCCATAATAATTACACCGAGATCACCGGTCGGTGAGTCTGGCCTGACCTTAAATTCGGTACCCCGCCAATACCGTAACCCCGCCATCGACTGACAAGTAATTCTTCTCCTTTAAAACTCCCCGTCGCCAAAGAAAAGTTTTTTCTTTTTTTTTTCTTTTCCTCCTGCAACAGCCGGCGGCCATGACAGAACTTTTAGCGGCGCCCGTCCTCTCGACGCCCGCCGAGCACACCTTCGAAGACCCGACACCGACGCCTCCGCCGCCGCCGACCGAGCTGCGAACCGAAGATGAACTCGCCTCCGTCTACGAGATTGAGCGCACCGCGCGCGAGATCAAGGAGGGCGGCTGGAACCGCGTCGCCCTGCAGTTTCCGGACTCAATGCTGTGCGATGCCTCGTGGGTGGCCGAAGCGCTGACAAAGGCGCTGGGGGGCAGCGACGGCCACCGAGTCTACATCCTCGCCGACACGTCCTACAGCGCATGTTGCGTCGACGAGATTGCCGCCGAGCACGCCGACGCACAGGTCGTCGTGCACTACGGCCGCTCCTGTCTGTCGCCGACTTCCAGGCTGCCCGTCATTTACGTCTTCACGCGGCACACCCTCGACATCGAACAGACCGTCGAGGCCTTCCAGAAAGAGTTCCCGGACAAGGAGAACAAGGTCGTCGTCATGGCCGACGTGACATACCAGGACCACGTCGTTCCCCTGGCCTCAAAGCTGCGGGCGGCCGGATACACACACCTACTCCACACCGAAGTGACACACGACCCCGCCGGCACGATACCGAACCGCAGCATCGTCGACTCGGCGTCCCGAGGGGAGCCCGAGACCGACCTCTCTCAGTACTCCCTCTTCCACATCTCCACGCCGCCCCCGGCGCTCCTCCTCGCCCTGCAGACCCGGATGGCCTCCCTACACGTCCTCTCGACGCCGAGCCTCTCGACCGACGATCCGACAAGGACGACGAACGCGCTGTTGCGACGGCGGTTCGCGCGGGTCCTCACGCTGGCAACGGCGGGCGTGGTGGGCATCCTCGTCAATACGCTCTCCGTGTCCAACTACCTGGGTAGTGTCGACCTGCTGAGGCGGCGCATCGCCGAGGCCGGGAAGAAGAGCTACACGGTGGTGGTGGGCAAGCTAAACGCGGCCAAGCTGGCCAACTTCGCCGAGGTCGACGGCTGGGTGGTGGTGGGATGCTGGGAGAGCGGGCTGGTCGAGGAGGACGCCGGGTTCTTCAAGCCCGTCATCACGCCCTTCGAGATGGAGGTGGCGCTGAAGCCCGAGAGCGAGCGCGTGTGGGGTCTCGAGTGGTGGGGCGGCATCGAGAAGATGGACCACACCGCCGCCAGGCCGGACGAGGAAGAGCTGGACGAGGACGAGTCGGCGCCGCCCGAGTACGACTTGCGAACGGGCAGGCTCGTGGCCAGCCGGCCGATGAGGATGCCTATCCGGTCGGCCAACGGCGCCCCCAAGGCCGACGACGGGGAGCGGAGCGCCCAGGCGCCGGGGCAGTCGGCGCTGGTGAAGAGGGAGGTCGGGGAGGTGGCCACCATCAACGGGGTGCTGAGCCCCGGGGCCGAGTATCTGCGGTCGCAGAGGACATGGCAGGGCCTCGGGACGGATTACGACGAGGAGAGCAGCACCGTCGTCGAGGAGGGCCGCAGCGGCGTTGCGCGCGGCTACACGGTGGGAGAGGACACCGGCAGAGCATGAGAGGAACTCCGGTGGGTTTCCCGGGCATCACAACGGCGTAGCGGGGATGGGCAACACTTGGAACCGGAAAATAGACAGGGAGAGAAACTAGACGATACCACCACATTCACGAATATGGCCCAACCCCCTCATTTCCCTCCCCGTTGGAAGAGAAAGATACCAAGACAGGCGGCAACTGACAGACTGTAGACCGAGACCCGCGCACATAAAGCAAGCGTTCAGAAAAACGGATAAAAAAAACATCATGTCTGATATTTCCGAGTCGACGCCGTTAGATTCGTCATCATTAAAGGAGGATTCCTCCCGATACATGCGCCGGGTCGCTAATGGAAACAGAACACCACCCCCCCACCTCTCATCCTTCCCTTGGCTTTCCTCGTCTTTCTAGGAATCCTTATCTTCATCTTCATCGTGCTCCCATTCCTTATCGTGTCATTACGTGGTATCTTTTCTCGTTCTCATTCTCGTATTTTGTTTGCTGTTTGCCATGATTTGATTCGGTTGCTCCGCCCTCCGACCCCCTATAAAAAATAAAAATAAAAGTCCAAAATTTGCATGGGCCTTCCCTCCTGGACGATGGATGCACGCATCGCAGAGTTGGCCCACGGCGTGTGCTCTTAGACATAGACACGGCGGTGCGAGTGGGAGCTGCGACGGCTGCGGGAGCGATGGCTGTGACCGCGGCTGTGGCTGTGGCTGTGGCTGCGGTGGTGGTGGTGGTGGTGGTGGTGGTGGCCGTGGTGGTAGGACTTGCGCTCGTACCTCGAGGAGAGGTGGTCGCCGTGCAGCCAGGCGAGGACGGCGGTGAAGAAGAAGAGGATGGTGTTGATGATGCCAAAGACCCACGAGGCCTTGAGCATGGCGCAAGGCTTGTTCGTGAAGAGGTTGAAGCGCGGGCCCGAGACGAAGATGAAGCCGGGGAAGTTGGCAGACCAGGTGCCGTTGCGGGCGAGGTTGGAGCAGCTGACGTAGTTGATGCCGCGCAGGTACCAGACGCCGGCGATGAAGGCGCCGACGAAGGCGAGGTCGATGACGGCGACGAAGAGGGCGTTTGTGCTGCTGCGGTGGTAGCTGAAGAGGGTGACGATGGCCCAGGCGAGGGCGAGGACGGAGACGATGAAGAGGACGAGGATCGAGTTGGGAACAATGAAGTTGGACTTGACGAAGCCGTCGACGAACCAGGCTAGCATGCCCATTGTCGGGATCTGTGTGTATCGTGTAAGCGGGGTTTTCTTCTTTGTTTCTTTGTTTCCTTGTTGTTTGTTTTTGCTTTTTTATTCATTCTTCTCTTTCCATTTTCATCTCGCGCGCCAGTGTAGTACGGTACGTGGGCGACGAGGCGGCGAGATGGCAAGGCTGAGATGAAGGACAGAGATAGAGACCCCGACAGAGTGAGAGAGAGAGAGAGAGAGAAACAGAGAGCGCTTACCAAGGTGATGATTTGCAGGAACCGGGTCGCCGTGAACAAGACGGCGAACAACATGGTGGGCGGTTTAGCCTGGGCGGCTGCGCACGTTTCCCTGGCTGGTTGCTACGTGTGTGAATGCGACGAATGCGACGGTATGCGTCGGTGTGGTTGCGCGCTTTGCGATGGCGATGTCGCGATGCTGTTTTGCTGTCGAGGGCGAGTGAGTGATGGAATAGAGTACGACTCTTTTCTCTCTCTCTTACTTTTGGCTTTTTTTCTTCCCTCCAGGGCAGACAGACAGACAAACAGGCTGTTCAGACGAATCCGGGCGGGTGGTTGGGATGGGGAGGGTAGTTAAATAAACAAGTACGAGGTCACAGGTGTGAGTGCGTGAGTGAGTGGGTGGGTGAGAGTGGATGGGCCAACGAGTGAGCTCGAAGCAGAAACAGAATCAATGCAGGTCGGGTGTTTGGCCCCTTGGGTCAGCAAGTCATGGCATGGCCAGGCGGGTTAGCAGTCGTAAGAAAAGCAAGGCAAGGCCGTCGTCAACCCCCCCCTCCCCCCAAAGGTCCAGGTCCAGGTCCAGGTCCAGGTCAGGGTGCAAGGTGCAAGGTGCAAGGCGGTAATACCTAATTACTCGGTGAAGACGTGACAGGACGGGATGGGACGGGATGGGATGAGATGGGACTGGATTGGGTGGTGAGCAGTGAGCGATGACGATGGGGGGAACCAACCCGGCTCTGCCTCTCATTGCGTAAACGGGGTGGTTGGGCTGGATCGCAGTTATGGATGCTGAAGCAAGGCGAGGAGATGCAGCGTAGCATTCAGCGGACTAGGTAGGTAGGCAATGGGTATTTGACAAGCATGCTTCCTTTCTCTCCGTATCGGGTGCGGATACTTCTGTTTCCCTTGGCGTGGTGCAGATGCGATCCTGGAGATGGTGGCATCGAAGAAAAGCTAGGAGCTTGGGTACGTAGTAGGGGGAAAAAGAAAAAGCAACCAGCACAGCACAGAGAAGGTGGCAGGGGTGGTTCCCAGTTTCTCTCCTCCCCAATCCTTTCTTCCTCTCTCATTCATTCCCTCTCTTTCTGTCTCACTCTCTCCATCACACACACACACACACACACACACACACACACACACACACACACACACACACACACACACACACACACATACACTCACACTTTTGAACACCGGCGATGACATGGCAAAATACCTGATAAGATGGGACGACAACGGAGGGTGTTGCCGACAGCTACTTACCCAGTAGGTACGTGCCCTTCTCTCTGTAAGGTACCTAGCTCAGGTAGGTAGGTACCCGTACCTAGCCTACTATAGGTAAGCATCGTACCCAGCGAGCTCAAGATGGGTGACTCGACTCGAAGAAACAAACGACCAGGAACCACTAGAAGAAAGATCTAGCACCCGCCGAGAAGTCCACTACCCTCGAGCAAACAGGCGTCAAACAATAGCACAGACCAACCGGCCTGAGTGGAAGCAAAAGCCGAGCATATGTCGCAGAGCGGGAGCCCGAGAGCGCCGAGACATGTCTGTTTGTCTATTTTCCTGTCTCTCGGGCTGGAAGGGAAAGAGAAGGGCACGAAGGGGGGAAAAAAAAGGAAGAAGGGCCTTCCCTGTGTCAGTCGCTATGACGTCGGCGATCGACACTCCATTTCTCTATTTCTGGCCTGTCCAGTGCCTGTCAGAGTACAAATACGTACCGCCAGAGCATATGAAATACAGGCATTCCGTAGTAAGGTACCAGGACGGATCGAGGCGTTGTTTGCTTGCCTCTATGCAGCAGCAGCAGCAGCAAAAGGAGGGTGGGTGTTGGTCATCTCACATACGGGCTGTATGGAATGTCTTTCCAAAAAGAAAAAAAAGAAAAAAAAAGGGAGGAATAAAAAGACGCTCATCATGGATGCCATCATCATCTCCAGCCTGCAATCCGGGGCAGACCATGATGTTTCAGCCATCGCCTTCTTTGATGTGCTGGCCGTTGTCTTTGGAGGCGGTGGGTACCCTGGGTACGTACCTTGCTCACAGATTGCACTCTGTTTGTGGATACAGGTATTTTCACGGTCCTCTAAGCCCATCTAAGCTAGTCTCTTTCCTATATTAGTTAGTCCCGTCGGGAGTACTATATTCCATTCCATCACCCCAACATAACCAACTAACCCAGACCCTAACCTAGACGCCAACCATCCTAACCACTAATACTACGCATCTTTAAAAGCATATATAAAAGATGCGTAGTGTTAGTGGTTAGGGTATGGGTTAGGGTCTGGGTTAGTTGGTTATGCTAGGGTGATGGAATGGGTTATTTGGGTGTATTGTGGCGGTGGTGGCGGGTGGGCCGTGAAAATACCGGTAAGCCTGTTTGTCGAAGGAATCCATCTTAATGCTTCTACTGCGCAGCGATCTACCCTTATCTCAGGGAGGTGCTGTAGCGCAGATGGAATGAAGAGATGATTCAATGTACGATTGTTTCCCACGCTGTTTCAGTGTAAAACTACCCGGGAAGACGCGCTAGGTACACAGTCACATTGCGTGTACAAGTCGTACAACGGAGGTAGTCGCGGCGGACTTGGTTAACTACCCGTTTCCCGGCCAGCAGGTCACGGTGTATCTTTATAGAGTACGCTCCAAGAAGGTCCCAGCCAGGCGCACCCAGTCGTCCAGACCAAGAGAGAAAGAGAGAGAGAAAAACAGGAAGGAAGGAGGGGCGTAAAAAGGCAACCACCAACTCAGTCCCACTAAAGATGGTTACAATGCGTTACTTCCCAGCCAGCCAGCCAATACGACACCTCCCCACCGCACCCTTCTCGACGAAAAGCTGAGAATAATCGGGAAGCTACTCTGAGCTAAGAACGGGCTTCTTTCTTCTCTCTCTCGCTCTCTCTCTTTCTCTCCCTCTCCACTCTCTTTCACACACACACCACACATCTCTCTGACCCTCACGTGGATATTCCTCCTTTGACCGCCGCGACACAGAGCAGGTGGAGACGGATGAGGTGGCTGGGAACAACAGCCCATTCCAGCCCGAGTCCCCACGCCCAATCCAGCCGATTGCACAGCGCTGGCCGCGGCCCCACGAGGACGGACTGGACTCCCTTGCCTCCGTCTCCTCTACGCTGCATACAAACATCTAAAACTGTATTCTGGCCCGGGGGAGCCCGCGGGCAGCCGCTCCGCTCTTCGCTAATCATCGGCCCGGTGGGAATCACGTCTCCGAGCCCACTTCTGCCCCCTTCCTTGCCGTGTTAGCTCGCCGGCCCGGGGCTTCTCGTCAAGTTGATCTACGTGTACGGATACAGCACACGTAGATCCGTCGACGACCAATCATCTGTCTACATGCACATTGGCTGAAGGTGCGCCGAATGGATCCGTCACTCTGCTTATGCAACATTGTCCAACCTTGTTTGTTTTGTGTGCCCGTTCTCCGTTCCTGACAGACACGCGCCATCCAATCAATCACATTCAAAAGGTCCAGAGTTGCCGGGTATCTTTCTAGATCATTACAATCATATACAAAAACTTCTAGGTGTCTGTAACGACAACCCTCCCCGGGAGAAGATGGTCAAGGAAA